TTTCTGCTCTCTGAGAGCTTTCCTGCTCTCACGATCGTTGCTCGCCTTAAGCTCATTTTATTTTGTTCTGCCTGCATTCAGCTGGCGGCAGCGTCGCAGTAAACATCGCGCGTTTTAAAAGCGGCAAAAAACAAAGATCGTGTTGTGTTTTTATTGTGTTTCTCATATTCGCTGCTGCGGATTATAATAATAAAACGAAATTCATGCTATAAAATGTGTTAAGTAATGTAAGAAAGATTTCAAACGAGAAATATATAAAAAAAAAACACCGGCTACGTGCAATTACGAAATTCTGTCTGTGACATGTGTGTGTGTGTGTTTCAATGCGTGCGCTTTTATTTCCATGTGTGCGTCTATAAATAACAGCAATAACAACAATAACAGCAGCAACAAAAGGCGAAAAGCCAAAGAAGCGAAAAAGCTAAAAATGAAATATCAACAGCATGAAATGACGGGTTGATTGACTTGCAGGAATTTTAAGAAAAAACGATCAAAAAACAACATAATTCTTATCCCCAGATTAACAAAAATCCAGAAGCTGTAGCTTCCGTTGTTTTTTGTAGGGGAAACGCCAACGAAACGCATTTAAATCGCGCTAAAAACGCAATCGCTGTAAGTTAAACACCTATTTGCTACAAAAGTACACAGTAATCTATTAAGATCTTGCTTTTTGTTTATTAATTAACCCTTAGAAGTAGTTTAAGTGTGAATGTTTAAGTGTGAGTTGAGAATCGTTTAAAGACTTCTTACTTTCTAAGAATTAAAGTTCATAAACTCTAAACTTTATGTATCATAAAAAAATTCCCCAAAACGTATTATTTTCGCCTACGGGTGTTTTAGATATTTTTGCGGTTACTCAAATTTATCCTAAAATGGAATTTCCACTGTGACCGCAACAAAATTTTCTTAGCACTTAGTCATTTATAAATTAACAGACCTACTTTAATTCTTATAAAAAAGTAATCTGTTCAAAGATATTATTTTATTTTATTGTTAAAATTAGGACAATAACTTTACGTTTTATATATTTTTATATTTGTAGTAAAAAGAGTTAAAGTGCATTTCAACTACAGTGTTTTTATTCGAAACTTCGGTAATTTCCCTTTAAAGAAACCATATTGTTCTGTTCACTTAAGATACTTTGTTTGTGTGTGTGTTTGAGTGGGCATAAAGGCGTATTTCTGCAGAGTCATAAACTCCGAAACTTTATACATTTTTGGGGATTTTTTCGGCTTTTCTGCCCATACACACGTCAATGCAACGCCTATAAAAATCCACATAAAAGTCAAGTCAATCAATGAAAGGGCAGCCGAATAAATTACCCACAAAAGAGTAAAAAAACAAGTAATTTAAACGTTAAACACAGACGGCGAAGGCGCCATGAGTTATCACCTCCCATTTTGTAGGCAAGGCTGCAATTTATCCAAGCAACAAGTTTATTAAAATCGAATTAGTTTTCCCCCAAAAAACTAAACAGACGACACCCACATAGTCTGAAAACAATGAGCCCCAATGGAGCCGCAAGTGCGGAATTTTGGCAATTCCGGGAAGCGTACCTATGTATGTATGTTCCATCCGCATGTCCCGCAGCCTGCGTTCTTTCTCTCTTGGCCAAACAATTTGATTTGCGTATTCCCACATGTTTTTCCAATATACATTTTCAATTTCCATTTCACTTGATTGAAGTTTTGGCCTTTTGTACATGGTTTTGTTTACGCCTTAAACAAGAACACCGACACACGCGCATATTTATTTAGATTCACACGATCGAATTGTTATTCTTGGCGGGGGCAACTAAAAACTGACCAAAATAACTAGAATAAATAAACAATTTGATTAGGCAAATAAAAATATAAAGTAGAATAAAAAAAAGTCTTGTCAGAAGTGGGATTCGAACCCACGCCTACAGAGTAGACTGCGACCTGAACGCAGCGCCTTAGACCACTCGGCCATCCTGACTATGAAAGTAACGAGAACTGGAAAATGTTCTGTGAGAATTCTAGTTATTTCGATCAAATTTCTTTAATTATATAAATTAAAAAATATAATTAAATTAAGCATAAGCAAAAAAAGAGAACCATACTAGATAATCGTAAGTGCACACTTTTTGCTCGGACGTCTTGTTGAACAGGCTTTACGAATTATGTTAGTTACTTTAAATACTTTAATTAGCACTTAATTAATTATTTATATTTGAAAAAAAAAATCTTGTCAGAAGTGGGATTCGAACCCACGCCTACAGAGTAGACTGCGACCTGAACGCAGCGCCTTAGACCACTCGGCCATCCTGACACATGGGATGAGCATACCAAATGCGCGTTTTCCACATCGTTCGCTCGTTCATTCGTTCTGCTATAAAACAAAGTGGTTTATAGAAAACTGCCATAACTCAACCAGATTGTCCGAGATTTTATGCAAATTAACTAACTTTCTTACCATTATTTCCATCAAGTGTATATGTAAATATATATTAACTGTTCATATGTATTCGCGGTTAATAATTGTGGACGTTAATTTGCTGGCATTACAATAATAATTGTGAGTTGAGTAACAAGAACTGTGCAATTTGGTGACGGTATAATTGCAAATAAAATCGATTCGATCAGCTGCTTTGCCGCTGCACTTTGTGTAAATGCCGACAAACTGTTTACAGAGTCGCTTTCGTACTGATATATATCTTATCTCTGGCCTTTCGGGGTTGGGCTGGCGTAGAAATCGCAGACAATCGCCGCCGACGAACAAAAGAAAACAAGGCCTTTCAGAATATATATATATGTATACAATATCTCTGCGGATTTCCCAAAAAGCGTAACTGGTAAAGAGGTCAAGACCCGTAGCATTCCTCGATTCGAGCCAAAAGCGAACTGGCTAATAATAATCCGGTTCGAGGGGGCGTGTCTCCGCCTTGGGAACGGAACTGAGGAACAAAAAAGCAACAACCGAACCCTTCTCATTAAGCGGCGTCCGTCTTTTGTTGTCTTTTAATATTTTGTATTATTTATTATGACTGCTCGCCGCGAGAGTCCGCGTTTTCGCCGGGGAAATGGATATTTTAATGAGTTTGGCCAGGCACTCGTTGTCGACGACAGTTTTCCCGACGCGCAATGTTTCGTAGTGGGAAAAATTCAAATTAGATTTTGACACTGCTCGGGAATGATACATTCGCAGACGAAGAATGGATGGGCATTGTTTATGCCTTTTCCTTTGACTCGATGCCGACATCTTCATACGCATATAGTACATATAGATATAGCCCATAGACATCTGTCTAATCTAGCGAATGGACGTAGTTTTGCATTTGCGCATTTTTCCGCTAATTATTTGTTTATAGCAGGAAAATAACCAAATCGAAATCAAATCGCAAAAATGTGTTTTGACAAGCGTCGAGAAAGTATTTTTGCCATTGAACTTGCTGCCTTGTTGCCTTTCCCTTGCTGCTGATATGTATTTAAAGTAAACAAATTACAATGCAGTCGAAGTGGTGGAGAGGAAAATAAACGGAGAGCTAAACCCAGTTTAGTTCGAAGGCAAGTCTCGCTTGATAAGTTATACTCATTTATAATCATCGAAATGGGTCAGCAGTACTGCTCAAGTCGAGCAACAATTGCGCACGCAATTTTTATTCATTTAGAAGGCATCAAAAAACCATTAAACTGCGAATATGTTATATCTATATATATTTGTATATAAAAATATGACAGCATTGGAGAAAGAAAGGTGGGGGAATACGAATTGGCCGAGGGTAATATAAAACTGACACCATTTAATAACCAGAGTGAAGTGAAGTTAAGTTTGCATTTCTCATTGGCTTATTTGTTTGTAAACAAAGCATGTTGTAGCTGACACAGTTGGTTTGGATTCTGATTTCGATTTCGATTTCGATTTCCAGGCCAGGGGCTCAATGCCATTTGGCTGGGTCAGTTCTGTGGTTACCATATAAATATATGTACTACTCAGCGAATGCAGAGAATATCGCGAAAGCTACTCAGTCAACAAATTCGGAACGGGAATCAGAACCATTTGTCGTACAAGGTCTGGACGGGTTAGGTAGCTATCAGTTTTTCGGAGTATCGAGTGTTATCTGGACTGGGAGGGGATTCCTCTGGCCATAAACTCGTTCCATTAATGCCCAAACAAACCATTTCCTCAGGGTCAAACAATTGATGAATGACTTTTCAGCGTAGTCATGTTCAGGCCGTGATAAGCCATTTCGAGGCACGTCTAATGCACTTTACTGCCCCTTCAATTACCCAATATCATGTGAATAAAGCTCAGCAGTACAGCAACCAGATAGTGGTTTCCACTTTTTATTGAATACCAATATACATGGCGTGAGAAATTACTTGTGTGCGATTTAAGGGGCTTTTTCACCCCACCCATCGATAAAACACAATAAAAGTAAACCATAATAAACGCAAAATATACATGCTTTAAATTACGAACAAAAAAATAAATAAATAAATATATTAATATGACTCCCAACGATAATGAATTATCCAGACAGAAGGACGGACACGGTTTGATCACCTCAGTTGTTTATCCTGCCCAAGAACATACATACTTATAGGGTTAAAAATGCTTTTCTGAATTAAAATAAAAAAAATTCTTGTCAGAAGTGGGATTCGAACCCACGCCTACAGAGTAGACTGCGACCTGAACGCAGCGCCTTAGACCACTCGGCCATCCTGACTTGGTAAATCGACGTGTCAAAATATTCTTCCAACCGAAGGCCACATACAAACAAAGCAAAAAATAACCAAAATGTGTGCTTTACGATAAATCTTATGTTTATATTGTGGCTGTCGAATAAATTTGTTTTTTGGTTGCGATGACCCATCAGATTTAGCGGTCATAGAGTATGATCAATGCCCTCAAGAGTTGAAAGATCATTTTTCGAGTGAGTTCGTCTTCTTTATATGATTTCACAAGTAACCAAACGTTCCAAGGTGCAAAGGCTGAGAATTATGAAGGGTCAGCTAGTTAATGGAATTCTGGATAGATTATAGTAATTCTAGATAGTCCAGGTTCTTGATGACAGCTCTTTGTTTATATCTGTTGGAGATTTCTTCTATGTTTTCTTCAGAAATCAAAGTATTGAAGATGTAAAAGCAGGCTGTTTGTGGGTAGGGATTATTTATATTCGAGTATTGCCAGTATTTAGAATCAGCAATAAATAAAAAAAATCTGCAGATGCAATGTTTCGCATACAAATGAGATTGACCACTTCTAGGTTGATTAAATTGCTGTGAAGTATCACAAATTTCATGCGAAAGTTTGGGTAACTCGATTTTTTGATTAAATTCTTAAAAATATCAGTGATGAATATCGTCTTTCCTTGAATTTTTGTATTTTTAAATACTAAGGCGTATAGAATTAAATGGAAATTTTCGTATATGCCACACAAATTGAATAATAGAACATCATAGCAAATGTGAAGATATTGTCGGGAATATTAAGAAGAATGTTATTTGCGAATTCGAGAAGAATCTCCTCTTTAAACTTGATGTTCTTATTATGTACTTGTAGTCTTTAAGGTAAAGTTCTTTCCAAGATCTCCAGGCACTTCTAATGATCGTCTTCTGTTAACTTGTTGAAAGATTTCAGTGCTTAATTTTTAGTGAAAACTCAACACACGTTTTATACCTCAGTTCGTTAAACTAATTTTGTTTAACAGATCCTAAAAAAGTTCTTAATCAATTTTTTAGAATTAAATTAACCAATTTAACCTTTTACCATGTTTATCTTTCCTTTCCTTCTTTTTTTCCTTTTTCAACTGTTTCTTCTTCGGTGGAATTGGGGCTGCCAACCTCTTCCGCTTTGAACGCTTCTTAAAAATAGAGGTCATCGAGAAGCGGTCACGATAGCGCCAGAAGCTCTGGCTTGTGGTCATCAGCAGGATGGTGGTCCATTTGCTTGCTAAGTGGATGTAGCGCTTGGTATTCGCATAGATATCACAAACTAGCGATTGGGCTTGGGTTAGGTTTACGAAGAATCTTGCAATATCAGGCCCACAGCGCCTTACGAAGATCATATACCAATTCAATCCAAATCCGGAGTAGATATTATTGGCCACCGGTTTCAGCAAAGGTGCGACTTTCAAAAACTTGCCATCATTTTCGACCTCAACATCAGATGCACTCGAAGAGCCCTGGCCAGAGGGTTCCTCAGAAGTTGCTCCTTGAACTTTCATTATGTTATTTCTAATGGAGTGAATCCAATTTTCTTTTTTCTGACAATTGAAAAGCATTGCCAACTAAGTTAGGAACATGATGCCGCGATTATTAGTATCGAATTTAATCGATATCAAGTACGAATATTCGTGGCCAGGGCTGAAGTTTAGAATGAAAAATAAAATACCAAAATCATTTATCATTTTGTACCGATATTGACACGCCCCGTCAATATAAATAATTGCTAATTGCTAGCCATGATTAATGTCTGGCATCTTTTGGCTCCAAAAACATTCGACTCGCTCAATTTGCATAATTGCAATTTATTGTAAATCCGTGTGCAAATATGCAAGAAATTCGCAGCAGCTCTTTAAGGCAAACCAGAGGCCAGCGGCTTTTCACGATTTCAATTTTGGTTTTGTATAATCTTGACTGTCTGTTTATTTAGCTTTTCAGTCATATGCAAATTTCGAGTTTAAATAAATCCCACTAATTGTTGGCAACCTCTGAGAACTCCGAACAAAACTCCTTACTATTTCATGAGCCGTGCCAATAATCGGTTGGCAATCAATCAGCGTGTGTGCACTTCATCTGACATCGCTGCTAATTAGTTGTCTGTCGGCCAGGCTTTAACACTGCAATTGTCCATGTGGGTTAACGATTCAGTAATTGATAAATTGCCTATAAATTGCCCGGGATGAATGTGTTCCACGGCGAGTGACAATTTAGTTTCTTAAAGTTCGTGCCAAATGCGTCCTATTAAGGTTGCTAATTGAAGTGATATTGCATAGGCTTCAGTCTGGGTTAGGGAAAGCAATGGATTTAATTAGTAAAAACTTGCAAGATTGTTTATAATTAAGCCTAATTTTGTTACCTTAAGATCCTTATCTGATTTTATTAGTTTAATAGACTTTTAATGGCTTGCTAATCCATTATGCTATTATCATAACGTTGTAGATTATCAAATAATCAACTACATCTAGTTTCCTCCATGTATTACGATTATTTTCTCATGTTTCTGTGCCGAGTTCAAGGGCAATCTTAACTCAGACGATCTCTCAACCCACCATTTTTTAGACAAATAAAGTCCAAGATTCATTCACGTTTCCAAGTAACTTAACTATATATATATATCTATATATCCATATACTGATGCCCATATGTGTGTATATATATTTATTACAGATTAACCCGAGAATTAAATGGCGTGTGGCTTTTATGGACGCTGGTCCCACGCAAAGTCACGAAAATTGGACGGAGATTTCTCATTGTCGGAGATTTCACAATTTGCCCGGCGACCACGTAGCAATTCTCAAGTTCAGCAGCGGAAAATGAAAATGCTTTGTCTAACCGATTTTTGAAATCAGTGGAAAAAAAAGTGTGTGAGCAAGAATATTTGCTTTAATTTAAAAGTTGTTTTATTAATCTCTAAGAAATCATTCTGGTTAATTTAATTTATGATTTAGCCAGCCAAGTGGGTCAAAAGAAAAAGAGAGAAAAAATAAACCAACATTGGCACGTCCCAAGAAATTGCAATATCAACAACAACCATTGTAACTTAACTTAGCTTTTTCACTTTGTTCCCTCACGCTTCGCCATATATAATTATGCAATCACTGCAGTTCCCCTGAATGCAAAAAACAACAACCATATCAACGGGCAATTCATTGATAAAAATCGTTGTCAAGGGCTATAAATTAACGAGTACCTCAAGAGGGTTAAGTATGAACAAAGAAAATTTAAAGCGACGGAAAATCAACATCAAATAAACTTAAACTTATTATAAACTTTACAAAATTACAATTTAAAAGCAAATTCAAAAAGGACTTAAAACAAAACTCATCACTTAATATAAACAAACGATTTTAAAAGCAATAAAATAAATAATTACTTATAATAAACTTCTTAAAAAAACAGTTTTATAAATCAGAAATAAGTTCAAAAATTACTGTGTATTACATATTTTATCAACGAATTTTAACAATAAACATATTACTTAAAGTATAGAAATCTCATCAAAAGCAATATATAACAAATAAATCATCACTACTTTATATCATATAACAGCTATAAACAATAAAAGTATCTAAAAAGTATCAATATAATCCAAAAAGGCAACAAAATAAAAGTGTTCAAAGTGCAATAACATTAGTGTGTTAAACAACAGCAGCTGTTAAGTCAACAGTGATAGTGGGAGGATCAACATTGGCAGAGAGAGAATTTGAACAACATAGGAAATTTTAACATCTCACCACAGCAGTGAGAGTAACAGCGAATAATGAACTCGCCACAGCTGGTGCACACAGCTGCGCAAGCTCACCACTCTGAGAGCGCTGGCCAAGCAGCGCAGTCGACTCAGCCAGGAAATAAATATGCGCCTGGAAGAAGGCTAGCTGCGCGGCAAACTCTTCGCTTGGCCATACCCAAATCGCAAGGTGTTGACCTACTAAATCAGCCAACAAGTGTTGGGCTCTTTCGACCCTCGCCCTCGCAATTGCCACCGGCACCAATTTTAAAGCGCGTTCCAGCAGTCAGCAGCTGCAGCAGTGGAATACCAAAGTCGGCTTCACCACTGGAATCTCACCATTTGCCTAATGTTACGCCTACCACTGCCCACTCACGTTTGGCCTATGGGGCCGGTGGAGGTAGTGGCTGTTCCAGCGCCTCGTCTGCATCCAATTTTTTGGGAGTGCGTAAACCCAGCTTGACCTTGAACTCGTCGGATATTAGGAATAACAATGATCTGTTCGCCTTTCCCAAGGATATGTCGCCTGTCATGAGTGGTGAGTTTACTTGTATTTCCTTTTTTAGTTAATAATATTTATTTTTTATTATTCCTTATAGAACACTCCCACTCGCCCATGTTCACGGACTTATCTTCGGCCAACAGCAATGGATCCCCGACACATCACCACCAACTGGGCAGACTATTCAGCTTGAGTCCTTCGAGCATCAGAAGTTACGGAAATGTAAGTGGCTTTTATATTATAAATAAAATAAATATAAATATTATTAAAATAAGTTTACAGGGTACATAGAAGTCCGCTTTGCTAAGACCTCATATGTCCCTTTTGGCTTTATAAATTCTCACTCGTAATAATTGCCGATGGCTATTTATAAACAAGCAGAGCGAGCAAAGGTCATGACTCACTTGGAGCTCTTCTCTGGCTTTATGCTAACCATAAACTCTCACTCAAGCTTTTGTTGTCCCTCATTCGTTACCTTTTACAACCCCCGACGCCTCATTTTGGGCTCATTTTGATTATAGTTTTGCATGCACTCGGAAAAAAGGGATCGAAATTCCTGTAATTTTATGTCTTAGTTCAGATTAATTTTTGATAAAGAAAGAATTTCAATCTCTTTTACAAATATTTTGCGTTCATGAGTTCAAGGATATTACTTACTGATCCTGATTTCCTTTAAGAACTTTCAAATGAACTAAAATATTTCTCCAAGTGCCCCCTTCAGGCCAAAGGCAAACCACGCTGAGCTTTGCATTGCCATATTTAAGCAAATCCATAACTCACACCTCACACGCGACTCTTTCTGGGTGTTTGGGGAGCTCATGGGGATTGGGGTTTCGAACCACTCCCTGACTTGGCGACTTTCCTAAAACCGGCTCCGGGCAGAAATAACTCTCTCCCGCACTCCCTGTGGCCGTAGGTAAATAGGTAGAAAATAGCGTCAACTTAATTAATAAATAACATTTAGCACGTTTTCAAAGCAGATGTATGGGTCTGGCAAGGAAGGTCTATAGAAAGGGGCAAGAATCGAGGCAAACGAGGCCCGTAGAGTATATAACGTTATAGCCACACTATTGGATGGATATAGCCGGTATGAATAATCGGCATTTGGCGTTGATTTTTAGCATGGCCCGTGCGTCGTTAAGCAAATTTCTCGTTTGCGAATGCCCTACAAGGGGTATATTGATTCCTTCTTTAAGTTTGCTCCTTAAAATATATATATTATCAGTCGATAGAGGTGAGGAACTGATTAATTTAGGTAATCGTGGCTGTAATCAAGGGGAACAAATAACTATTTGTGTTCACTGATCAGGTGATTAGATGAGGCAACAACCTTTTAATTAAGAAAATAACCGATGACCCATATATTGGAGGGCATTATACTTTGGCTGATAAGATGACCAGCTGACTTGTATGTTTTGATAGTAACTGTTATTATTATTAAGTTAAAGGGTTTTGATTGTAATGTAATGAAGTGTAGAGTTTGTGATTTATTACAAAGTTGATATGAATATATATCTTGTTATATTTATGATCTTTTATTATCTTGGGTGTTACCTTCTTATACCTAAACCCATATTAGATGCCAATTACTTTGATAATATTGTCATTTTTATCCTCGCTGCTCTTGTTGGAAATAATAACAATAATAATTATAAATATTTCCCAATCATTCCCCATTTTTATTATATTTTAAAAATCATTTTACCTCCCCTTAAGATCTTTTAGGGTATTCCCATAGCCATTTCCCAAACTTTGATCAATTAATTTCTTTCTCCCCATCGTTCTTAACTATCCGACAAGCTCTTCATGGCAAACACACAGAGAACGTGAGTCGCAGAAGATTGTTGTTAATATTATATGAAGTTGGGTGTATGACAGCGCCCGAGCATATTAATTAGTTGCTGGGTTTGTTGGGGAATCTTCCCGCATAGAGAGAGGGAGAGTGAGAGAGCGAGAGTCTCACTGAGAGAGAAGTAAAAATCGATTAGTACTGAGACCGAGACCGACGTTTCGAGGGGCACCATATAGTAGTGCCAGTGGAAATACAAACAAAGTCAACTCGCGGCTTGTTCGCATTATAAAGCTCCCCGAAAAAAAAAAAAAAAAAAAAAAATCAGCAAGGCAAGGCAAGAGAGGGGCACCGAAAAAAGCTACTTATAAACGGACGGACAACTGTGTTTTGGGTCTGGCATTTTGTGGTTTTCGGCAAGAATTCCATTTTCAGTATTTGTCGAATTGAGATGCGCACCGGTTCGTCTCCGATTCTGATTCTGATTCTGATTCTACTCTATCTGAGTTCTCTTCGAGAATCTTTGTACATCTACGAGATTAATTACTCGAACGTGGTTAGATCGTGCTGAACACCCGCGGAAAGTTGATGTGAAAAACCGTATAGCATGGGCAATCGTTTGAGCGGTCTGTGGTGCAAGAAAACAACATTGAGTATTACCCATCAAGAGCAGCAGCCGAATAGCCGGGAAACTCGTAACGATAAAGGCCCTCGCAGTAGCCATAAATCAAAACGAAATCGAACCAAGTCGAGTGGTTCGAGTGATGGTAGAGGAACCTTTCGTCTTGGAAGCGTACGTCGTTTATCATTGAGAGATAATACCAGAAAAGCAATTAAAAACCCTTTGGATAAGTCAAATATCTCGACCATTGAACAAACCTATCAGGAGTTAACCAACAAAGTTGATCCCGATTCGAACATGAAAGTTAATGCCCAACACCTAATGCCCACTGTCAAGGTTAGTTCCACTCAAATACCTCAATTATGTCATTTGTTTATGGTTTGTATTTTTCAAATTTGAATAGCAATAGAAATAGATATGCTTGCCGAAGTAAAAACAAAAGACAAAACTTGAATTATTCCGATATGCTACTCAGTTCACGGCCAAAAAAAAAAAAAACATAAAAACATCAGAAAACAAATTGTCCGAGTGGTTTCAGTTTCGGTATTCGATATTCGGCTGGCGGTGTCATTAGCATTTCGGGGTGTTCAGGTGTGTTCAGGTGTGTTCAGGTGTTTAGGTGTGTGAAAATGCGGATGCTTGTAAGGTGTCGCGATCGGGATTAGCCGCCATAATTTATGGCCAACATCTAATTGAAATCGTAAACAATAATAGTGAGCTATGCCGCCAGATGAGGGCATTAGGGAAGGCGATCTGGCCAAGGGTCTTTGGAACTTGTTTGATAACAAGCGGATAAGGTAAATGACGCAAGCTTGTTGTAGGTAAATTGATTCTATTTGTTGACCTTAGTCATTAGAATATCAAATAATATTTTATAATACCCCTTAAATAGCGTATTACTACAGAGGTAGAGTTTAGGGTTAGGGTTGTTGAGTAAATTTTGCGGTTTTGTTGGGAAAGGCAGTTTAAATAACAATGTAAAACAATCTTAAAAGATTAATCAAGAGAGTTCCATTAATGCATTTGTAAACTGTAAAAACTTAATTTAGAAACTGCTTTAAATAAATTAAATCTGCCCCCAGAGCCTCCTTTTAATCAGTGAAAAGGCCAGTCTGAGGCATAAATTACCTCTCTCTCCTCTGAAAACCAGAAACCCATTCCCTTATACATTCGATTAAGTGTTGGTTCAAGGAATTATTACCCCATCCCCCCCTTTTCCCAGCCCTCAAGTGACCCAATTCCGAGTCACAAATAAATCACAAAAATCGAGAGGAAAACGCAGGGAGAGACGAAAAAAACGTGTTAAGCACGCTTTGCATATAAATAAATAAACAATTTTGGAGCCGATGGCAAAAGGAAAATGCATAAAAATCAATTACGCATGAAAATTCCAATTGAGAGAAAATCAACGATAAGCTCAGGCGCATGCGTGGCCTTAGGCTGAAGTTGGGGTAAACATAATAAACGAACAAAAGGCGTGGCAACTTACTCTTGGAAAATGATAGCTCCAGGTTGGGAAGTTACGTCTTAGATGCGGATGCAAGGTACCAACAGATATCAAGCTCCCACGGTGGTGAGTCAGCGCTAAAAACTTCTTCGCCGCAACGCGATCGGTGCAAGCTGTTATTGGAGCCTCAATCATGGCTTTCTGATGACTCACAGATGTTTTAGGCGAAAGCCCATTCATTCATACGTAGTAGATACACGAGTAGATACAGATACATGGCGTGAAGAAAATAATTCAAGTACAGTGGAGACTCGAAACTTACAAGATTTGGTTTGACTTTTATTATAATTTCTTCCCTTTTCTTCTCTTAGCTAAATGTCAGCAAAAATGTGCTTATATCTCAAAAGATCATATAACAGTGTGTTCATTTTCTAGTGTCTTTACTGTAATTGCAAAACAAAATAACAACCTCACAAGTTTAAGGTTTTCTTTTGCTGAATGAACATGACTCACTTGAAGGATTTTGGCACTTGACAAAGTTGTGATTAACTTAAACATTTCCCTCAATAAGTTCAAAGAAACTGGCACACTTTTAAGTGAGTAATTTTTTGCTGACCTGAATAGCGAAAGTTGCTGAAGGATGCGACAGATTAATGTGAATGAAAAGATGATGAATTAGCTGAGAAAAATTGCATAACCAGTAAAGAAAACGACCTTCCTTTGACCAGCTCATTCAGATATTTCGATAAATACGAGATGTAGGTGGCGCGAACTATTTACATCAGTTCAAGGTGTATCTTAAATTTCAGTTTGATTTTTTGTTTTTGCTTAGCTTTGGCATTTCCTGGAAAGGCGAAAGCGAGCAAAAAACCATTTGATAAACAAATTTCCAAATCAATTAGATTGAAAGAAACGAAAGAAGAAGAAGAACAAAACATGTTAAAAGATTTTTCCCATTTAAGACGCACGTGTCGATTCGAAATCAATTTGAGATGATTTCTGTTTGCTTAGATAAAGTAAATAAAACAAAATAGACAAACAGTGCAAATAAATAAATAGTAAATATAAACAGTGGGGAGACTACTCAAGAAGCTCAATGTTAGGGGGAAATCTAACTAAGATTTCCGTGAAAAATTCCTAGAAAATCATTGCAAAAATGCGAAAAAGAAAAGAGGTGAAAAAAAACATCGAAATAACAAGAAATCAAAACAAATATCATTTGCACCCAAAAGTCAAAAAGCAAACAACTTGTTCGGCAAAAGAGGATCACCCACTCTTTGCGCGCTCTCTCTCTCTCTCAGCCGTCTCTCTTTCTCTTTTTTCTTTTTTTTGAGGGGCAGCCGCCAGTCAGAAAAACTGAATTTCAGGCCTCAGTCTTGTGTCGAACACTCGAACGTCGAGTTCGTAGAGCGGAATCGAAGACAACGACAAATACAGAGAAAAAGAAATCAAAGAAAAAAATCAACTTAAAAATAATACAATAAATTTATTGTCTCAACTTAGTATTGTGAAATAGCGAAAATGCCTAAGGATCGAAATAAGTCCAAGTGAAAAGTGTGTAAAGGGAAAACTTGTGAATATTTTCATCAAATTGTGAACATAAATTAAAAAGAAAGCTAAAAATAAAATACACAACTGTGCGATTAAAAATAAAATAATCACAGATGTGACGTTTGAGATACAGAAAAGCATGTGCAAAATGTCTGGATAAAGATTTATATATACATATATATATATATATATAATCTGTATCTGAATCTGTATACTTGAAACTACAAATACTGTTTCTGCAATTACCAAATATTTTTATTTGCTTTCAAGTCACTTTTTAAACAAGTTTCTAGACTTCTTGTAAGAAATTCATACAAATTAGCACCTAAAATTATAAAAATAAATAACTCAAAGTGATGTGCCAAATGTTTTTATCAACAAATAGCAATACCAAGAATTAGTTGGCATAACTCAATATGTTTTGGCCAAAAGGAAAAGCTTTAATCTAAATCAAAATACAATATATATAATATCTAGAATTTACGTTAGAAAATGAGTGCGCACGTCTGGCCTATAGAAAATTCAAGAATAAATTTACATAAATTGCTGAAACAAAAATTAAGTGGGCTAATAAAACGAGTTAACAACAGAAAAACCGGTCTGAAAACAAATGTGCTTGGAAAAACTAAAACTAAAAACCAAAAAAACAAAACCAACCACAAACTGAATTTTGTTGCGTAGGCTTTTCGTCGCTTTGACAGAATTAAAATCAATCAAGACAGTCTCGCCCACTGAAAATAATAATAAAAAAAAAAAAAAAAAAAAAACTACAGCGGGCCAAAAGTGCAACAGGAAAAAGCGGTTAACGCCTTTTGTCGCTTTTGGCCCAGTCGCTTTGTTGGCATTTGTTGCATTAGCCAAGCGGAAACTCATTAGCCAGTTACATGAAGACACAAAGAAAACGCTGGCAAACGGAAGTGGGGAAAACCCCAAGCACGTGGGCTTTTCTGGTGCCTCAATGTGGGCTTTGAACTTGCTGCTGTTGCTGTTCCACGCCCAAAAGGTGTGAAAAACCAGACCAAAGTCGATTCGAGTCAAGGTCTAAACCGAAAGAAGCTGTAAATGTCAAACGTATCTTATTTGCATTTCTTATATGTAAAGTTCAAGCCAATGGAAAGGTCTGGAAATGCTGTAAGAAATGATGTTGGGATTTTCCAAAAAGGGTTTTTTTTTATTGATTTTTGTAGAGCATTAAAAAGATCGTAAAGCCAAGATTGGAAGGGGTTAAGTCTTTTACAATAAAATGTTTGAAATTTATGAATGTTTGCTTTGGTCTTAAGCTATTATTAGGCTGTTAAAAGTCAATTTTATTAATTTGTATGAATAAAAATCTATACTTTTGTTAATATATTTAGTTTTTTAGAAGTTTAAAAGATTGAAATCTTCAGTTCCCTCTTGATTAGCTGTTTTCTTATAACCTTTAGATACACATCATTCAAGGGAATCACATTAAATAAAAGTTGTTAAGTGCAGCTCCAATATTGGGCATTGTTTCTGAGAAATACTGAGAAGTCAGAGCCTAAACTATCCATAGAAGGCAGGCATAATCAGCTACGCTTATTGTGTATCTTGCAGATACATTTGTCACAGGCACGGCCAGGCACAGAAACCAGTTCTGTGGCATTTCTTGTGTAAGCCTTTCTGAGTGCGATCTTTTGTGGCCGCTTTCGTATCTTTCTTTCGGTTAACCGTTGTTGGTTGCCAAAACCAGACAACATTTAAAATACAAAAATAAAGAAAATACACAGAAATACAAAAATACAAAAATATAATCACAATAAAGCACACGAGCACAAAAACCAGATGCTTGATAATTGTTTATGCGCAACAATGCTGAAACGGTAAAATACTTTTGGGCCGAAAAACACTTTCAGAATGCGATTATGCGGATAAATTACTTGGTTTTTCTGCTGTTAACCCATCTCCCAAAGGAATGCTAATCGTGTGTCGGGCTTGTTAATAATTTTATAAATGAAAAATGTTTTTGTTTTTGTTCTTTTGTTTCGAATTGCTAAGAATTCCTAGGAAAAATGCCAACGAACTACCATAAATAAAAGGTAAACACAAACAGCGAGTGCCGAAGGAAAAGCCCCTCGAATTTAACAGTGTTTTTCAAGTGATCAAATTTGAATAATTTGGAAACCAAATCAAAGTGTATTTAAGTGAAAGATTAACAATAAACAATGGTTGTCACATCGACTAGAAGTCCGCTTCTGGCGCAAACCCAGCCGGCAAATGCCACTTCCAGTGGCAGCCACACTTCAGCCGGCCTGCGATCGCGTCTCATATTCCCCCGGCAGCATTATCAGGTAAATTGTCAATCAATTCCATTCGTTCAACCAAAAAAGTTCCTCATCGATGGCCCAATTGTGCCGCCGAGTCAAGGGTTTCGGTGTTGAGTGTTTGGGTCACAGGGTACATTAACCCCGAGGCGCCGTCGCGGGTACAAAATGACCAACCAGACGGCGGCGATGGTTGGTGAAAGGCCACGCTAAGACAACGCTAATTCTGGGGGTACCTACATATATATATATATTTTACCTATATAAAAACATGATTTTATGATTGCTTTTGTGACGTAATGATACCTGTTTTTGTGTGACAGAAAGAGAACGAAAACAACACGTCGAAATTTGTTAATGACTTTGTATGCACTATGGGTGAAATTCTAAGAAACTGCAGTGGCATTATGTGTCTCGAAAATATACAAAAATAACGATATTTCCGGTCCAAGGGCACACAGTCTAAAGTAGCACGTTTTCTCTGATAAGAAATTAAAAATATATTTGATATTTTGACAAGCCTTTCATAAGAACAGGAAGTGCTAAAAATATATGGAAAGAAATTTGTTAAGTTTTTAAAAATTTATATTCCGGAAATTCCCCGAACTTTATAACAAGTTAGTTATTAGATTATCCCAAACTTTAGATAGCTTTACAGATACAAACTATTTTCCAAGGCCAACTCAGATTGTAAATTCAATTCTTAATCGATTTACTTGCAGACATAAAACGCATTTCGAGCTGAAAGTTGCAACGCATATTGGTTGGCTTAATGCCACACATTTAATACCGCCAAACTATTGAAAATAAACATTAATTTTCCACTTTTCAAACGCGTTTTCGTGTTGTATGTTTTGCTTTGCACAACGTTTGGCAAATTCAGAGAAGAAAACACAACACAAACCATTAAAATTGCCGGCACATAAATCGAACGAAATCGAGCTATTTGTTTATAATTAATTTCATGCGGCTTTTGTTTATTGGGCTGGAAATGCGTCGGCTGGAAATGCGTCAACTGCAGTTGGCCCGGGGGGCTTTCCAATTTGGCCATTATAAGTGGCTGTTAGCCCAGATATATCAGATAGATATTGAATTGATTCCAGAAGCTCGAAGGAAAAACCAGCTGCCAATTTGCACTCTCGACCTGGGCCAAGAAAGTCTCTGGGGCCCTATTCTCTTAGATGGGATGGGATATATTTCTCTATAAATATATATATATATATATACTATGTGTCTTATATAGTCAAGATCGGGATCTTTAATGTGTGCGCATTAGCTGTGTGTGTATGGTTTTTGGTCTCGTTCTAAAGTGGAACCGAATGTTTTATTTCTGTTTTCTGGCTTCCATTGCCGCCGCCGACGTCGCCTTTGTCTATAAATTGTAGAAACTACATAATTTGATTTCCAGTACGTGCTGCCTCTTTCGGCCGCCCTGCCTCACTGACTGCCGCCGCCGTTGACGTCAATTGGGGGAACGGACTGCCGGATGGACAGGCGGACAACCCAGCCTTGGTTAGGGGGATCCACTGTTTCCACCGACACTGTTCCTCATCTTGGGGCAATGTTGAGATATCTTTCGGCGCCCCCTTCGATCTGTTTATAGGATTAATGCTTTGGGATTGCAGTAACTAAATTTTAATTCTTCCACTTGATTTAAGTTTTTTCACTATTGGGAAATTTGTTATTACAGTTGGAAAATGTCTTAAAAAAGGCTTTGTAAAATTTGGTATTTTAATTTGAAGGAAAATATTAATAAATTCCTTAATTAATTCACTTTAAGTAGATCAATCACTGTAGACTTATCTTTTGCTTACATCCATTTAAATCTGATTCCCCCAGAGATACAATCAGTCGTCGGCTTACCCAGCAGCCATTAATAAAAACCATTTTCCAAATGGCCTTTCATTTAATTCGCTGACTTATGCGCCAATTCCGTAGATGTTTTTCAGATACGGACTCGCTGGTCCAGTTCAAAGCTGTAATTTATGAATGAATTCAATTAAGATGATTTTCCACAGAGAGGCGGGGAAAACCCCAGAGATCTCACACGGTCCACTGGAAGTGCAGCTCAACTCAATTAAGAGATACGAAAAAACAACAACAGGGTGAAGCCATAATTCAAATTTCCAACGGTTGGGTGTGCGAGAAAGAGAAGGTTTTAAGACTAAAGCAGAGAGAGAAAGAGTGTGATCTCTATAAAAGAAATACAACTAAAGTTAAACCAATTAATATCAGTAATTAAACTCTCATTTACTTACATATTCCCCAGTTTGTTCATAAATATTTTGTTTAAAAAGAGAGAAAAACAACGAAAAGAGAACTCGGTAAACAATAACAAGAGCAACAAGTTTCAGAAAGCTTTTTTTTTAGCAAACGGTAATGCCCCGTTCTCTCTGCCAGTGTTGCTAAATAAAAACGTTCGAAAAGCGCTAAAAACATGCTGTTTCTCTCTCTCGCTATTTTGCACGCTCTCTTTCCCTTCCTTTTGTTTGGGGTGGGCAGGCGGCAAACAAGTTTACTTTGCTCTGCTTTTGTGCTTTTCATTCAGTTTTCATAACTCAGTTGTGTTCGTCGCAGTCGCGCGTTCAAAAGCTGAAATCACAACACCATTGCTAAACTAAACTAAATCAAAGCGCAATATTAAGAAATACGAACAAGTTACAGTTTTTGGGATATTTTTAATAAAATCTGAAATCGAAATGGATTAAAGTGGAACAATAGTAGTGATGTGTTAAGATTGTTGATATGGTGAAGTGAAAACTAAATGTAAACATTTGTTAGAAATTCTAAATTAGAGATTTCATAACAAAGAAATATTGAAAAAATACTATTTTTTCGAATTTCCGAATATAAAAAATACCAGAAAAATAAACAAACTGAAATGCTTTGAAGTGAAATTTTAAAACTTTCTGTGATCTAAACCTAAATTTCCAATTAAGGTAATAAATATTTAATAATATTTCTTAAATATAAACACAAAGACCTTGAATCTTAATCAGTTTTATATAAATATTCCCAATAACTAAAAAACACAACTGTTCCAATATATATTTTCCCCAAAAAACTTGCCAATATTTCTTTTGTAATTCAATGTTAAAAACATTTTGTTGTACATTTTAGCAACAGGAAATTCTGTGTAAACTTTTCCGCTGAAAAGACATAAAAAACTTGTTATTGTTTATAGTAGGGGGGGTTTAATAAGCCGCCTCCTCTCACGCCCCCATTCTAGCCACAATTTGCTGAGCGATGGGAATTGTATCTTATAGATAGTTTGCGTAGTTGTTGCTCAGTTTCATGGTCGATTGGCTCGATTATGCTTTCTGATTGCACTACACACATAGAGGCAGCCCATTAAAGCGATATACAATTTGGCACTTTTACCTCGTCTCCCAGATTGGCACTTCGCCCAGGTGAAAAGAATCTGCGAACCGGTTTTCAACCGTACAGGTAAACACACACTCACACAGTGTTCCTACATAGATATGAGTTGAGTTTTTTTCTTATTATTATTTTGCAGTGAAATGTTTTCTCTTCCTCCGTTTATTTATGGCTTATCTCAGCCAGTACAATTGTTATCGAATCTCGAGCGCGACAAACTTGTCCAAAAGACATTGGCCCAGCCCACGCAATCGGGCCATCAAAGGGGTTGCCGAACGTAAACACACCCTTCCTCGTTGATACTGCAGGGATTGCAATCTGACCCGACCTGATCCCCCCTATAAAAAATATGAGAACCCCAATCTGGGCAGACAAAGTATAGGGATAACGACGAATCCAATTCCTAAATGCGTCATTTTGTCTGCGGAAAAGAGGGAAATTAAAGAAAAGTGGGGCAGGCTGAAGTATTACATTGAAAACAACCCTAACTTTGTTAGGTTTGACAAGTTTGGATTTATAGGGTTTCAAAGTTTTTGTCATAAATTCATTAAAATTATTTTCTTAAATGAAAACTAAAAACAAAGTACTTATTTAGTTCATGAATTTTCAATCTCTGATGAAATTAAACTTAAAGCATTGCGATTAACCGCAGTCTTGACTCACTTCTAAGGGGCTTTGAAACTGTTGGGTCTTATCTGAAAAACTGGGAATTTTTTTGTGCATGATCATAGAAAAGTAAATCACATTTTAAAGTAAAGATAAGAAACCGCATGAAAATTTAGTAACTACTTTTAAAAGATGAAAAATTGTATTTTTTAACTATTTCATAACATGAAATTAAAGAGCATTTAATCATACTGTATAGTTGTCCTTCCCTTTATGATTAAATCTAAACCAACTAGTTCCTAGAATCTACAAGAATTCCGATCTCGTTTATACCCCTTAACCCCTTTTCACCGTCACTGTGGTTAACTTTTGGCAAGGCTCTCAGGTGAGCCATTCCACCCACGCAGTGGTCTAAATGTAACGTCAAATTCGAATGCATTAGATTAATCTCTGGCTAATGAGACAAATTTCAGACGTATCTAATTGGCAATGGCAGTCGCAATCGCAGCTGTTTCTCTTTGCAGTTGTTGCCCATAGACAAGATGCAGATACAAAAAAAAAAAAATATATAATCATAGAGCACGACAGACACAATGCCAATGGCATTGACCTTGAACTTGTGCGATTTTTCCCCCGTTTGCCTTGCCTTTTTTTTTTGCCGATTTTCCTTTAGCTCAAACGGTTTACATTATCTATTGCAACGGTGCAATTTGAATAGAAAATTGAGTTCGAGGTGGAGGTGGGAGTACGGATCGGAAATGCCTTTGCCTGTCATGTCATCGTAAATATTTTCCCGCTTTATTTTTCATTCAATTTGCTACCTTTGAGTGCTCAAATTGCAAAGCGCGTCATTCGCTTGCCAGGTGCTGTGGCAGGTGCATTAGGTACAAATTATTTGCCTAGGGGGTGAAGAGAGCCTTCAGAAAACTAAAAACTGAAAACTGAAAACTGAAAACTGAGAACTGAGACCTCAACGCAAAGACGAAAGTGCAAAAATTGAATTATTGAAAGTTGGATAAAATAAGTGCACTTGAGGAGAATGCCAGTCGTCGAAGACAGTGAGTGGGAGGTGTATACTTTTCACATATTTCAAACTCGATAATTGTCTAATAATAAGGTTATATTTATGTTGCCAGTACTTAAAAGGTTCTCAAAAACTAATGGCCTTAAAACGCTGTTAAGTTGATTTATAGCCTGACTTTTAGGCCTGCTTTGTTAAGTTTAAACTAAAAACCTTAAAACTTTTCAGTAAAGTGTATCATAAATTTCTGCTATTTCTAACATTATTTGAAATACTTTCTTGTCTCTGCCATAAAGCATACTTTTTACGATCCCTATTATCTTTTGAAGTTGAAAAGTTATATTTCTTAACAAAGTTATTAACACTTTCATATTGTTTGTTTGCCTTTCAATTTACTTGCACTTGGGCTAGGGCCAGGCCATTCATCAACTTTTCGCAGTCACTGTTTGCATTTCCAGTTTGTTTATCGCCTTCGCCCACACGACAACCTCAACCTACGACCCATTGGAAACAGTCTCAGTCTCAGTCTCTCTTCCCATCTCGAAATGTCACAGCCCACACTAGATCTTCGTTTCGTATTTTCTCTTTTTCGCAATTTTTCCCCTTTTTTTTAAAGACTTTTTGTTTTGCCGCTGTAGAACAATAAACTTGCTTTATGAAAGGAAATTCTCGCTGTGTGAGGGATTTGTAGGGGAGTAATAGGAAAAGTGAGGGGGTGCTGAAAAAAAACTGGGATGGGGTTAGTTACTTCTGTTTAAAGCAAACAAACAAAGTTTGGCATTCATAGTTGAATGCCAGGGACTAATTAAACAATAATAAAACGTAAATAAAACAAAACATTTTATGGTGTTTCTGCCACCCCTTTTCCACCACCCACTCTACGATACGAAAGCCCCTCCCTCCCTTGCTATTCCCTATATAAGCAGCCCCCAAAAATTATTGTCACGAATACATTAAAAATCACTCAACCGTTGTCTCGTGTGCCAATTTTTTGTTGCTATTTCCGCGCCGCCCTCCTCTTTCTAGCTTTGGCTAAAATTCCGAAACCCCCATCTCCCCCCTCCTCTGTATATTCTGAATGTGGTGTTCATTTAAATCACATAAAAATCAAACAAAAAACCCACATAAAACTGGCTTTTTTTTAGATGTTCTATTATGGGTTGTGTTTTTGTTTTTGTCTACGCTCTTTCTTCGTATGTTAATTGATAAAGTTTTATAACTTTTTAATGAAACAGCCAAACGAAACTGAACTGAAGTGAACCGCAAATGAAATGCAAATCGAAAACCTAAAATCTAATATGTAGAAACAAAAATGCTTACCTTGAAACGGTTTTAGTTTCGGAATTTGTAAGAAGTCTTCAAAACTAATGCTTTGATAAATCAATAAAACTTTGCTAATCATCGAGTTTAAAACTGAAGATAATTTGTTTCTTGGGGGCACCAAAGTGTTAAAAATGTTTTAACGACTGCCAAATGCCCTTAAATAATAATTTTGGTGTTTTTATGGGCTATTAAAATGTTGTAAAATTCTTTATATAGATTATCAATTATGAGAATATGTTAAAATATGCCATTAAAAATTAATTAGGGTTTTAATAAATATTTTCTAATACTTCTAAAACCTAAAATTAATGAACTATTTAACTTTTTCGAGTTTAAACTAATTAATTATCATTAAAAAGTTTATACTTTTTAAGTATAATATCTGAAACTAAAAACAAACCTCTTAATTTCATTAGTGCCTGACTCCACTGAAAATATTAATTAAGATAACAATTTAATTATTTAATTGAAAATTCATCTCAAGTCTGAAATGTTATTTATCTTCCTTTGTTCCACATAAATCATCCACTGTCAAAAAGCCATTATGAAATAATGTCTGATTTGAGTGTAAACGTTTTTTCTCCTCTTCGTTTTTATAAATATTTTAAAACAAAATAAAGCCAGCGCTTAATTTATGCAAAATGGCCATAACTCAAAGCGACAGAGGAATTCACCTTAAAAACAAAACAAACAGCAAACAAAAAATCGTTTTTTTTTCTTTGGCTGATTTGACAAATGACAAAAATAATGATAATACCAGTAGCCACCTGCTGTGGGATCAGATGGGGAGTGGGGGAATACTATATACACATTATTATTATTATTATTGTTCAGTTCCCAATGTGAACAACTCCGACAGCTGTAAACTGTCAACATGAGCAGTATCTGAGATCGCAGATCATGCAAATTAGTTGGCCATCCATCGCGTATTAAGAAATTAAAAATTCATAATTTGGGAAGAGTTCGTGGAAAAGAATTCAATGGCATTCTTCGAATACGAGAGGCGTTTAATTGAGACTTATGAAGGGTTACCCCCCAAACAAACAATTAAACGAACTTTAAATACCGCGAAAAATCATAGTGGGTGGGGTTTTGTGGGCCGAAGAGTTCAAGAACCTCACCTTCAGTTGAATGGGGAGGGCATGCAAAAACCTTCGAAGGTCGGTTATGGGATTCGGCTGAGCCTGGGCTAATTAGAGCCAAAGGACATCGCACAATGGTCATGACATGTGGCAGTCGAGAGTCGACAGTCGACAGGCGACGGGCGCCACATGGATATGGGTAAATCGCGTGTTTTTGGCCGCTCCCAGCTGTGAAAAATGGGTCGCGCGTGACAGTCAGCAGAGTGTGGGTGCCGGAGGAGGAGGAGGGGTAAGCGAGGCGGGGCGGAGACGGGGCATCAGGTCCAAGCGGAGCCGGCCAAATCCGGCTAAAATCAATAACAAACACGCAAATACTTAAGCTCCTGCTCAGACTGAATCAGCGAATCCGCGCTCTTAAAGTTATTTCGCCAAAAGCTGTAACAGGCAAATGCACTCGAAAAAAAATATTAAGTTTAGGTTTTACCCTTAAGTTACCTTGACCTACCATCCAAACATAAAATAAAATATATTAAAAAATGAGTCACTCCCTTGACAGTTTTCTAATCTCCGACATGTCCATCGGTTTTTATATCAAAATGATTTTTTAAACTCATCAAAATGGTATTTGTAGCTTATTTATCAAATCAACACTATAATGCTTTCTAAACCCATTTAAATTTTTATTAAAAATTGATAAGATAGAAGCAAGAATGGCTAAATGAATATTTTAAAAAGACTTCCTCCCAAAGATATTACATTTTATTTGCTGTGTAGGAATTGGCACGAAATCCGCATGGCAGCCTAGTTTGGTGTTGTCTTTTTTAATGTGTGGGCTTGAAATGCGTCAATGTTTGAATTAAAATCTGATCAAAGTAAAGAAGCTGCCAGAAAAACAGCAGTGATAAGTCAACAAGTCGTGTAAATATCATCGAAGGGGGAATGTCAAACTGTAGCCGCCAAAGGAAGATGTTTTTGAATGCATCGCAGCGTTCGCTTGGCTGCGATGGCCTTTGCATACAAATTACCCGAAACACTCTGCCAAATGTGATGAATGATTAATCAAATAAATTAAATGTCATCTGCCTTGATTTAAGCATTGGTAAATGACGGGTAATGACATGGATTTTTCCCTTACGAAACAATCAAAACCATATTTCATCTATTGGTTTCGTTTAATGTGGGTAATAATGCACTTTTAAGCAGTTACATGTCGTTTGTTACATTGATTGTGAACAGCTATGTCTATATACACACACATAAAAAGTATCGCAGTAAAAATGTTGTAAAATTAAACGCTAAAAATAATAATAATAATTATTGCACAGCAGCAGCTTAAAGTAATATAAACAATAACTCTTAACTTAAACATAATTGCACGTAAAGGAACTCATAGACAACTTCACTTCAGACGAGTTGGCGGAAAGTACAAAAGATCCGAGTACATTATAGAAATACAAATAGATATCACACACACGGTATAGTAGATCGACTAATACACACACATATATATATATATATAGATCTCCTAATCCTGATGCATATATACGTTTATGCCTTGATCTTGCGGCCCAACTTTTGTGTTCCATACTTGTGATTATCCCGACCGGAAGAACCGCTGCCTCCACTACTTCCATGTCCATGACTGTGAGAATTGTGCGACTTGTGCTTGCCCAGGCCATTGGACTTGGTGCGGGTCTCGAAAAGGACATCGGAATCAGTCTCTGATTCGGTCAGCGATGTGTTACGGTTATCTGGAAAGGAAAATGCTGATGATTAAAAACATTTCATAAGGGAAATCAAGAAGTTATACTCACAGTTGGCCGCTTCTTCATCCTTGTTACCAATTAATGAATATTTTTGTACTTTCTGGCGAAGACGTGGCTTTTTCGATTGTCTGCAGGCACAGGCTATGCCCCAAAATACTCCGGACAGCAAAAGGCATCCCACTATCACTCCAACAAACACATATAAAATGGACCAATCTGAAAAACATGAATTAAAACAAATTAGCAGCAATATAAGATCTAAAGAAAATCCCAACTTACCACAATTGGCTTCCTGGTTGTTGAAGAAGTAACCTGCCGATGGCATCCAGAATGCCTCACATATGCAGGCTCTGCTAATGGGATTGCAGGTTCCATGACCAGAGCAATCGTTTTGGCAAAGGGTGGTTCTTATATCCACAGCGAATGCACCCAGTATAGATGCATCCTTCTGAAGTTGAGTCCTCAACTGACGCTCCACTTGCAAGCCATCCAATGCTTTTCCTTGGCCATCATTCACATAGAAGACCAGGACAGTAGCATCCGTATGCAGATCGTATTTGAGCTCTCTGACCTGAATCTTGTTCTCATCACCCAGCAATAGCTGCAGTTTCTGCACCACTGAATCCAGTTCGGATTGTGAAAGAACGGATATGCCCATGGACAGGGTCATTTGGACCAAGTTCAATAGCTTCGGATCGCGATGTACATTCACGCTGACAGTATCCGAACTGGTCAAACCTTGATCATCGCTCACAGTCAATGTAAAAACATAGCGGCCTTGGACTAGATTAGTCAACTGGAAAATTGTATAATATTAGACTCTGTTAGATTAGAGTTTCATCCTTTACTCACAATCATCACTGGTTCTTTGTCGGTATCTGCCACAATGACACCGGCTGCCAGACTGTGTTCATCGCGTGTCCAAAGATACTTGACCACCGCCAGGTCATCCCACGATTTGGAGCCATTGAAATAGATGGCAGTGGCTGGCAGAGTAATGGTATGATCTCCTCCGCCGTTGGCTATTGGGGCAGCATTGCGTTCTGGTTGAGGAAGATAATTTAATTAGATACTTTCTTAACTAAAGATTAGGGATTAAGTGCTTACCCTGTACAATCTTCACCCAGGTGGTGTCCGTAGCCGTGTTATTATTCTCATCGGATACACTCAACTCGAACTCATAGAGACCAAGTGTTAGGGAAGTGGCATTGGCAATCTTTGGGATTGAAAGATATGACATTGGCTCACAGTTTAAGGCTTAATATGGACTTACCGATGAGTTCGACTTCAAAATAACAGCATTATTGGGCCCGCTTAGCTGCCTCCATAAGTAACTCTTGATGCCAATATCATCCTTGGATTCGGAACCATTCAGAAGCACCCAATTGATGGGTAAGCTAGTGGTCTGTAAAATACAAATTTTCAAACTGGATAACAGGTAATCCAATTAGCAAAACATACCGTATTTGTTCCTGCCTCAGCTACTGGTGGCGAATTAGTTGGTGGCTTTACGAAAACATGAACCTTGGCCGTACTGGATTGACCACTGCCATCGGTGACTTTGAGCACAAACGTATACATGCCCTCCTCCAGATTGGACAGCTGAACATAGGGAGTTCTTGTATTCTGCATATCCACAGCCTTGGCTTCATCGCTGGCATCCTTGGTCCACTCCCAAGCTACGATCTCGTGATCATCCGAACTGGCTGTTCCATTCAGAGTGACATTATTGTTGGGCAAATACAGGATCACAGCATCCCCGGCATTGGCCACTGGAGCATAATCGGTTTCCTTTAGAACGGCTATAGTGGCAGTGGTGGAGTTGGTCACGTTGTTCGAATCAGTTACGGTTAACTTGAAGGTGTAGTTTCCGGGTGAAGTGAGATCCAGTTGGAGGGTGTTAACTTCTGGCAATACGGGTTGATAACCAATCGGTCCTGAGATCACCTCCCAGTGCCAATTTGTGATCTTGTCGTCATCCGTGCTAGTGCTGCCATCGAGTATGGCATTGGTTGTAGGCTGCCGGATGATCTGTTCCCTGGGTGAGATTATCACCTGTGGTGGCTGATTGATTCGGTTCTCGGGAAGCACTGTCACATTTGCTGTAGCTTCGCCAAAGGTACCATTGTCACCAGTTACAGTGACCTTAAACGTGTACAAACCCTCAGAGAGGTTGGATAGTTTTACTTTGGACTTGCTCTGGTCTGATATTGTGCCATTCATAGGACCTTTGGGCTGGGAAATGAGAGTCCAAAGATATTTGTACTTGGTATCACTGGTTTGCTCATCGGGAACTGTGAACGCTGCAAGGGTCACCTCCTGCTCTGGCAACCGAACTTCCTTGGACATCACGGAGACTACAATATCTTTGTTCTGCTCGGTTTTCAAAGGTGGAGCAGATACCTCTGGTGAGTTTTCACTAGCCGCTGTTTCCTGTTGCCCTGCCTCATTGCTGGTGAGATAGGAGCTATAGGGGACCGCTGCCATCACGCACTTCCTTTGTTTATTCCACACAAAGCCCTCTGGGCAAGTGCACACACCTCTCACCGCATTCGGCTGCAGAGGAACACATTGCTGAGGCGGCGGACAAGGTGTCTCCACGTCACAAGTGGTGAACTTGGCATTCGTGTCGTAGTAACCGAGCTCCTCATTGGCCAGCACATCGTTTTCGTCGGGCTGGAAGATCATTTGGTTCATCCGTTTGTCCGCCAATGGGAAATCTTCGTCCTCATAAACGGGAGTTTCCTGAAAGAAGTTATTGATTATTTATGGAAATATTGAAGATTAGGAGTGGATAATTACCTGATTACGAGCCAGGTATCCTAGTCTCCTCGGCTGTTTCCAGAAATTCAGAGCCGCCTCATCGTAGGGCAAGATCTCGGCATTCTGCTTGGCGGCTTCCGCCTTAAGCAGCTGTGGCCAGGTGGCATCGCCCAGGGGATTCACCAGAACCATCTGAACCTTTTCGTTGGGCATCCGGACTCTGAGCTTGGGCAAGCAGGCTTCGTTGCTCTGACACCGAATGTGGTAGCACTTTTCCTTAAAGACCAGAACCACATTGCAGCCGCTGGTGGCATTCCGGGGCTTTTCGCAACACGCCTGCAGGCAGTTCCAGAGGTAGGCCTCCTCCTCCAGGGGCTCCACTGTATCCGGTGGTGGTTTGTACTCCTCAAAAACACCCGCTTGTTGTTCATCCCGCGGCGTGGCATTTTCGAAAACGTGCCTCAACATTTTGTGGCACACCAAATTCGGCGATATAGCACCGCCAACTGATTTATCTGGGCTGTCTTTGTGTTTTTTATTTCCACCCAACAGCGCGTTTTGCGTTGTGACGTCGGCATATGCTGACGCCATCGAAAAGGCCAGCAAAAGCAGGTTGAAAATCCAGCTGCCCATCTGAGCCATCTTCAAATTCGGTTGCTCCTCCCTGTGCTCGACAATCCGCTAGAGTTTTGAGTCTAATTTGACCAGCAAAACACTGGTTCTGCGATTTTTTCTTTTTAGCCAGCGCACAACAAAAAAAGACACAGTTACTCCAGCTGACAGCTGATTTATTATGCCAGCCCTGCGCAGTAAGCAGTGTTGTAAGTGGTACGGAGGAATATCGAGTTGCAAAGAGAGTGGGAGCGAGTGCTAGCGGTTTCCAGCAGAATAGAGCGTTAGATAAGCGGAAGTTACCGCTGAGAAATAACGAAGAAAAAGCTTCCGCGAAAGCTTTCTCTCTGGTGGCTGGCTTAGTAACGGTTTTTGATTTGAATAAATTGCAAAATTATTGATTAGAATAACGATTTGGGGTAAGACGATTGGATTCCTAATATTAACAAGATTTAAAATGAGATTTTTATGACTTGAAATAATCACCAATGAATCACCAATATCGTTTTAGGATGACTCTTTCTTTAAGACTTACTAGTCATTTTACCGCTGCTGTTTTTACTAAACATGGTCTCGTGCTGCCCCCGCACAAAGCCACTACAATACACACCCATCAGGCATAATGTAGGATTTAAATAAAATTAAACACGGCCCACGCTCCTCCAAAGCGAACTCCACAAATCGCAGTGCAGAAAAATTAATTACGTTTCTAGCCAACGTAGATAAATCACTGGTATTGTATTTATGCAAATTTTTAATTGCTAAACACGCAAATGCAAGGCAAGGAATATAAATCAAGTTGATTCCAACCCAAATCAAACCAGAACTCATGCTCAGAGCCTTGTCGGTTTCGGCCGTTTGTTGTTGGGCCCCCCTAAAATCCGCTGAAAGTCCATTTATCTCGCCGTATAATTTTCATGGCCTTGTTGAGGTGTTTTTATGGCCAGCCGCTGCCACTATCTAAAGCTGCTGCATTAACTAGCCAAAATAAAAGGAAAACCATGAAAAAATATTGATTGTAAGCAGAGATTTGGAGCAGGTACTAGAAGGGGAATAATGTTTGAGATCAGTATCCAAGGGTATTATGTTTTACGGTAAGGTGTACTATATAGTTCTTCCATATCTTAGCTCCATAATAAATTACTCACTCACAGCCTGCTATTCGAAGAATTCCCATTTATATGGCCAATGAATAAATACAACACATAAATCTTATTCAATGGCACGCGCTAAGCATATGAATGAGTGCTATAATGGCACATCAATTGCTGGAATAATTGAAAACTTCATGGGGAATAACCACTATATCTGAATATTTTTCGTTTTATCACCAAGTTTTTATGTCTATATAAATATACAGTTTGAAGTTACTCGATTGCCATATATGGAAAACTGATAAGCTTGCATTGCAAAACTGGCATTCACCAAGTCTCATGAATATTTCCCTCTCTGGTTTTTTTTTTGTTTGCCTTACAGATGACAGACTTCTCGGATAGCTCACCCAGTGGGGTGTTGAGTCCGGCCTCTTCACTGATCGAGAATTTCCACAAAAAGAACAGCTCACCGCAGCCACTTGGTGGTAGCAGCACAGTAGTAACCACAGTTACACCAACGTCCTTGAATGGATCTGCAGTGGGCGTGGGCGGTGGTGTGGTGGCCAGCACTGCGAATGGCAGGCAAATCAATACCAGCTCTAGTTCATGCAGTAGTCTTAAGGAAACCTCACATCAGTCCACATCCACATCACAACAGGTGAGAATAGACAATGATTAATATAAGTTAATATAATATAAGTAATTTCCAAGTTCTAGTTAAGAATTGATATAGCTTATAACTATACCGAGAATTCCATCCACCGATTAGACAAAATAGAATCTGACGCAGCTGTGGTCATCAGTTGAGATATCTGAACTGAATAGCATTGAAATCAGAAATCTAGAAGAGCTGGCATAATGCCTCTATTTTTAAACCATTACTTAAGGAACCCCCTAATCGTAGGAACCTTTCGGTAGGTTAACACTTGATAACCGATAGCAAACACACGGCCACAATTCATCGATGAACTCAATACCCTTCTATTGGCAGCACCCTCTTGATAAGATTACCCTTTGGTATTTCATAGCCCCACTGGCGACGTTGAGGCTGCTGTGAAAGCGAAAAAAAACGGTTTTATTAATCACGTATTTATTATTTGCCCGGTTTGATTGAGTTGTAGCTACATAAATAAACACTCGAATAATTATTAAACAATTTAGAAAAAGGGGAGAAGACAAAGGTAGGGCGAAACGTGCCGCAAAATTGTTAAAACGTTTTTTTTATTTCTGTTTCTAATGACCTGTTAACAAGTTGATTATACTATTTTTTTTATGGTTCAAATAGATAAGATACGAATGGGGTTTTCTCTAGAATTTGCATAGCCAACACACGTTTTTATCTTTCAATTTTCCCCGCTTTTATTCTGATAAGAAGGCAAGTTGGCAATCCATTTATGAAGTCTATCAAACGTTGACACTTTTCATCCGCTAAAAATAGCCACTGACCCATTTGAACTGATTTGTGATATGGTCTGTCCATCAATAATTTATAAGCTTTTATCTATCTGATCTATGTTATCAAACTATACATAAAAATAGTTTTGACCTGTTTGAAATCGATTCCAGGCAAAGTCATAACCATTCATTTGATCAAAAATAGCCTCTGACCTGATCGGGCTTTATTCCCACTTTATTTAATTTATTAAATTAGAACTTGACAGCTTATAAACAAGGTAGACGGAAAACTAATTTGCTTTTTTAAATTTTATGACACATTTTGCCGGCTAGTTAAGCGCTGCAATGACTGAGGCAAATGTTTGAACATCTCAATTGCGCACTGGATGGGGGATGATGTGGGCGGATGTCGGGGATTTTGGTTTAGCCCTATAACTATCAAGCTATATAAGAAATACCCCTTTATATATGTATATAGATGTACACCTTTCCAATGAAAACACATTCTCCATAGTCTTCTTCTTGCTGCCTCTTATTGACTCGCTTTAAATGGAGGCTGAGTCACTTGCCGGCAACCGGCACACTTCGTCGCCATTTGATTCTACGTCAGCAGAGCAGAGTGCCGTCCCCCCCCCCCAACACAGCTCACTTCTCCGAATCTCGTGAATCGTTCTGAATTCGGCGCCATACTTTTTTATATTGTGTGCTAGATGTGTCGTTATCTGTGTACATCCTGGTTGTGATTGAAATTGTTTGTTAGTGGTCCAAGTTCAACAAGCATCGCATCATTACGGAGAAGTGATTGTTATGTGTTTCCACTTATTACGAGTTCAACGCACATAGGAGCGTACGAGTATATACAAATAAATAACCAGATTCGCCAAATTCATTCATTCATTCAATAAAATATAACACAAAGTAGCCATCGGTTCGCCGAATTTGTTTTCTCTGCTAGGCATGACAATTTCAGTTTTCCAAGGAAAAGAGCTTTATTTTAGGTGGTTAGCAAGCCAATTTCACGATACGATATGCTCTTCGTAGAAATTGTTGAGGTAAACTGAACGAAAAGAGTATTATGACGGGGGATAGAAATGATAATGATATGATTGGATTTATTAAATAGAAAGGTAAGAAAGGGTATTCGAATAAAAGGAAAGATAAATACTCATTACTTACTTAACAAATAATAGTAAAACTCATATAAAGTAACTTTAGTTATAAAAAGTAACATAAAATCCCCAACTAGCCTGCCCTAATGATGTTTAAAATACATTTAAAACGAATTTATTTCTATTAGGCAAGCTAAGCGGTCTCAATAATAATTAAAATATTATACTGCCTAAGCAAATTTGCTGAATAATTATGCAGAGATTAACACCCAATTATTTAAATACTAAATGAAAACAAAACAAAGCCCATTCGCTCAGTAAAGTCCCGTGGTAATCAGAAAAGTAAACATCGGGAATTGAAATGAGCAGAACGAGATACAATCTTCAAACAGCTTGAATCAGAAAAAAATCAGAAATGAAAACAAAAACAAAAAAAAACGAACTACAAGCCGAGAACTCGTTAATTAGAGAAGCTTTGGCTTGAAAAGCTTAGACAAGAACGTGAACCGAACCCGACTTAGCAGCTGAATTATGGAAATGCAAATTATAAACGGCATAAATTACAGATTAAGCGAAGGGAAACACGGCGAAAATAAACACACACACACATGAACAGCAAAGCAAAGCAAAAAAAAAAAAAAGCTGAGGGAGAGCCGCCCAGACTTGTATTTACAATTTGATTTCCTAGAATTCCTCTGCCTGCGAACACATACGCTAAAAAGCTATCATGAACGAACATGTGTTGCCATTTAGCTGCCCGGTTATGTCTCTTTACCTCTCTCACTATCTCTCTATCTTACACAGAAAGAAATACTTTATATATATATATATCATTTTATAGGGTTAGCGGGGATGCTTGATGAGATTTGGTGGGTTGAAATTATCCTCTAGTTAAATCTTTCACAATATGAAAGAAACTAGTACCTAGTTCGCCTACCAATTCTTTACCTTTTCTAATTACTTTTCTCTCAGTGCCTTACGTTGATCGCACTTTAAAACGACGCCGGCAGCGAAACGACAGCGCTGAAAAAAAAGCTCTCAAGCTGCCAAGCTACCAAGCTCCCACGCTGCTGCCTGCGGAGCTAGAAATTTCGTGCTCGGCGCTCATTTTTATTTTAGTTAACGAAACGAACGAACCAGCGGCGCGCTAAGAAATTCAAGAAATACTATAGCAAAAACACTCAACCGAGGCGGAAATAATTTTGCTTTAGTTCTTTTTTGCTAGCGTGTGTGCCGTCGAACAAAAAAAAAAAAAAAAAGAAAATCAAGAAATAATACAAATCACCTTTATAATAATAATTTTCTCCTTAACGAGTACCGAAACGAAATCGTGGCTCTTTTTGGCCATCAACGATTAACGAACAATTAAACGAACTCTCTTTGTTATCAGTATTGCACAAAAATAAATAAAAACCAACCACACAACGAACACCGAAAGTAGTAAAGAGAATAGCAACGAAAAGTGAAAAACGTCAGTGAGTGAGTGTGAAAAGCAAGAAAAGTAAAAGTCCTGCAAATAGAAAATTGTGGAAGGCAGAAAGTAAAATCTATATTAAAAATATATACATATATAGTTTATGTATTGCCGTGTGCGTGTGTCTGAGTGTCTGATAAGCCCCTCATCCCAAGCTGATTATTTAGCTATATAAAAAAACGCTGGCATACGTTTTAATATATATGTATGCCAGAGTTAAGTGCTTTATCAAAACGGAGGCGAATACGTAATATGAAATTCAATTGAATTGAACGGAGTTTTCGAAGAAATTGTCAACGAATTTGATCTAAAGCAAGCGATCTGAGAAGGTTAGTCAAGCCGATTCTCGAACAAAACATCATTGTGATAATTTAGTAAATGACGCAAAAATCGGAAAAACAATAAAAAAAAAAAAAAGAAAAAGAAAAGGAAAAAATGAAACACACAGAAGTGATATCTAATCTTTTGATTTCATGTCCAAGCCAAACTCCTTCACCCTCCGCACTTGTAAGGGGAAAAAATATTTATTGATCAGGGGTACTTGAAAGTGTTACCTTACCTACCGATAAGTTTATGTCAGCCGGAAAGAGAGCGACGGGGGTGCGAAATGTTTGCTATTCCCTTTGGCCAACATGTCGTATGCGTAACGTTAATTCAAATCGCTCTCGATTTATGTGTGTGGACATGTTTTATTGCCCAACCAGAAGAATGCCTTATAAAACCGCTCGCAACCCACTCACACTTATATCTACATATTTATTAACGTTCAACTGTTCAACTTGTTTGACTTTTGGGGCTTCTTCTTTGCCTTTTTTTTTTTGGTTTTGGTTTTGTTTTTGGTTTTTGGTTGATGGCAGACGCCAGAAACCTGGCCAAAATTAGATTTGATTCGTAATACGCCAACATTTGTCAAAACGCTTCGAGCTGTGGCTTTTCAGCAAACAAAACCATAAATAGAAAATCCTCTTCCTTGGGTTTTTCCTAGAAAGTTATGAGTGTCAGAGTTTTGAATAAAATCTATAGATATTATAAACTAATAATACACATTTAAAAGAAATGATGTCTAGCTAATTAAAGCCCGATGAGAGCATCGACCAGTTTACTGACCTAGGGTCAATGGCTTTGTCTACAAGTTTGTAAGACCGATCAATGAAGTAATATCTCATGTGAAACTCTTTCAAGGCAATCGCGCTAATCAAATCAAATATTTTCTCGTGCCATAAAGCATTTGGTTAGCTATCAAAATTGTGGAATTTAGATAGAGCGAGCCATCCATCTAGTTTTTTGGGGGTAAGCTCCATGAAAGTCAAATATTATATAGCGCGGCCAAAACAAATGTCGATCCCAAAACAAATGGCTCATTTGATTTATAAAGACCAAGTTAAGCGCCCGGGGCCATAAAATGCGAGCAGAGATAGCGCCAGACAGTAAAGCACATTCATATATGTATTAAAAAAAAAATATATATACGAATATCTATATAATATTTGTACAGAGCCAAAGGGGAAAAATGTGTCTCTGTACGCCACAAATTCTTTGCATTTTTCCGCCTATGAGTTTCGGTCAGAAAATAACTCGACTTTCTATAATTGTGTCTACCCGTCTGTTGTTTATTTTTTTCAGGTTGTAAACAGCAGCAGCAGCAGCACAACGACGCGGGTGGAGAAGAAGAGTCAGCGTCTGCATCACCATATAACCTCCTCATCCTCCAGCTCCTCAACTACCCAGGCTCTGTCCACCTCATCGGAGATGAAGGCGGCGGAAATCAAGAGAGATCTCACAAATATCCAGAAGTCCATGTCCGAAATCAACGATCTGGCCAAGGAGCGTATCACAGGCGGACCTGGATCCATTAGCACCACCTCAGCCTCAGCGATCACAGCGCCCAGCACAATGTCCCAGACGACGACGAGCAGGCTAACAACACCCAAACTCACATCGGCCCATCCGTCGATCGACGATCTCAGGGGTCTCAGCAGCCAGGATAAGATCACCCAGCTGCAAAAAAAGTGAGTAATCATTGAGGGGATTTCTCTAGGAAATCTATTAGTCTATTTCATAGTGACTAGTCATAAAAACTGTCTTTCTAACTATCTACTAGATAGTCAATCATAGGAGATAGTGACACATAAAGAAGCTATTTTTATGGGCAAATGATGAAAGTTAATCAAATGTAGGGATAGTAAATAATAGAAGACAAAAGTTATATAGAAATTGAGAAAATATAACAATAAGGCGATAATTTGACACTCTCTGACTTTAGAAGCTTCTAATTTCCCATAAACTTCTATGTATTCCGTTGCACTTATAAAGCATTTCTAAACTTCTCTCGCCAGACTTCGCGCCTCATTCGAGAATCTGGTAGACGACGCTGACAGCAGTGTGATCGTGACCCTGCCGGATGACGATGACCACCCGCATAACCACTTTGGCAGCGGCCTCAACCTCAGCCATCCCACCGCCGCCCAGCTGAGTGCCAGTGGATTGAGCGGCTCAAATAAAACAATCGACACGATCAAGTTCCAGGAGAAGAGCATGAAGACCGAGTCCAAGACGAAAGTGGTTACCGATGGCTTCAGTTCCGAACAGGCCACCAGCAACTCCGCAGAGATGAAGCGCCTTCAGGCCGGAGATATAGACTATCAGGAAAGCAAGGGTGCGTCGGCGATGAGGAACCGATTGGAGATGGATGGTGTGAAAACGGAGGAGAATGCAGCTGTCATTAAGGTGAGTGTTAGTTGAGTAAAAGGTCCAGCTTAAGGATAAAGATAAAGCAAGATTAAAATCAGATTACTTCAAAGCACATCTACATAGACGTATTTCCCATATAAGAAATTTCAAAATCAGTGTTAATAACCTGCTGCAAGTAGTCATTGAACTCGCCCCTGAAATCTGCCCTCTATCAAAAAGCTTTCGTTAAAAGCTATTTAGGGTAGTAGAAAGGGTAGTTATTACCCCCAATGGATGGACACCCCATTTGGAAGCTTTCGCTAACTGTTAGACCATGGCACTCCTCTCAGTTTAGAGTTCATCGCGTGCATGTTAAGGTCGCATCAGGGACACCAGCGCCAAGGCGTTTATATTCCAGTCCATAGTGAAAACAGTCCAAAAGTGAAAGTTGTCAAGCCGATAACTACTCCCGCTTACTCATAAGACAAGGAAAATCGATTGTGTGGCGCCGAAAAGCGGGCAACACTCGACGTGATTGTAATGTGAAATGCTCCTTAACAAGTGCCTGCTCCTCGGGAGCCCCAAATTCATTCGTAACTACTGTAAATCCAAAAAGGACAAGCCCACCGGAATGTTTAGAAGAGTTCAGGTACTAAAGAACCCAGAAATATAGTTTGGTTTTCTGTTTGTAGTTTTCGCCATTACACCTGTTACCCAGGGTTACCAAGAATCGGTGATGAAGGGGAAAAACTAAATTCAAACAGTTGATTTTATCTAATCAGAGATGGTGGGGCGGCTTTATTACATCATTGTTGATTTGCATACGTTTATTGGAGTTAATTGCTTTATGATGGGATAATGAATTTCGGAATGTCAACGATGATTGTTTGACCTTTTCCTTGGAATTTGGGATAAAATCAGTTGGAAACGGGATTGGTTTTATAACCAAATCTAGTCTACTACTGAACTACTTTTAATGGCTTTTTTAAGTCCTTTTCATCACAAAACTCTCCATCAACACCTCGTCCATCAAAGCCCCCTTATAAAGTATATACCAACTCAATCCACTTAAATATATATTCAAAATCTCACACGAGGGCAGCAATTTGAATGGATGCTAGATGATTGGCCCTCCGCCAAAATATTTAACTAACAGATAGACAGCCACGCTCCATGTGCAGCCAACAAGTGCCCGGGTTTGAAGATTCATAAAAAATCCAATAAAAATACTTTGATACAGTTTTATATGGATTGTGGAAGAATCCACATAGTCTTAGGACATTTGCGTCAATTGCAAGAAACTGATGGAACAGCACGCACCATTCCACATTATTTCCGAGAAGTAATCGAAGAAATAGGAGAACCATAACCATACCCATTCCTCTCCCCATTTTTGATTTATTTCCCACGAGTTAAAGCTCCGAATTTTCGTATATTTCAATGGCAAGAACAAAATTGCCTTGCTCTCTTTGTTTTATTTTCGAATATATTTTTTGAATAAAACGCCTCAGAGCGATACGCGGACCTCAGTAGCAGACAGACGAGCGTCGTGAGCGTTTCAGCAAATCGAATTATATGTAGTTGAATTATACAATAGAACGAGTCTGTATAATCATTTGCATATATAAGAAACTGATGTGTGTCAGTGGCTAGATCGTACTAAATTCAAATACAGCGCAAGTGACAAAGACTTCCTAATTAAAACACAAATTAGACTTACCTACAGCGATTTTGTTTACGAACGAGAATATTGTCACAGGTGTTGCAAGCTATACGAAAAATATATATAGAAACCGACCTTCGAATATTACAAACTGAAAACACTCGGTGGTGAAATTCGAAATAAGGAAACAAGTTTATTCTTAAAAAATAATACAACTTCCTAAAAAACTTAAAGAAACTAAAGATACTATAACCGAATAAAAAGAATGCCTACTTTGATGAAATCAGCGTGAAAAATAAACGAAATATCCTATAAAAACGGAAAATCGAAAACCTAACGACAGATGGCCTACCGCTTTCGACGCTATGTGAGCTTTTACCAATGCCTTCGTTGAGTTTTCCCCAATATCATATGCAAATGCGGCTCAACAAGTGTCCGATTTGGTCATTTTATGCCCTGCAATGTGTATAGAATCATCGTTTCGTACAGTGAAGCCGTGTCAAGTGCCTTGTTAATTGTCATTTAACTGTAAAATTATTACAAGTTCTATTTGTCGGTCAGTGTCACACACACACAGACAGATACAGCAACAACACTCAAATACACTGAAACCAAAACACAAACACTCACACACACAGAGAAAGTGATGGCGACGTCGACGTAGCCAATTTGTGCGCTATTTTTATGTGAATGAAAATAAATAAAATACAAAGTATATAGAAAGGAAAAAATACGCAAACGAAACAGCTTATATATTATATATATATAAATATATAGAAGTATATACGGAACGAAATAATCAGCAACTACCGAACCGACTTTGGCATTGAAATACCTGCCACCTAATGTCCAATCAGGCACCCTGGCCCGTTCGCAAGGGCATCTTCCGCTCGACCGGTCAGTCGGATTTCACGCCCACCCGATCACCTAGTCCTATTGTGGAGATGCCATTATCACCACCGCCGGTGGGCACACCTTCGAATAGATTTGGGATTAATTCACCGTTATCCCCACCACCACAGCCCATTCAAGTGGTGGCAGGTTCAACGGCAGCCACTACCATGTCCACTGCGTCCGCTGCCAGAATGTCTGGAGCAGCTGCCTCCGCTTCTTCGTCATCCTCCTCTTCTTCTTCGTCATCGTCGTCGTCGTCGTCGACGCAATCCTCTTCGAGTTCTAGTTCGCACACCAGAGTACGTAAAACTTCTAACCCGCCCCCACAGCCAATTAGCAACTGTCCACTGTCGCCACCACCTCCACCACCACAACAGCAGCAACAACAATTGCCACCACCAACGCCCATCAACAACACCAACCACTCAGCAATTACAACTCCCAATCACAACAACAACCACAACTGTAATCAAATGAAAAACGTTCGCGAAATTCCCATTGAGGTGGAGCAGAGCAAGGTATAACCGAGAGGGGGGTGTGTCCATAAAGCTTTAGTCTAGATTTAGTGACCCAGTGAGGAGGTTGTTCGATGATAAGGCTAAGGGCTTAGCTAGGTATAACAGTTTGTATAACATTTTGTGTAACGGGTTCGAAACTGTTATACCAGAGAGTTCTGTTAAAAAGTTTAAAATTGAGTAAATTTTTCAGTTATATAAATCGTTTTCATTGGTATTTTTGTACACATTTCATGTTGTATACTTGAGCTATCTTTATTCCAGATACAACTTGATCAATCCTTACTAATTGCTATATCTTCTTCCCATATCGCGCCCCAATAAAATATCCAGGAAGCGCTCTCCCTGCGCACCGGCGACATCACACAGCAGGCGAGCAACAATGTGGCCGCTACCAGTATTACGGTGCAGAGCGAGAACTTTTCTGCGGACAAGAAGGCGATCTCCCAGTCGCAGCAATCGCAGACGATGACCTCCAACGGGATCATTAGCCAAGAGAAGCACGTATCCTCCGCCTCGCAGGCCAACTACTCCATGTCACACAAGGGAGTCTCCAGTACCGGCAGCAGCATGATCACCAGCTCCCAGATGTCTGCAATGAATGGCCAAATGCTAAAGCTTACCGATCTCAAATTGGATGACCTTAAGTCCCTAACAGCGGGCAGTGGACAGCAGGAGATCGAACAGACCATCAATAAGTATTCCAACATGCTGACCTCAATAGTGAGCTCCCTGCAAGAAGATGAGCGAGGTGGTAGTGCCATAACCGCCTATGATGTTGGTGGCAAGAAGTCTCAGTACCTAGAGAAGATCAACGAGGTCATTCGGAGAGCCTGGGCAGTGCCCACACATGGCCACGAGCTGGGCTACTCGTTGTGCAACTCCCTGCGCCAAAGTGGTGGCCTTGATCTTCTCATGAAGAACTGTGTTAAGCCCGATCTCCAGTTCTCCTCCGCGCAACTGCTAGAGCAGTGTCTGACCACCGAGAACCGCAAGCATGTGGTAGACAATGGTCTAGATAAGGTCGTCAATGTGGCCTGTGTCTGCACCAAGAATTCGAATATGGAGCACTCCCGCGTGGGTACTGGCATCCTGGAGCATCTGTTCAAACACTCCGAAGGCACCTGTTCGGATGTGATAAGGCTGGGAGGCCTAGATGCTGTGCTCTTCGAATGCCGCACCAGCGATTTGGAAACTCTGCGACACTGCGCCAGTGCTCTGGCGAATCTATCGCTCTATGGTGGAGCTGAGAACCAGGAGGAGATGATCCTGCGAAAGGTGCCCATGTGGCTGTTCCCATTGGCCTTCCACAACGATGATAACATCAAGTACTATGCTTGCTTGGCCATTGCTGTGCTGGTAGCCAACAAGGAGATTGAAGCCGAGGTGCTGAAGTCTGGATGTCTGGACTTAGTAGAACCATTTGTCACTTCCCACGATCCTTCAGCATTTGCGAGATCCAATTTGGCGCATGCCCACGGGCAGAGCAAACATTGGCTGAAGAGATTGGTGCCGGTTTTGAGTTCCAATCGGGAAGAAGCCCGCAATCTGGCTGCTTTCCATTTCTGCATGGAGGCGGGAATCAAGAGGGAGCAAGGCAACACCGACATCTTCCGGGAGATCCATGCTATTGAAGCTTTAAAGACAGTAGCCAGTTGCCCGAATGCCATTGCCTCGAAGTTCGCTGCCCAGGCCTTGAGATTAATCGGAGAGACCGTGCCACATAAGCTATCGCAACAGGTTCCCTTGTGGTCCGTGGAGGACGTGCAGGAGTGGGTGAAGCAGATCGGTTTCAATGACTACATCAACAAGTTCAACGAGTCCCAGGTGGACGGAGATTTGCTGCTGAAACTAACCCAGGAAAATCTTCGAAATGATATTGGAATCGTTAATGGAATCCTGCTGAAGCGATTCGAACGCGAATTGCAAAATCTCAAACGCATGGCTGACTACTCATCCAAGGATACGGCCAAGATGCACCAGTTTCTTTCGGAGATCGGTTCTGATTACTGCACCTACACGTATTCCATGTTGAATGCTGGAATCGATAAGTGTGCTCTGCCGCATGTCAATGAGGATATGCTGATGACGGAGTGTAACATCCAAAACTCGATCCATCGCTTGCGAATTCTCAACGCAGTCAAGAATTTGGAGAACTCGCTGCCCAGCTCATCGGAGGAAAATATGGCCAAGACACTGGACGTTTTTGTTAGCTATAGGCGATCCAATGGCTCCCAGCTGGCCAGTCTGCTCAAGGTTCGTAGACATGAAGGAATTTAAGAGGACATTTTCACTTACAAGTTTCCATTTATTTTAGGTTCACCTGCAGCTGCGTGGATTCTCCGTATTTATTGACGTGGAGCGACTGGAGGCTGGCAAATTCGACAATGGCCTCTTGAACAGTATTCGGCAGGCAAAGAATTTTGTCTTAGTATTAACGCCCGATGCTTTGCACCGCTGTATAAACGACGAGGACTGCAAGGACTGGGTGCATCGCGTGAGTAACTTATAGCCGTATTGGCCCATTCAACCAGAAGATACTTATATGGGGAGTCTTTGATCCGTAGGAAATCGTAGCTGCCTTGAACTCGAACTGTAACATTATACCCATCATGGACCAGCACTTCGATTGGCCTGAGGCGGAGAGACTTCCCGAGGACATGCGCAGTGTGGCGCACTTCAACGGTGTTAGTTGGATCCACGACTACCAGGATGCTTGCATCGATAAGCTCGAAAGGTACATTAAGCGACGCATTTAGATCTGGATTAGCCTGGGACTAGGACGATGGAAAACTCCATTACCGATTACCATAAGCCTGAATAACCTAGAATAACTAAAAACTAAACACTTAAACTATTCCCATTCTTCTGATGCGGCAGATTTTTGCGCGGCGAAAAGAATATCGATCGCATTGCGGCAATGGTGCCCGGCACCCCCGGTTCGGTCTCATACCAAAGAATGCACAGCAACGAATCCGACTACCAGAGCGGCGGAGCAGGCGGTGGATCAGGAGCAGGAACTGGAGGAGGAGGTGGTGGCGTCGGCGGCTCAGGCAGTGTGGTGGATGGCCTAATGGCGGCGGCCAATGGCAGCGGACAAGGTGGGCCAACGAGTACTACAACTACTACTTCTTCTACTCCCAACTCCAACTCAAATCCAAGCTCAAGCTCTAACCAGAGTCCCCCAGCGGCTCCAGCGTAGAGTGAGCCAAGTTAAGCTAAAGATTTACAGAGCTAGCCAACTCGAATATGTTTTAGGCTTAAGCAGAGATCCTCAAGTCACACTCTCTAGTACAACTCTATCTATCTCTCTACCCCATATACACACTCACAATACTTTCTCGCTCACCCAATCAACCAACCCATTACTACCCCCACTACCCATTACTTTTTACTCTTACCAATTAATAATTGATTTAATTCTGATTGCCACACACTCGAAATCGCTTGAAACGCCGTCTCGCGCGCAGCTAATCACCAGGCAAATAGGTACCGCCAATCTCCCTCACCGGCCCGCCAGAGGGGCAGCACCTCGCAGCTGAGTGGTTATTCCCGGGCGCCCTCGAAACGCTCCCAGATCCTGACCCCCTATCGCACACAGCAGGCAGCCCTGCTTCACAAGTCCGGAGCTGGCTCCGCATCCATGCAGAATATGACGCCACTAGCGTATCTGCCTCCACGAAGAAGTTCAGCCGCGGGATTGAGTCATGGATCTGGTTCCGGCATGGGCAATGGCTATCGATCGCACAGCGTGGATGGGTTTCTAGATCAGGCGGGTTCAACACCCGACCAAAGGATAGCAGCTGCAGCGGCCAAAGTGACAGCGGGCAGTACAGCTCTCACGAATGCCAGTTCCACAAGCACTTTGCAACCCGAAGAAGAGGAGGTGGAAGCTCCCCTCAGTGATTCGGTGACGCGACGGGATAAGCATACCCTATCCCCTCCGGGAAATGTCCAACAGCACAGAAAGTCCCGAAGTCTGGACCATATTCTTAGTAAACAAACCCTAGCAGAACTGTTGCCACCGAATAGCGAAGTTTTAGATGGAACGCAGAGCATGCAGAATTTGGCCATTCCAATGACCCCGCAACCCCAACGAAGAGACACCAGCTCCTCCTCCAAGTCGCCAACACCCGAAAGACCTCCACAGCCTGCGAGAGAAAGGGTAAGGGAACGTCAGAGTCCCGAAGGTGTAAGTGCGACGGAAAGTGAGCGTGAGGATCAGCCGGATGAATGCTTGCGACATGGCAATCAACAAAGAGCCTCGGCGTCGGTTCATCGCGGAGCCAGTTTGACCAGTAACAAAACTTCCAACTCATCGCTGGGCTCCAACTACAGTGCCGGGGGAAACAACAAGACGATCTTCAATCGAACGATGAAGAAGGTCCGCTCGCTGATAAAAAAGTAAGCCATAACGAGGAGGCGAACAGACGAGGAGGACCAGGACTCGCTGTCCCCACTCGTCGCTCGTCACTCGCTATATGCTCCATATAAATTTTAGCCATTTTTTCACGAACTGATTTCTGACCAATACAACGCTTTTTTTTTCAAATGGTATATTTCGAACTTATCTTATTCTAGTACTCTACTCTATCTTACTAGGGACAAATTTATTAATATAACTTCTTTATCTAAAATAGTGTTTTAATCTGTAATCAATATTTATGATCATTTATAATTTATGAGTTATTTACTTTACCAGAAATCAGTTCGTAAAAAGATGGTATTAGTTATTCGCCCACTAAGTGCCTGTTAACACGTTACACGCCAATGGCTGCATTTGTGCCATCTAAATAGAATCTCATCCGATCATTTACTCATCAACCCTCAAAACCCTTGGGACCCCTCACAACCACTATACCTCTCTGACTCCCATTCGCCGCCTCTCTACTTCTTTCTCTCTGGTGTTGGTACTCGCTCGCTATTTTTACTTCGCCACTCGTTGACTCAACTCGTTACGCTAAGCATCCACTAAAATTCGCCTGCGTTGCCCAAATTTAAAACAATATATACGAACAGCCCCCTTCCTCCAGTTTCTTTCTCTTCAAACTCTATTTGCCTTGTGATTAGTTGTTGATTTTGATATTTAATTTTTTTATTGAAAAATGAGTAAGCGAATTTAAATTGCAAACACTAATTTATGAAAATAAACAAAAAGAAAAAACACAATTAACGACTGCATAAATACGATACCTAATTTATAGAGAACAAAACAAAAAAATCAACTAATTTTAAACACTACAAGAAACAAAAATACATTGAAAAACGAAAACAAAACAGAAACACCCTATATTTAATATGCTATTTATAATTAATATGTTTAAAAATTTGTACATTTCTCGCGTATGAAATTTGTTCTTGTAACCGTCCGCAAAACGTATATTAGAAATTGCAAAGTTTGAAATTAACCCATGTGGCTTAAAACGAAAATATTTAAGTGATATTTAAACTACGTATATCTTAACTTACTGCAAAATTTTTACAACAATACATGCTGTACAAAACCTAATTTTTAGCGCAGGAGTTTTTAAGGCATATTTTTATTGATTTTTGCAATATATATTTAATATTTAAATAGTGCCTAAAGTTAAAAACAAAAACCGATAAAAAACCGAAAAATACGAAAAACAAAAATAAAATGTGACTTAATGCAAACGAAATGTGTATTATTGGCCCTATATAGCCCGATTTCCCTTGCTTTATCAGTTCATACAATATCATCAACCGCATGTCGACATCCTGATTCTGTTCGTTTTGTGTTATGTTTTTAATTGCGTGCCGTTTTTGAATATATGTTTGTGTCTCTAATGGAATCCGATATGTTTTATTTGTATATATATTTTCACTTTCTTTTCTTCCCTATCTCTCGCTCTCTCTCTTCAACCGCCTGGACTTTATTTGTAGACCATAAAAGCGAAATTGGCTACGGCAATCCGTTGTAACTGTTGTTATCGTTGTGCCTGTTGTACTGCACCCGCCACAAAAGCACCCACCCTTCAAATCGAATCGAATTCGAAAAAAAACCCATCATCGCACCCGTGAGATCAATATCGATGCCCACTCAGCATCCGCTGTCTCGACAACCAACATTCATTGTTATTTATTGCAAAACAACCAACAACAAAAAACAAAACACACAAAGCGAATAGCGATTACCAATAAACGTGTATATAATTGCATAAATCGAAAAGGTCCTGTTAAACATTTATTTAATTTGTTATCCAACCATCCATCCTCCTCCCAATTTGAATAGCAACGAACTGGAGGACGAGGAACTGTCGGGCATTATCCTGTCCAAGGCCACCTCCCCCAATGCCGGACGTATGATATTTTGGTAGGTGGATAATCACCACCCACCTTGCATACACTCAACCCCACAGGTGCATCGAATTTTTGTAAATACTTAAAAAAAACGAAACAAAACACAATAAATGCGAAGGAATTAGAAATATTTAGCCATATATATATATAGAAATTCATTATTACAAAAAAAAAGTATACCCACAGTATAAATATTTTAATGTAGCACTGGAAAATAATGTATCAAAGTAGCCAAGCCCTTATTCTGTTCACATTGTCAAAAAAAGGGAGACCTCTGGAATTGTATTAGTAATTCGGAAATACATTTGTTCAGAACGCTTTCGATTTTAAAACAGATTATAAGTATTACGAATTCGGAAATGTCCGAGAACATGGAGAACAAACTGTCCCTTGAGCCATGCGACGTTATCACTTTCGAGGGCCCTTTCGTCGGGTCCGTGTGCAAAAAGCTGGTCATCGGGAATCCTAGCAAGACCCACAGGATCGCCTTTAAGATGAAGACCACTACTCCAAAGCTCTTTTTTGTGCGTCCTAATATTGGGGTTTTGGGGCCTGGCGAAAAGGTCAGCTTGGACATTTACATGAATGGATTCAAAGAGGAGCCGTTGCAGAAGCGTCACAAGTTCCTTCTGTTGGCGGCCGAAGCAGCTGGTGATATGTGCGATATGCAAGAGTTCTGGAAGCAGCAGAGTCCCGAGAACACCTGGGACACCAAGATCAGATGCGAACTAGTCTACCCGAAGGAGGAGCCGTTGCGCCAGGCCGGTGGTGGACCTAAATCGGCAACAGAATACAAGGAAAGCGAGGTCACTTTTAATGACGGGGTCACCGAGCCGATGGCCAAGTTGCTTAAAAAGCTCAGCAAACTGGACGATCAACGTCTTGCCCTTAAGGAGGAAATCGGCACATTGCGGGACCACTCTATTGGATCCGGTTCTGGTCACGAGGTGGAACGTCGTGCAAGCCAAGGGCGCAGTACTTTCTTCTACGTGGTCGCCTTCATTCTCACCATCCTTGGCGTCTTCGTTGGCGCCTTCTATGGCAAGAATTTTTTGTAAACTTTTTTCGTGACACATTTTAGGGCCAAGCCAATGAGTTAAACCAAAATAATCAAAAATTTGTTGTCAATTAAAAGTAATCATAACATAAGAACTTGTTTTTTTTTATCATTTCTTTTACAAAAGTTTTTCCATTCTAAAACATTAAAATAATTTAACAAGTACACTTGTGGGTGAAAAAAAATTTAGCTTTCAATTTAAAATAAAAAGCAACGGCTTTATTTTACGATATAAATTATTCTTTATTTTTGCAATTTCTTTGGTTTTATCGTCAAAATATTTCTAACTTGACGACAAAAACGGAATTTATATTGCTTGAGTTTCTTAGTCTTAAAAATCGTACAAAGTACCTATTGAAATTTAAAATAGCTTTTTCCCGCTGCAACGAGACACCTGTCTTGGCCAGTGTTGTGAAGCGTAGGTGCTTCCAGAGAGCGTGGCAACTCTGCAGCTGTGCGAATGGAAATGTAGTGCAGGAAAAAACAGCGAAATACACACGTATTCTGAGCCGAAAATAAATAGAATTCCGCCATAAGGACATAAGGACACCAAAAGGATGTCTGCGCGAATGCTTAAGAAGCTGCAGGGTGACGCTGACAAGCTGGCACCGCCGCCCGAAGATGAGGATTGCGAGGAGCTGACCGACAATGACGAACTGGAGGACAGCGATATGCGACGCGACCGCAAGTCTCACCTAAATCCATTCGATTTGGTAAGCCTATATTCTTAATAGCCAGCTCATCACTAACCCAACCGCATAATTCGCCCTTGCCACACCTAAACCAGCTCAATCAACCAGGTTTGAGTCTCTCGGAAAGCGAGTTCAAGGAGGACGACAACGAAACGGAGCACCCCTCGGCCGCATTGCCTAATGCCACGACCAACGCGGCTAAAAAGAAGAAAAAGAAGCGCAAGAAGAAGACCAAATCCAGTGGCAATCACATCAGCAGCGAGGACAACGAGCGCCAGGACAAGTACTTCGCAAAGGTGGATCCGCTTCTTGGTAAAGTCTACGATGCGGTGCCCAGGCAGCCGGCAAAGCAGGTGGCAGCTGTACCCACCGGGAACTCAGCTACCAAGAAGCTGCTGGCAGTAGAGTTGCGACACCTCAATCCACAAAACGAGATGCGACGCACCTTTGGCAAGCGAGTGGTTAAAGTAGAGTAAGTACGCCTTGAAAGATCTTATTAACGCCAGAAAATAAATTTAAAATAAATTGCTTATATCGAATAATGCATTCTGCATATATTAATAATTTGCTATTTAACTTTCTCTTCTAGAACGAAGCGGGGAAGACAGAAACCCACGTTAAAATCCACTCACTTGGTGACTGCCAAGGATTCGTGGCCGGCACTGACCAAGAACACCATTACCATGAAACTGCTACCTGCCCCCGACTCGCCGTCGGTTTCCTCCAAATCAATTACAGACAACGGAGCTGACATCCAGTGGTTTGCCTTTGAGCATAGTCAATACTACCAGGGAGTGCAGCATATGTTTCTGTCTGCCCTGGAGCGTATTGATTCGGGATTTCTGATTACACTGATAAAACGCTGTCCTTACCATGTGGACTCTTTGGTTCAGTTGAGTGAGGTGTGCAAGATGACTGAAGACTATGCATTGGCCTCCGAGCTATTGGAGCGCGCTCTACTCCTTCTGGAATCGTCACTGCACATTAACTTCAGCATGACGTCAGGCAATTGCCGACTGGACTATCGCCGTCAGGAGAACCGCTCCTTTTATATCGTGCTGTTCAAGCATGCCCAGTACCTGGAGGAACGCGCTTGTAGCCGCACCGCCTTCGAGATCTCCAAACTCCTACTGAGTCTGCAGCCGGACACTGATCCACTTGCCATTATCCTGGTCATTGATTACTATGCTCTGCGCAGCAAGCAGTTTGGGTGGCTAGTAGAGTTCTACGAGGAGTACAATGCCGCCAGGAACCTCAATCAGCTGCCCAATATGGCATACTCCTATGCTTTGGCATTGCATACGCTCCATGGCGCCTGTGAGCGCTCCAACCAGGCGCTGCAATACGCTCTTCTGATGTTCCCGGGTGTTTTACGTCCTCTCCTGGACGAGATGTCGGTGCAGACGGATAAAAGGGTTCTGGCCTCCTCATACTTCTTCGCGGATGTGTCGGGCAAGTAAGTTGACTCTTATCTACTTCAATGATTAGCGAAACTTAATTCCTTATCTTCTGTCCCAGTCAATCGCCAGCCCTGCACCAGCTGGTGTGCCTGTATGTGTGCCGTGCACGGGTTGTTTGGCGTCAGAACGAGGTGCTACCCTGGTTGGAGTCAAATGTAAATATAGTACTAGATCGCATTGAGAGTAAGGATCCACTGGTCAATGAGTATAAGGAGAAGAGATCACTGCGTTACGGTGGAACTCCACCCAGGCCTATTCTCCGACATGTTATACTATCGGATTACAAGGAAAAGGTCCCACTGGCCGTCTTCGTGTCTAAGGAGAAGCAAGCCATCATGACTTACGATCCACTGCCACCACCGAACAGCGTAAACTGCTATCAACGGTAAGTATATGATGCTTTGATTAAACCGATTAATTTCTATCTATAATTATATCTACTATTATAATTATTTCTTTACAGAAAATCTTCATCAAGCAGTAGTAGCCCCACAACGAACACGAACAATTCCGTATCAATGTTTTTCCAATCGCTTTTGCCTTCGTTCAACATCAACAACCTGGCAGCAAATGCTCAAGCCCAAGAAGGTGGAGCAGCATTAGTAGCACCTGGTGCAGCTCCAGCTGAAGCTAACTTTGAAGCTGGTGCTGAAGCAGGAGCTGCCGGCGTAGCCGGAGCTATCCGTGAAGCGGAAGGTTTGTATAAATATATTTCAAATATTTTATAATGTAAAACCATTATGCTACTTCTGTATCGTCTCAGAAAACGGATCGTAAAATATGATAAGAAGTTCGTTTCATTTGTATTACTTCTCTAAATTTTATTTATTACACTTTATTTATATTTCAATCGAATTTCTTGGTCAAGAGCTTTAAGTACTTGATAACTAAACTGTCATTCTTCAGATCAATCAATCTCTAAATTTGATTTTTCTCAAAATTCAAAATCACAACAAGATATCGTGCTTAAAATATTGCAGAAGCTGGTATACAGCAGTCGTTGACCCTGATGATGGATGCGATGAGGGATTTCCTGCAAAACTTCCGCATTGCAGAGCACTTGCGTTCACCGGAAACGGCGGCGGCACAATCCACGAGCAGCAACGACGAAGAGGAGGGATCAAGTGACTATGTCGACTAGTCAATTTGTCAATTACGTGAAACGTAAAAAGTTTTTGGATTTGTGGCTTGGAACAAGTTTTTTGAAAACCACCTTTTGCTATTCCCTCATCTAACCGACACCGTCACAAAATTGAAATATAAAAAATATATAATATATATTAGAACAATTTAAACACATACAAACTTATGCATTGAATAAAATTTTCCAGTACAAGCTTTAGATCAAAAGTGGCGACAGTGTTGAGCTTAAAGAATGTTTTATTGATTTATTTAATGCCTTTTCAATTACGCTTATCAATATAACAAACAGATTTCTCATCAATATTTCTTATCGTTTTTCATTTTTTGTTCAGTTTTCTGCGGTTTTCCCTTTTTGTCTTTCTTGCAGTTATTGCAATTATAAATATTTCTATGACAAGTAGATCATTTTCATATATAATTGTGTATAGAGCTGGGATTTCCAAGAGCTTAGTTTGGTGTGACTGTGTGTGATTGTGTTCGAGTATGGTATAAAAGTCGACTTCTAGAAATAATGCACCTTAATTAGCGGGGTGTTTGTTTAACTGGCAGACATCGGAGTTGTTGCTTTATAGTTATCCTAACAGAATCACACGAAATTAGGAAGAACGAAACTGATTTACACAGAGTTAAGAGCTAAACACATATATAGAGAAGAATCATTACTAATACTTTAGCTTGGAATACATAATGCAATATATATAGATGGAGAACAAATCAAATTTAAAATTGAAAAATAAATCAATAATAACTGCTGCAGGCCGATTGGATCGGATCAATTATGTCATGGTTCCGAAAACAGGATTGTGACGGCAAATGCTGGGGCCATACTCCTCATAGGCAGCCTTCGTGTGACACACTTGATAGAACTCGGGCTATAAATTTTGCAAGAGAATGAAGATTATTTTGATACCCTATGTATAACCTTGATAGACGTTATACAACTTACCGTTGAGGCCAACATACTGCCTCCAAACCACACGGCATACCGCTGCATGTGATGCGTGATCACTTGAACATCAATGGGTTTTGGCTGTATCGAAAATCATTATCGAAGTTGAAAAGATGACTCATAAACTGTAGTGATATCACCTACCTTAATGCGTCCCTCGGACAAATTCTCGCTGATCCGAAGACGTGTATCCACCGATCGCTTGATATCTCGCTGCAACCTCCGTCCAAAGTCCTTGAACATCGTAGATCCACCGCTCAGGACAATATTATTGTACAGCGGACGTCGCACGTCGATTGGGCAGTTCTGGATGACATTATCCACTATCTCAGACAGCGGAATGGTGAAGTCTGGATTCGAGAACTCTGGATGAAAGAAGATCTCGGGTCCCAGGAAGCGCTCGTAGCCCACGTCCACATTAAACGGCGCCTTGGTCACCGTGTTGACGCCCGTGAAGTTGCGTATCCACTTGCCTGGCTCCGTGTCGTACTTGGCAAACTCTTTGGCGATATCCGGACAAATATAGCAATGCTTCTCCTTGATCGCTTTGGCAGTCTCGAGACTCTGTTCCGGCGGAATGCCCACCTCCCGTTCGCGCAGCAGGCTTTGGATGAACGAGGTGATGTTGCGTCCCGCAATAGGGATATGCTTAATGCAGGAACCGATCACATAGCCCTCGGCCTAGAAAAGAAACCGAGGTTACTATATTATTGATTCTCTAATCGTCTTTTTTTTGTTGTTTAATAAAAAATAAAATCTAATTTGGAGTGGTGCAGTTAAATGGATACTAGTCAGTCCAAATGCCTTTGCTGTCGAAATACAATTCAATATTCCCGTTTTAAATTTCTTATTTAAAGATAAGAGCATTCTTTCTAAAAGGGTTTTCACTGTAGCAACTGCGAACACAGCTCTGCTGATAAGATAAGGGCTGCGCTATTTACCACTGGTATGACGTGCGTCACTCCATCACCGCTATCCACCACGATTCCTGTAAGGGTGCGCTCCTCGGCGGACCGTGAGGCCCAACTGGCGGCCAGAGCGAGTACCGCCTGGACGGCAATGTACAGGCCAGGAACGTTGAACGTTTCAAACATAATCTCCGCTGTGTACTCCCGATTCTCGGGCGTATTTAGTGGCGGCTCAGTTAGCAGGAAGTAATGATCCTCAGGCTCAGCACGCAGATACTTGAAGACACACTGCTCTAAAAATCGCTCCATTAAATCCCAGTCCTCCACCAGACCATGACGCACCGGATACTATAGGAATTTAAAGATAAAACTGAATTGGTTACTTGATAGCAGGTTATTCAGAAGCGAACCTTGATGGAGTAACCGGTGGCATCGAAGGCCTCATCGCCGATGAAGAAGTCCAGGTCCTCTATTCCTTTTGTGATGCGCCGTGTGTTAGTGTCACCCACTCGGGCTGATTCCTTTATGGCAATCGCCGAGGGGATAATGAATTGCGGCTCCTTATTCCCGGCAAAGCCCAGTTTAGAGTAGCTTAAAACGTTAGTAAACAGAGTATTAGTCAGACGACCTCTTTTCCGTCCAATTGGAGACCCCCGCGGGCAATCGAAACTGAAAACTCACCCGGTGCCCACATCGATTACGCACGCCGGTAGCCTGCCTGCCATGGTCGCTGCTCGTTTTTTTGGGTTGCTGCTTGTTCAAGCTCTTGAGTTGCAATCCTATCTCGCCTTTGACACCGTTTTGAGATCGTTTCAGCCGCAGATAAACCCCGATTTCTATATATTTTCAACCACACCTCCAACTATGTGTCACTTTGCTCTTCGTCACACACACATTCGCGTGTTCCCGTACGAGCAGCTGCCAGGGCTGCAAGCATCGATAGGCACTGCTTCGAGAATGGCGATAAATTACAAATTTATATAGTTTTAAAATATTTATAAAAACACACTTTTACATTTTTAAAAATAAAATTAAATAATACAGTTTAAATCATTCAAATAAACTGAACTCAAACTGAGTTTGTCTATGTCAAACCCTAATGATGTCAGAATCATTAGAATAACATCTCTGTCTTCTACACTAGCTAGATTTGTCGGAAAAAGCTATACTGTCATCGGCGAGCTAAATGCAGCCCTATTCGCGCCCTACACCTCTGCACTTTCCAACACATCTGGCGTTGCTTCTTCTTATAAGTTTCGTTCGTCTCGCGAATTTCGGCGGTGTGTGTGTGTGGAGCCTTTTCCACGTTTTTTCCTCCGGAAAAGAGATTTGCAATTGGGCCCCCACATTGGAGCCATTTGTGCGGCGAGCATAAACCGAGCACGACAAAGCAAACAAGGCACAATAGCGGGTGCACACTGGACGTAAGGTGACCGCCAGACGACGAAGAGCAGCAGTAGAAGACCGGCGAAACGTGGAAGCAAGCAAAAGTAGCAAAAATGGAGGCACAAAAACTGACGGAACTGTTGCGCGCAACTATTGATCCGAATCCGGAGCAGCGCAAGGCGGCCGAGGATCAACTGGCCCAGGTAAGTTCGTCCTCAAAAAAAGCCCCCGCAGATATTCGAAAGGTCTTCGAGGTGGCGCCATCGCCTAAAAACCATGTGCTTTTTTAATTGTTCGCTTTTAACCTCCCTCACTCCCTCTTTCTTGACTTTGTACATGTGTGTGGGTGTGCATAGTGTAAACCGATATCGGTCAAAAAGTTTGTCCCCTATGTGTTTACCTTTATCCCAACTAATATTTTGTCACTCAGAGGCAACAAGTCTATATATACGGGACACATATGTGTGCTATATATATTTATACCCTTGAACTGTGCTTTTCATATGATTCTTCAGAAATCAGTTAAATTGTTTATAAGATATAAATTAATACTGTGTAAGTAACGCTGGGCTCCCCTTTAAGTGGAGCTTACGCAATTCTCTTGTAATTAAATATGTCCAATCAGAGCGACCAGTCTAATTAGACCCATCCCTACAAACCAATTGGATTGGCCCCACTGTATAGGCATGCTCATTACGACTGAGTCAGCATCTAACGATTTGCATGCCCCTCCCAATCACCTCCCCCCAATGTTAATTAACTTTATCAGCGTTTATGGCCGGCAGAAACTCTTGGCTCCTCCATATTAATTGAGCTCTGTGAACGGAATTTAAAGTGCTTCTGCCATCGATTCTTTGGCCAAATCAAACTTAACCCCACCCAAACAGCTGTGTAAACAAATCCATAGCTTCTATATCATATCCATACATTCCACAGATACACAAAATCATTGGATTCGTCCCCGCCATTCTGCAGATCGTGATGCAGACGACGGTGGAACAGCCGGTGCGCCAGGCAGGTGCTGTTTACCTTAAGAATCTGATCAACAACAGCTGGTCGGATCATGAGGCCAAGCCCGGAGAGCCCATACCATTCTCAATTCACGAACAGGATCGTGCTATGATCCGTAGTGCTATTGTGGATGCTATTGTACATGCCCCCGAGCTGATCAGGTTGGTTTTCCTATCCCATATCTTCTTCAAATGTATAATTTCTTTTTGTAAACAGGGTCCAGCTATCTGTATGCGTGAATCACATAATAAAGAACGATTTCCCTGGGCGCTGGCCACAGGTGGTGGACAACATCAGCATCTACTTACAGAATCAGGATGTTAACGGCTGGAACGGAGCTTTGGTGACCATGTACCAGCTGGTCAAGACCTACGAGTACAAGCGGAGTGAGGAGCGAACGCCGCTGAATGAAGCCATGAACCTATTGTTGCCCATGATCTACCAGCTAATGGTTCGTCTGCTGGCCGAACAGTCCGAGCAATCGGTGCTGCTGCAGAAGCAGATCCTCAAGATCTACTACGCCCTCACGCAGTACAGCCTTCCGCTTGATCTTATCACCAAGGAAGTTTTCTCCCAGTGGATGGAGATCTGCCGACAGGTGGCCGATCGTGACGTGCCTGACAGCTCGCATTTGGACGATGACGAGCGAACAGAATTTCCCTACTGGAAAACTAAAAAATGGGCGCTCCACATCATGGTCCGCATGTTCGAACGGTACGCTCGGAGAATTGTTTTGCTTAAGTATAGATTACTAATTTATCTATGTATTTTCATAGTTATGGCAGTCCAGGCAATGTGGTTAGTGAAAAATACCAAAAATTCGCCGAGTGGTATCTGTCTACCTTTAGCCAGGGCGTACTGGAGGTACTCCTCAAGATCCTCGACCAGTACCGAAATCTCGTCTACGTTTCACCACGTGTCCTCACCGATGTGCTCAACTATCTAAAGAATGCGTAAGTATAACAAAGTATATAAAGTATTTTATTTTAAATTAAATTATAGAAAAAGTAAACTTTTTCGCGAAATTTTATTAGCCTTCAAAAGCTATTTTTAGAAATTTCTTAAAGTCACTGTAGGTTATACCTAATAATTGATAGAGAGCAAGACTGACAATGTTTCTAGCCGATAAGGTATAGTCAACATTTGCAGTTAAGGGAGTCGACTTGAATCAAAAGCGTGATACGCATTTAAGCTTTTGGTACTTCTATTAACAATAATTGTTATGCATGTCAATTACATATGTGTTATTTTATTTTTAGTGTTAGCCACGCCTACACTTGGAAGCTGATTAAGCCTCACATGGTAGCCGTTATTCAGGATGTGATCTTTCCCATCATGTCGTTTACTGATTCTGACCAGGAGCTCTGGGAGAGTGATCCCTACGAGTACATTCGCCTTAAGTTTGGTAAGAGCACAATTTATTCCAATTTGATCTATTATATTAATAGCTCCCAAACAGATATTTTTGAGGACTATGCCACACCTGTACCGGCCGCTCAGTCTCTGCTGCATTCCATCTGCAAAAAACGTAAGGGCATCCTACCAAAGGCCATGGCCACAATTATGCAGATAATAACATCTCCGAATGCGGACAACAAGCAAAAGGATGGTGCATTGCACATGATTGGAACGCTAGCGGATGTGCTGCTGAAAAAGGCCCTGTACCGTGACCAAGTGGAGTCCATGTTAACCACCTACGTGTTTCCGGAATTCCAAAATCCTGCTGGGCACATGAGAGGTCGTGCCTGCTGGGTGCTCCACTACTTCTGTGACGTTCAGATTAAGAATCCCCAAGTGCTCGCCGAGATTATGCGTCTGACCACACACGCTTTGCTAACTGATAAGGAGTTGCCTGTCAAAGTGGAAGCGGCCATCGGTCTGCAGATGTTCCTATCGTCACAGGACGAAGCGCCGCAATACGTAGAGGGGCAGATTAAGGAGATCACCAAGGAACTGCTCACCATTATCCGTGAGACGGAAAACGAGGATCTGACAAACGTAATGCAAAAGATAGTGTGCACCTTCACCGAGCAACTGCTGCCGGTGGCAACCGAGATCTGCCAGCACCTAGCCACCACTTTCAGCCAGGTTTTGGAATCTGAGGAGGGATCCGACGAAAAGGCCATCACAGCTATGAGTCTGCTCAATACGATCGAGACTTTGCTCAGCGTGATGGAAGAGCACCCCGATGTCCTGCTCAACCTGCACCCGATCGTTATCAATGTGGTCGGACATATTTTCCAGCACAACATCACTGGTAAGTAGAATATGACATAAATCTGTTCATGTGTTCAATGTGTTTCCCTTTTAGACTTTTATGAGGAAACCTTCTCGCTGGTTTACGATCTGACAGCTAAGGCTATTTCTCCAGAGATGTGGCAAATGCTGGAGCTGATCTACCAAGTGTTTAAGAAGGATGGTATTGACTTCTTCATCGACATTATGCCTGCGCTGCATAACTATGTAACAGTCGACACTCCAGCCTTCCTATCAAATCCCAACAGGCTCTTGGCCATCCTCGATATGTGCAAGACGGTAAGCTGTTGCATAAACCTTATATTATGCGGATCTAATTATTAAACATTTCTTTTAGATGCTTACTGGCAGCCCTGGCGAAGATCCAGAATGCCATGCCGCAAAGCTAATGGAGGTGATCATATTGCAGTGCAAGGGCCAAATCGACTCAGTGATACACATGTTTGTTGAGCTTGCCCTGTCCCGGCTAACTCGCGAAGTACAGTCCTCCGAACTACGCACCATGTGCCTGCAGGTAGTGATCGCGGCACTCTACTACAATCCCCAGTTGCTGCTATCCATTCTGGACAAAATGTCGCAGCAAAACAACGAGTCTATCAGCGCTCACTTTATTAAGCAGTGGCTCCACGATACTGACTGTTTCCTAGGGTGAGAATCCACACATATATATTTAAAATTAAAAAGGGTTAATAATAACATTATATTTTGCAGTATTCACGACCGAAAACTGTGCGTCCTGGGTCTGTGCACCCTCATTTCGCTGGGCGAAGCCAAGCCGCAGGTTCTAAGTGAGGTGGCCGGCAAGATTGTCCCTGCCCTTATTTTGCTTTTCGATGGTTTAAAACGCGCCTACGAGTCTCGGGCTCAGGAGGAAGAGGAAGAAGAGGAGGAGGAGGATTGTGACGATTGTGAGGAAGCTCTGTCCAGCGACGAGGATGACATGGCCGAAATGGCACCCGATTATCTGGACAAACTGGCTGAATATGCCAAAACGAAGGGCAGTGAGGCGGGCTTCGAAGTAAAAGCAGAGATTAAGGATGAGGATGCGGATTCGGACGGTGAAGCGGAGGAGTCTTTGGGCGACTTAAACGAGACCGGTCTAGAGTCTTTCACAACGCCTATCGATGATGAAGAGAACGAAAGCGCCATCGATGAGTACTGGACGTTTAAGGAAGTTATTACTGGTAAGTTGATTTTAACGACCTTTAGAATTTTGCAAAGTATTTTAACTTATTTTCTACCAACAGCACTTTCTGCACAAGACCAAGCATGGTATGCGCTACTGACCTCTAACCTAACACCTGAGCAAGCAAAGGCTCTGCAAGAGGTAGTAGTAACCGCCGATCAACGAAAGGCCGCAAAGGATTCGAAACTTATCGAGAAACAAGGCGGCTTCGCCTTCCCGCAGACCGCAGTGCCCACATCTTTTAAATTCGGATCCTAATTAACTGAATTGACCAGATCACCAGAGACTTGGTTCGATTTCTGACTTGAATGTTTCTCATATTCTTTCCAAAAAAAAAAAAAAAACATCAAACAAAATACATCTGGCATGCTGATGATGGCTTTTAAGGCATTCTCTTGGTTTTCGTACACTCCGTGTACCCATGTATGCTGTGTCCATCGCTCGATTAAGGATATCGATCGGTTGACCGGCGTCCAGACCGCACTATATTTATTGTAGATTTATATTTTATTTCCTATTTCTTGGCCCTAACGGCCAACTAAATTATGATAACTTAAGTCGAAAGTCCATTGTAAATCTTTGTATGTAAACAAAACGAAACGAAAAACAAAAACCGTCGAGGACGAGAAGGTCTCATAAAATGAGATTGTGCCCACCAGCACGCCCCCGCAGAACTCCAAAAAGATGGCACGTAGGTCAGAGAATGAGAATTCAACGCAGAGCATTTCACATACATTTTCTTTATACACACATAAACACGTATATTCTGTACTAAATGAAGCGATATTTTTGAAAAATAAACAAAAAAAACATTTTTAACGTTTGAACTGGACAAAAGTATATTTTACCGGGTTATTTCGAAATTCTTTCATACTATTGTTATCAATTTAAATTTATTTAGAGGTTCCTTAAAAAAAAAAACCTACCCAAAGCTCTATTTACAAATTTTAAACTATATTTTTGTCTAAAAAGGTTTCGATTGTGTATTTTCAATTTGGCCGGGCGTGTACAAGATTAATCGATAAGCTGTGATAGATTAGCAACGTTTTCCATCACTTTAGTGATGTTATCGATAGCAGAAGACGTGCTTTGTTTGGGCCTGACGGATTCAATCGTTTATGATTTGTTTACAAGAGAAATTTCTTTAATATATCGTGATTTTTATTATAAAAAATGAAAATAGCTATAGAAGGATGCGCACACGGCGAACTAGAACGCATATACGAAACTATAGAGAGCATTGAAAAGGATGGCGGCACTAAGATTGACTTACTATTGTGCTGCGGCGATTTTCAGTCCACTAGGAATCTGGAGGATTTGCAAACGATGGCGGTACCAAAGAAGTACCTGGACATGTGCTCTTTTTACAAGTGAGGGGAATTTTTACTGGCTATGAAAAAATTCAAAAATGAATAACCGCTCTCATTTAAAAGATACTACAGCGGCGAGCTGGTGGCACCAGTTCTGACCATCTTCATTGGCGGCAATCACGAGGCATCTAATTATCTACAAGAACTCCCTTACGGCGGCTGGGTGGCTCCCAATATTTACTATCTCGGCTACGCCGGAGTGGTTAATGTAAACGGAGTTCGAATCGCTGGAATTAGTGGAATCTTCAAAGGTCACGATTTCCTGCGTGGTCACCATGAATACCCTCCCTATACCGAGTCCACGTGCCGTAGTGTTTACCATGTGCGGCAGTTAGAAGTGTTCAGACTTAAGCAATTGTCAGGACGAGTTGACATCTTCCTGTCCCATGACTGGCCTACCGGGATCTATGAGTATGGGGATAAGCACAAGCTGCTACGCAAGAAACCCTTTTTTGCGGCGGATATGGAGAGTGGTAAACTGGGCAGTCAGCCATTGGAAGAGCTACTAAAAGCGATTCAACCGACATACTGGTTTGCTGCTCATCTGCACTGCAAATTTGCCGCTCTGGTGCCACATAATCAAGTGCATAAAAGATCGGATGATGGATCATCCTCCAGCAGCAGCAGCAGTGAGGATGAAGACGAAGAGAAGGAAACAAAGGATGTTCCTACTCTGCCACTTAAAGCCATTCGCATCACCAAATTCTTGGCCCTGGATAAATGCTTGCCCCGAAGAGCATTCCTGCAAGTGTTGGAGATACCCAGTGATCCCATTAAGGAAAACCCTAGCCTAGAATATGACGCCGAATGGCTGGCCATTTTGCACAGTACCAATCACTTGATTTCTGTAAAGGAAAACTACTATTACTTACCTGGCAAAAAGGCGGGAGAACTGACAGAACGATTTAACTTTACGCCCACCGAACAGGAACTGGATGCAGTAACAAACAAGTTCCAGAAACTTCAGGTACCGGAGAACTTTGAGCGCACAGTGCCTCCTTTTGATCCCGCCGAACAGTCGAACTATAAGCACATGGTTGTGAGCCAACCAAAGGTTCATCTAAACCCTCAGAACAATACATTTTGTACAGCTTTGGGAATAGATGACCCACTATGCTTAGTGTTGTTGGCAAATGGTAAAGATCTGCCTGAGGTTGGATCTGCTATATCGCAGAATGAGCTGAACGACAGCACTGAAGTAGAACCGATAGTCGAAGACATTGGTGAACCTTTGGTCACGCCAACTAAGAGAAAACTGAACTTATCCCTGCCAGCTCCAAAATCAACATCTGCAGATGCCACCGATAAAAACGTGATAAATCTGCCCGAGGAGGAGGAACCAGAAGCTGAAATCATAACACCGACAAAGACCTCTAAGGTGGACGACCCTCCATGTGTGCCTGCAAGTCCTAACCTTAAGAAGCTAAAACGACGAAATCAGGAAATTTACCAAGCCGAAGAAGATTAAAACATAACAACTTCCGTAAATGCGGAGCGATTTCTACAAAAAAAGAGGCAATTTTATTTAAATAACACAGAAGATGCTTGGCTGACACATGCAGCCAATGGGGTGATGATGGGCGAATAAATAGGAGGGTGTTAGCTGCAGGGAATGGATACAGGGATTCACTGCGTTCCGGTGGCATTTTCGGCATAGACCTCGTCGGCGCATTGAAAAGCGGCCTGCACTACGGACTCGGGCGTGTCCTCCTCATCGCAGTAGTACGTATTCGGCGATGGGATGCGGTGCAGCTGCACCTGTCCGCCATCCGCTTTGGCACGATAAAAGCGGCATTGTCGCGGTCCATATGTGGGCATATCCGCATCGTAGGGTGGACTGAGGATGTCGAAGAAGGCAGCTACGCCATTGCCGATTTGGGTAATCTGATGGAAGTTCCTTTTCCGCGGTGTTAATGTTGCACACGGACTAGCCGGCGTGACCAAGCTTGGTTCCTCTGCATTCACCTTCACCACCGACGGATGCGGGTCGTAGGTCAGGTTTTCATCCGGGCCTATCTGCTGCGAAAAACTATCCACCCTCAACTGACCCCAGATGCAGCGCAGCAGACCGAACATCATGGGGTGATCATGTAAGGGAATCGAATTTGTTCCGCGCACAATGAACAGGCTCATGGAGAAGCGCTCGTCCTCAAAGATGTGCATGTAGCTGCAGGGCGCCCGGTGACTGGCCACGTTCCGGAAGAGCTCTTCTCGCAAGTGCAAGTCCCGGTAGGTCAGCTCATCCGTCAACTGGCGCAGGTGCTGCAAATTTGCATTGAAGTTGGCGTGATTCGCCCGGTCGAAAGTTTTAAATGCTTGCCGCAGCACATTAGTGAAGTGCGTCGTCATCTTTTCCGGCCAGGTGTACTGAGCTCCGGTTGGATAAAGCAAGAAACGGCAAGAACGACGCAAATCTCTACCAGAATCAAGATAAACAAACACTCAGCTGACCCAGTGTTGGCAAACGTCAAAGGTCACTTGGATGATTTTTTGTTGTTTATTTAAGAACATATTTAAACAAATGCTTTAACGCCTAATTGGACTAATAACCGCGCTCCTTGGACTGAGTCGCATGTGTCAGGATCCAGGACTTATAGTCGCGCTTTTTCATCGACATCTGCTTGTGGCGCGGATGAGTGGGGCAGATGACATAACCGCGCTCCTGGCGCACCACGATGTAGCAGTCCTTGCAGCGACGCTTTAGGCGGCCTTTTACCTTAAACCCGGCCACTTGCTGTAGCAACGTCGACCCAGGGGTCAGAAGGCCCGTTCCTTGAGGGATCCCAGTTGTGGCTGCCATCAGTTGTGTGTTTTGCATGGTTACGCTCGCTGGAGCCGCCGGTCGCATGAGAATGTGGAAGCCACGTGCGGCACTGAGACCATTCCAAAGGCGGGAGCCTTGTTGAAGGATTTTACCAGCCAATGACATCTATACATGACATTTTCATTAAGATATTCAAAAATGTCTTAGGAAAAGCTCACCTTCTGTTTTTCATTTACTAGCCTAAAACCGATAACTAACGCATTGGCATCGAATGTTTTTCAACACCGATGTTCAAAAAAGCTATCGTATTTAAAAATTAAAATTTGTTACAAATATAAGTTGATTTAATAAAAAGTAGAAACTCATCTTTCAGTAAGATAAAAATCTTAGGTAATGAAAAAAAAAATGGGATTTTATTTTATAAAAAACATTTAAAAATTATAATAAATTCACTTTACTTTCCAAATGTTTTTTATTAAAAGGAATTCAGGAAATATTTTAGTGTATAAATAGTGAATAGTTTTTTCTTGTCGCGATTAATCGATACTGATGACTTCTACGGGATTGGACAATGAGTCATCCAGACGAGATCGCTTGCTCTTGGTGGGTCCGTCGGGCTCATCGTCTGAAGAATCCAAGATCTCCGTAATGTCTTCATCCTCGGTAACTTCAATGGGTTTGCGCTTGGCGCTTGACTTTGGCGGGCTCTGCACTGAGAGTTTGTCGGTGGCCACGGCAACGACCTCCTCTACATCCTCGTCCTCCTCGATCACCAGACAATCATCATCATCCTCCTCATCCACTTCAGTGGGGCGACTGCGCTTTGAGGTAGAGGGACCATCGTCCTTTGAGTCACCTTCGCCATTGGCAGCGCGCTTCTTAGCTGTTTTCTGTTCATTTTCCTTTTCTTCCTCGACATCATTTTTCTTATCCTCCTCCTTCGGTTTCAGCTGCTCGGCATCAGCCACAACTTCGAACAAGGACTCATCCCGCTCCGCATCGAAGTGAGAAATTATAATACTCAGTTCATAGTTCTGGAAAAAGTCGTCACACTTGAGGATCACACCATCTACAATGTTCAATTCACTCAGAATCTTTCCCTCGTTACATTCGGTTTCGCCCTCCTCAGATGATATCAAAATGGAGCCAGTGCTCTGCACAGTAACATCCGGATTCAGCATGTTGAGGGTCTTTACCAGGACCTCGTCGCGGAGTTCTTTTATACGCATGCGTTTCGTATCAATCTTAAGAGTGATAGCAGGATCGCTAGCGCACACATAGCAGTTGGGATTGGGACCCGGTAAAGAGGCATCTGGCACAAGGAAGTGATTACGTGCGTTTGGCCTGAGACGAGCATAGACAGCCTTGCACTGCTCCCACTTGGCCTCAAGAACTTTAAAAGCTCGCATCACCGAAATGCCCGCTGTAATTGCATTGGTGGTGGCAATAGCCGGAATAATATTACCCGCCATCGACTTGATTTCGAACCTCGATTTGCGTTCAATATTAAAAATATGAGATCGCACGTTGGCGCAGGCGGCCACAAAATCCATGGCGGGCTGGTCGTCCTTATCCCAAGTTAGGGTATCGTCTCCTTCGAGTTTCAGGAAGGTTACACTTAACTCCTTTAAAGCATTAGCAAATACCTGAGCGCACTCCTCGATTGACCAGACCTTGTGATGTTGCTTGGCCACATCCTTCTGGTTCTCGGAGGAATCCTTAGGAAGCAAGGTGTCCCACTGTACGGGAACTGGCGCTTTACGCGTCTTCCAGAGATTCGACATACGCAACAAGTAGGTTATGTCCTCGTTAAAGAACTTGTTAAACAGCTTGCCGGCATCGTAGTTGCAGTCTTTGGCCCACTGGCGAGTGTTGATCCTCACTACATTGCCGTTGGCCGTATCCTCGTTGGCCTCTCTTTCCTTCCTAGACTCCTCGTCTATATCTTTTTCCTTTTCATCGGCATTGGACCTACCATCTCCTTCGGCACCATCTTTCTCTTTAGCATCGGGGTCAGCTGCATCAGGAGAAATGTCCTCATCTTCAAGAGACTCACCAAAGAGTTGACTAAAAAATAAATAAATAAGCGAATATAATGCCAAAAAATATTTAAAAACTTACTTGAAGAGATGTTTAGCCCAGACGATGCAGTGAATCGGTTCGGAGGGCGTGTTGCGGATGGTGCATCCAGGAAAACTTCGCTGTTTGTCCTTTGGAGTGCATTCGTAGCACTGTGTAAGTCCGCGCTTAATCAGCTCCACCTGTCCATTATAACCGGCTGTACCGCTCTCGATTAACGGGACATCCGCATTTAGACACATCCGATTCACATGGTTCCTGGCCGCCCTGTTGTCCAAGGCACTTAGAACCACGTCGAACTTCTTGAAAAAGTTCACGCCGTAATCGGTTCTGAAATAAAGATGTGTTTATTAAATATACATGTCATATTCATCATTTAGATATCCCAACTTACGAAGTAACGCTGTCATGGTAAGCGGTTATCTTAGCATCTGGATTGAAGCTCAGTGCGCTTTCCCTTGCAACCCGCGCCTTTGATTTCCCGACGTGCTCGCGATGAAAGAGAAACTGTCGGTTTAAGTTACTCAGATCTATGGTGTCCAGATCAATCTAAATAAAGTTAAAATATTAGCATAACATCAGCATTTTAACCAAAACAACTTACAATTTCGATATCTGAAAAGCCGCTAAGCACAAGGTTTTTGAGAACCTCGCAGCCAATTCCACCGGCTCCCACCACCAGTAACTTTGACTTCCTTACAAGTTCCTGCAAAGTGCTCGGAAAAACACCGTCGATAGCTGCTGCCATTTTAACTTTTGCCCGTTTTCCGTTTCGTATTTTTGGCAAGAAAATTGCGAATTTCGCGAATAGAAAAACTGCAAGTGACGCCGCCGGTAGAAGTGTTACCAGATGGCGGATTAAATAGTACCTTATTTAGGAATAAAAAACGACACATTCTTTAAATTATTAAAAACTATTACAATTGGATAAAATGAGAAAAAAAAAACATTTAGAGTACATCGGACGCTTTACCCATTTGATTTTTGCCAGTTTCCCTGAGTCGAAAATCCGCTACATTATTGAAAAACAATGTGAACACGTTCACCAACACTGCCACTCTCCGTACTCTATTTGGCGCGTCCTGGTCACATCGCACTGCAGCTCTAATCAGAAATAGAGAAAAGCATTGTATTTCGGACGAAGACGATTGGACATACGGATCACGGAGAACGGATCACGGCAAACGCGAGAAACTGACAAACTGCTCAAGCGGAATCAATAGGAATCTATATATTTGAAATCGATTTGGTGAAAACCGAATAATGGCCGAAGTGCGTCGCAGGAAGGCCGAGGATGAGCCACTGGAGGACAAGACGATCTCCGGATCCGGCGGAATCAACAAACGGAATTCATCCGCAGCCGATTCCTCGGACCATGTAAGTGGCAATGACTTCTATGTGGAGCAGTCAAGCAAACAGCCTGTTCCGGATTCCAATTTGCATAATTCTTGGAGCATAGAAAACCCAATGTGTGTATACCAACAAATGTGTGTGGGTGTGTGAGTGTTTTTGTTATTCTCTGACGCACAAGCAGGTGGGAGAAAGAGAGAGAGAGTTCTCTCCTGGAGAAAATCCAATAACAAACACAAAACCCACCCCCACCCACCTGCTGTGTTGCAATATAGCGCCATTATTACCAGCAAATCCAATTAAGTGGACGACAATTACGGAAGCACTGGGCGAACAGCTTAGGGCTAGAACCATTACCATTACCAAACTTCCTCCTCCCTTTCCGGCTAAGTTTTTTCTGGGTGATAAGCCCCAAATGTCTTCTTATCAATCGAGCGGTTTGGCAACAAACAAAACACGCCACCAAAAAAAGCCCGCAATTTTGTCTCCCTACATTTACCCCCTCTGTTTTATATGCCTGTGTATTGGATAAACGGGTGATTCTGATTATGGGTATATAACCACATACATATACGTATCTTGGACTTTGCTCAGCGCCCAATAGAAAGTGCTTAAACTGTGCACTTCAGTCGTATCGTGACCGATAGGGAACCCATTTTGCAGTCCCAGCCAATCCAATCAATATGCATTTCGTTTACCGTTGCAGGTGGACTCCGAGGAGGAAAAAATTCCCGAAGAGAAGTTTGTCGATGAGCTGGCCAAGAATCTGCCACAAGGAACCGACAAAACACCCGAGATATTGGACTCGGCCCTTAAGGATTTACCAGATAGGTATGATAAACATAACTTTAAAAGTAATATTTTTGGTACTTTGATATTGTTTTGAAAATGCTTTCCGCTTACCCTTGTTCTATTTTGTAATAAATAATAACGCATTGACTTGCTTTAATAATGTTATCACATTGTTTTGTGGTTTATAGCATTCAAAAATTCTTGAAATATTTTATTCTGTTAAATTTTTCCTTGACTATATGAGCGTATTCCAAAAATATTCCAAACTAACAGCTGGCTGCAGTTGGCGAGAAAATCATCTAAATAAATATGTACATTTACAAACAATAATATCTTGTACATTCCGCAGATGGAAGAATTGGGTCATACGCGGGATTTTCACATGGATTATGATCTGCGGCTTCGCGCTAATCATTTATGGCGGACCGCTGGCCTTGATGATCACGGTGAGTTCAATGGAATTCGGTTAATGACTCTAGTGAAATATTTATTTTCTTACTTTCTCTCTGCAGACTTTGTTGGTCCAGGTGAAGTGCTTTCAGGAGATCATCTCAATTGGCTATCAGGTGTATCGGATTCACGGATTGCCCTGGTTCCGAAGTCTTTCCTGGTATTTCCTCCTCACCTCCAATTACTTTTTCTATGGAGAGAACCTGGTAGATTACTTTGGCGTTGTTATAAACCGAGTGGTACGTAAATAATCTGGAGTGAGTTTCAACAACACATATATTTACTAACTTTTATTTTGCAGGAGTACCTTAAGTTTCTGGTGACCTATCATCGCTTCCTTTCCTTCGCCCTTTACATCATTGGCTTTGTTTGGTTTGTTCTCTCACTGGTTAAGAAATATTACATCAAGCAATTCAGTCTGTTTGCTTGGACCCACGTATCCTTGTTGATAGTCGTCACCCAGAGCTACCTCATCATCCAGAATATATTCGAAGGCCTCATTTGGTTTATCGTACCTGTCTCGATGATTGTGTGCAATGATGTCATGGCGTATGTATTCGGTTTCTTCTTCGGGCGCACTCCCCTCATCAAGCTAAGCCCCAAGAAGACCTGGGAGGGCTTCATCGGGGGTGGCTTTGCCACTGTCCTCTTTGGTATACTGTTTTCTTACGTGCTGTGCAACTACCAGTACTTTATCTGCCCCATCCAATACTCAGAAGAACTGGGCCGCATGACCATGTCCTGTGTGCCTAGCTATCTATTCACGCCTCAGGAATACAGCCTCAAGTTGGTAAGTGTTTACACATTTTCATACTCGGCATGAAATAATTTGTGTGCATATTCAATTTTAGTTTGGTATTGGAAAGACTATTAGTCTTTACCCGTACATCTGGCACTCAATCTCACTGAGCCTGTTTAGCTCCATAATTGGACCTTTTGGTGGCTTCTTTGCCTCCGGATTTAAGAGAGCTTTTAAAATTAAGGTAAGAATTCTGTGTAAAAAAGCAATTATTTTCTTTAATGTAGCGCTGTACTGTTTCCAGGATTTTGGCGACATGATTCCTGGACATGGCGGCATCATGGATCGCTTCGATTGCCAATTCCTAATGGCTACCTTCGTCAATGTCTATATATCTAGCTTCATTAGAACTCCGTCGCCGGCGAAGCTGCTGACACAGATTTACAACCTCAAACCCGATCAACAATACCAAATTTATCAGTCGCTTAAGGAAAACTTAGGGGATATACTTACCTAAGCTTGTCAGTTACAAATTAGATTCGGACAAAATGTTTGCTATAGTCGTACGTTCTATATAACGCCGAAATTTCTATATATACATTGATATATATCTGTAAGCAAGCGGCCGAGCACTTTGTGCAGCCACATAAAATAAGTTAATTATGGGCATAATTTTTTGTTATGTTTTTAGTCCTTAGTTAGATTTTGTTGCTACATTTTAAATCATTTCCTAAGTTAGTAACTTCATTTATTTGCATTAAGCTATTCCGATTGTGTTGGCTTAACTACATTGTGCAATCGTATTATAAGGCGATTCCATTAATTTTAATGCCCAAATGACAGGCGCTAAATCCAACGCTAGGCAAAGCAAACAGAATAACTATGAATTTAATATCGACTTTGTGTGTGTGTGCGTGTTGTTAGTGAATTTACTTACTATTACTATAACTTAGAGATGAACAGGCAGGCAATGCCATAATCTGGAGATTAGCATAATTAAAACGCATTTTAGTTAATTACCTGAAGGACGAGAAGGAAGTTACCGAGAAGACTTCTATAATGCTGTAATTCTATTTAGTGCAATACGTAGACAGTAAAAAAATCGATTTAACCTATTCAATATTTATTTCTTGAAGTTCCTTTGGTCATCAGCATCATCTTAAACCCGTGACACTTTCTCAAAAAGTACATAGATGATATATAATCGGTTACTTAAAAATCCTGTTATACGAGTTTCTGTGTGGCATTTAAGAAACAAATGCAAATCGATGGTGTTTTAATGAACCAAGTGTACAAAGATTTCAACTTAAAATCTTACGTCTCTATGTTAAATATATGAAAAAGTGAAAAACAAAAAAAATATGTAGTTCAATAACTAATAAGGAAGCGCTTTTCTTCCGTGGCCCTTGGGATACTTGGGATAAGAATCCACCTTAATCACATCATTTGTATTTTGACGAGTGAGTAATTTTCACCTAATCTAGGTTGATAGGTTTTACCATCATCTTCGGGAGTAGGTTTCGCTGTAGGTCTTCCATAAGGTGGCGCTCCAAATCGAAGTAAACATTTCGGTTGCGGGCATCTTCCAGTAATTGACGCCACATGTCCACAGACTGAAAACATTTAGAGTTTAAAAATAGATTTTAAAAAATACTTAGCACTGGACCCTTACCCTCAAATCATCAAAATTTCCACATATTACTAAACAACGTCTTGGCCTTGTCAGCGCTACATTGAGTCGCTGATAGTTGGTGAGGAAGCCGCAACCACGTGTCCTGGCATTAGAAATTATTATCACATCCGTTTCCAGTCCTTGAAACGAGTCTACAGTCAATGGAGTGATATTCATGTGTTTGGGAATAACCTGCGCTAGAGTGTAACATTGTCTTTGGTAGGGCGAGATCAGCCCGTAGCTATACCGCTTGCTGGGCATGTGTTTGTCCATTTCTGTCAGAAGTCTGGCCACAAAGCGGGCCTCCTCGTCATTGCTGATGCTCTTATTTGGACCACCGTTGTTGTCTTGAGTGTATTTCAAATTGATCACGCAGTATGGAATGAAAGGCGTGGACAAACGGCCTGTACACTCAGCATTTATCAAGTGATCCTCGTAGAAGTACTTATTGGGCCAGCGACAAATCTCCGGGTGCATGCGGTATTGCATGCTTAGCTTAAAAATTTTCGTATGCACAAACTGATTGCCTCCCGGCATGTCCAACTGCTTCTGAAGGCTACGCTGAATGCGATGGAACATGGAATTGGACAGACCAAAATCTGTGGCTCTTTTTGACAGGACAACAGCCGGAAGTTGTTGAGTGTCGCCAACCAGTACTAGATGTGTCAGACCAAATCTCATGGGTAGTAAAGTCCAGGGTTCCGTGCACTGGGTGGCCTCGTCGATGATGCAGATGTCGAAGAAATCCACGTAGTTGGCCAGTTTTACACACGATGAGAGCGTTGTGCAGATGATGTTGGCCTGGGCCAAGCACATGTGTGAAATTTCATATTCCTCCCTCTGTGTCAGAGGCGGATCCAGCTGTTCGCTTATCAACTGAAGCTGTCTTTCCTTCTGGTGCAACTGCTGCTGCAGGTATGTGCTCGTGAGATTGACCTTCTGCTTCAACTGATGGATTTCCACCTTCAGATCGATATGTTGCTTCTTCAGGATTTCAGCGTTCTCAGGGCTAAGGCGTTGTAACTTTTTAGTTTTGGCATTCTGGAAATGCGCCTCTAGCGAAAAAGGTCGCGAGTACTGGGTCATCTTTTCGTGCATCCCATATCGCAGAAGATGAAAGCGGTCACGGCTCATCACACGTAATATTCCACCCAATATACCAACAATATGATCTACAGCCGTGTTGGAATGAGCACATATCAAGATCTTGCGATCTAGTTTCTTAGCAGCATTTCCATACAGAGTTTGAAGACAAATTTCTGAAATAAGCTTCGACTTTCCAGTTCCAGGAGGTCCCTGGATCAATGTGAGACTTGGTTGTAAGTCATCAATAATTCTCTGATAGGTGCGAAGGCAAATGTTCTCCTGATTTTCATTTAGTTTGCTAAAACCTTTAAAGGTGAACGGCTGCTTTGGCAGTGAAACCTCATTCACTGTTTGCGTGGGTTTCATGATTCGACGACAGAGCGGAGAGGTAGAGAGCTGATGAACGGCACTTAAAGCTCCCAATTCCACCCTGACGCTGTCCACGACTGGACGTGCTTTCAACTGATTCACTCTATTAATACTTTCTTCGGATCTATCCTGCATCAAAATCTCAAATGTTAATTCGAAGACTTTGCCTAAAAGGTTAGAAAACCTATTAATATAAGTAATAATAAAACATAAGGGTTAACTTACCTCCGACACACTTAATGTCAATAAGATACGCAAAGGTCTCGAGCAGTTGGCTACCACTGGAAAGGGTGTAGAGTACAAATTTGCCATGGGGTCTGCTACTGACTGAAAGTGGAAAAAAGCATGAAAATACTTTAAGAGCAAATTAAAATTTTTTAAATTTTAACGTTTACCTCTGGTAATCAAACGGTAGCAGTTATCCTGTATTTTGACTTCTTTTAATTCTACAGGAAAAGTGTGTTCGTTGTTCATTTTGTAGTCATTTTCAATGGTAGTGAGCAACTCTAGCTTCATTAACGGTACAAATGTCCTTAAAAAATAGATACATAGTAAACAGATATATATGTTATGATAAAACGTCATTAAACTTACTCCCTGTAGTTCTTGAAACTTTCAAATTCATGCGGTATCGGTAGTAGGACGTCTTGATCGGCCACCGCATCTACGCTTCCGAGCTTTAGCCACTGGTTTGCCCATTTTAGGATGCTCCGCGAGTGCTGGCGTATGTCATTCACCGGTCTGTTTCCCTTCCGAATCCATTCTCGGCGTTCGCGGTATGAGCTGAGGAAGAGCTTTATGCACTCCTTACGCCCGTGCACTTGTGACGTGGCCCCCTTTACCTTTTCAATCTCGTGTATTATGATATTATCGTTAAAATGTACTTTTCTTAACTTTTTGTGAAGTTTTTTCAAATCTTCGTTTTTCTTATTGTAACGTTCCATTTCTGCAAAGGTAACCTTGTTACAGGTACGTTGATTTCTAGCCCTCTCAGCCGCTTTACGTTCCACTGGGCGAGAGCATTGCGGCTGTGGATTAAGGACGGCTTCATCGGCAGCCTGAAGCTGCTGTGAGAATGTCTCAATACTGTGGCGCCGTTGTGGGGCTTTAGGCGATGGTTTAATGTTATCTTTCCTCGCCACTTTGGCGATAGGACCACTCACACCTTTGGTAAGGAATTCCCCGCGATTCGAGTTGTGGACAGTTGGCACGCTTGTGGCGATCTTTCTTTTATTGGTCTTTGAGCCTTTCTCCAGTTCCTTAGGTTTCTCACTTAGCTTCTTGAGAGCGTCCCGGCGATTTTCTTTTATTTTTTCATTTTCTTTTTTCTTGTCTTTAGGTTTTTGCTTCCACTTGGCGTTCATATTGGCGTGATAGTCAATGGAACGCTGTCGTTCTATCACATTTTCCTTACGTTTAATCTCTGCCGAAACTCCTCGCAGCTTGCCGCGATTCATAGGCAAGGACGGTGCCTCAATTATTGTAGGTTTGCCTCGCAGACTCAGCTCATCAGACTTCTGAATTTTACTAGAAGTATCGGTATCCGTCTTATTGTTAGGATTATAAGTTGCCAAAGTCTCAGGACGGTCACTACAGCATGATTTTGAACGATTCAGTAGGCGCGGACTTCGTTTTAATGGACTTGAAGCTGTAGAGGGAACAGCATTGACTTGCTTGGTCGGAGAAGCCTTTTTAGTTTCCTTAACTTCAGTCGTTAACGCTTGAAACTCTTCTCGACTTTGTATTGTCTTGCGTCTGCCGCATATCGATGCACCTTTTGTATTGTTGGATTTGGTTTCCTTTGTTGTTGGAGCCTCCAGTGTTACTACCAATTCCAGACGGCTGTTATCTGTCCATTCATTTTGATTCTCAGCTTTTTTATCTTTTTCCGCTTGCAGTTCATCTAATTTTACTGGTCGGTCCATATAGCATGATTTTGAACGGCTGCGAAACAGTTTTTTGGGTGGCTCCACTTTGTCGATTACATTGGAAGTGAGTGACTTTAAACTGGAATTTAACAACTCATCCAGAGAAGTTGTTGACTTGAATCGCTTACTGAATGGGAGCTCTTCCTTTTGAGGACTGATGACCTTCGATTCATCTGGGCAAGTTGCCTTCCGACGCTGTTGTATTTTGCCCTCTTGGGTTTCAGCGTGTTTGTCCTTATAATCTACTAGTGCCTTCTTCGAAGTTTTTAAGCAAGATTTGGGTTTAGAGTTAATTGCGTCACTATCCTTGTTGGCCCCTGACATATTGTTAATGTCTGCAGTCGAGCTTACATTGTCTGTCGGTTCATTGTTCTTACTTCGTACCAAGGATTCTTGAACAGGGAGAGGATCCGACGTCGTGCTGTCGGCTGTGGTGAAACAGACAGATAAAAGGGAAACATACATGTTAAGAAGTTAATGTGTACAAAAATTTAATTTTTAGTGTGATTACCTCGACGCACAACATGATCATTAAAAGTCTTTTTGGTGCCAATAACTTCGGCGGAGATTTCATCTTCACTAGAGGACGATATACGTAGTGCCCTTGTCGGTTGTTTTGTTCTCATCTCCAGATCTGAGTCATTGTCATCAACCATTGGGTAGGTTTGTGACATTTGTATAGTGTCTGGAACTACTTTTTGGCTGAGCCGCTTGGACCAGTCGGCGACCTTGTCGTACAACTCATCGTCAGAGGAGTCGCTGATGTAGACGTATGTTTCCGACGTTGGAGAATCTCGAGCCATATCATCCATGGCAGTGGACTTAAGGAAGTCCTCTTCGCCATCGCTAAAGTCCATTTCGGCTTTCATTTCCTTCAGTACTGCTTGAGACATGGCGTAACTCTCGTCGTAATCATCTTCGTTGACTACTTCCTGCGGCCCTGGCACCTGTCTCTTATCTTCATCAGTATCCAGTTCAATACAATCGCCGTCTTGAATTTTTAATTTAGTAATTGCACTGCTCGAAGCTTTGTTGCTTAGCTGGTTGTACAGATAAGGGTTTAATGCAAGCACAGAGTCTAGAATGGCATCGTTAGCCTCTCCAAAGATGTTTGTTATCTCCTCCGTTGTTTGCTTTACAAACTCCTGTTTTACATCGTTTATTTTCGGTAAGTGTAAGCCGGAACTCGAAGGCTGCTCCTTCTCTGCGTCATTCATGGAAGTATTTGGTAATTGCTGTCTGAGATTAAATTCTGTGGGTTGATGAACATTCGGACATCGTATGGCGGGCAGTGGGGTTGTATCGTCATCATCGGATGACAGGATGATCTCAGGGACCGTGGGCTTCAATTTTTTCAGATAGAAAATTGCATGAATGCTTGTAACTTTTTCGACTGCTGACGCAGGAAGACCCAGACCAATGACGGAGCCCTCTGCGACGGTTATACTGTTAACCTTGCCATATATTTTACCCTCATTGATAAATACACCATTCAAGGTGTGCTAATGAAAACGAAAGAAATTCAGTATAAGGGTTATGGACAATTCTGTTAGCTAGGATATCTTACCAGTGCTTTCACCACTACGCCCATATCACTGACTATGATCTCCGCGTGCTCACGGGACACATATTGATAGTTTGCACCCAAAACTATTCTGCAGTTTGAGTGGCGACCCACCAAGTTGGTACCGTTGTGCAGGATTATACGGTTGCCCGTAGTAATGTGTTCCAGATACCACACAGTGCTCATCTTTCTGGCTTTTCTCTGCTATAGAAAACAATATAATCCTTGAATAAGAATAAACATTACCATTCCCATCATGCACAGAAAGCATCGTAGATTCTAACAAGTGGTCGGAAAATGGTGCATTGATTTTGCAATAATTTAGAGTTCTCATATGACATTGCACTGCATTAAAATGCTCTCTCAGCCACTTTCCATTTCTAAGATAAATATTTGTTATTTACTTGTTAAAACATCAAAATGCGTGTTTTGGTCCTCTCTCCCATACACAACAATCTGTTTTGATCTGTATGCACTTAAGCCAAATTGCAGTGTTTGAAAGCGATTAAAATCAGTCCAGCTGTATTATAACGGTTATATAGTCGGCATGTCTTTTGACTCTAAAATAAATAACATTTCTTCGATGGCAAAATAAATTAAAAAAAATAAAACCTTAAACCATTATTTCAGATCAAAAATTGAAGAAAAATTTAAAAGAATATAAACAGCCAAATAGAAGATTTTAAATTACCTCAGCAATAGAGCAGAGGCTCAAACCTGGTTGCATACACGGTATGCGATGTTTTGGGACTTCGCAATACAATACTTCCAAGATGCTAAAGCGGAGACACAAACCTAATTGGAACTTTGCATCGGTGGTATCGGTATTTTATTAAATTCGGGCATTGGTCACACTATCGAGCGCCAAATGGCAAATAAACCAAAATTGTGCAATAAAAGAAATTTGGATTTAGTTGATGAAACAGACAGCGGAAGAGATGCCAAACGGCATTGCACCAAGAGCCCCTTTTGGCCGGACGATGACGACGACGATAGCTTATTTTCCAATGCTAATCTGGAGGATTTGCTAGGCGGGCGGAATGGGGAACTCTTTGGCACGCAGCCACCGACAAGCAACAAGTTGCAGCAAAGTGGATCAGATGATGGCCTCGGACTCTTTGGTGACACATCCTTTCCCTGCACTCAGAAGGTACCGCTTACTGGATCACCACTCGATTTCAACAAACCTAGGGCTCCAACTGATGTCCATCAGATTGATCTGGCGGACGAGAATAACGCGGACGAGGTGTTCAAAAAAATCAACCTTAAAGATCTAAGCATAACCGAAATGGAGGATATATTTCATGGCGCGGAGGACTTTAGTGAACCTATGGTTCAAAATACTCAACTTTTTTTGGAGGCTGTGACTTTTAAAGTGCCAAAGACTCCGGAAAAGCTACTGCCCTCCGTTAAAGACGACTCCATGTCGTTCATTTCAAAATCTGTGATCGAGGGCATAGTGCAGGGCACGCAGTATGTGACCAGTGAAGAGCTAAAGAACCAATCAATTTTAGATCCAGTAAACTGGGAGACCCAAGCTTTTGCGGACTTCGAGAAGGACAACCAAGTCGAAGATAATTTTCCCAGCAAGGGCGAGTTCTATGGCCTGCCAGATAAGGTAAAAAAAATGATACTCGAACACAAAGGAATCAATAGTCTATATGGTATGGCTGATAACTCAACCCAGTATATATATTTATTGACTTAACCCACTTTCTAATCCTATAGAATGGCAGGACGAGTGCCTAAATCTACCTGCTATTAGAAAGCGAAAAAACCTTATCTACGCTCTGCCCACTAGCGGTGGAAAAACTCTAGTGGCTGAAATTCTTATGTTGCGTGAATTACTTTGCCGCGAACGCAATGTCCTGTTTATTCTGCCATATGTGTCTATAGTGCAAGAGAAGGTCAGCGCCATGTCTCCATTTGCCATCGATTTGGACTTTATTGTGGAGGAGTATACGGCAGGCAAGGGCAAATGTCCACCGCTGCCGCGACGTAAGCGCTGTAGTTTGTTTATTGCTTCTATTGAAAAGGGAGCTGTTCTGATGGACAGTTTAATAGACGTACAAAGACCTCATGAGATTGGTCTGGTGGTGGTGGATGAATTGCATTTAATTGGCGAAAAGGGTAGAGGGGCTACCTTGGAGGCATTTCTCACCAAGGTGATGTTTTTGAATGGTAAATAATTTTATTTTCTGCTAACTTTTTGAACTAACTATCTTCTGGTTTTAGCAAACATTCAAATTGTGGGCATGAGTGCGACGATAGGAAATCTCAGCGAAATCTCATCCTTTCTAAATGCTGATGTCTACACCAGAGGATTCCGACCCGTGGAACTAAAAGAGTATATCAAATGTGGACCGGACTTACTTGAAATCAACTCCGCTGGTCAATCGCTGGAGGAAATCTTCGTCCCAAGTCGAAGTGTTGACTATAATGTAACGAATACAAGCTTATAAACTAATAATTAGTTACAGAAAATTAACCATCTCTGCTTTCTATCTGCAGTATAGTGAAGCTGTCCAGCGCGCGGATCCTGACCACCTGGCTGGTTTGATCAGCGAGTGTGCTCCGGAACACTGTTGCCTGGTCTTCTGTCCAAGTCGCAAGAACTGTGAGAACGTAGCGCTACTACTCAGCCGTATAGTGCCAAAACAGAAGTTCTTCGAGCATCGACGTAGCGAAAAGGTAGATCTCATGGATGCCCTAGACAAAATGTGCGGCATACTCAGCCCAGTGTTGGCGAAAACTTTACCCTATGGCATTGCCTATCATCATTCGGGATTGACAACGGATGAGAGGAAGTACATTGAGACTGCGTATCGCTTTGGAGTCGTAACCGTCATCTGTTGTACATCCACTTTGGCCGCTGGTGTGAATCTTCCAGCTAAGAGGGTAATCATAAGAGCTCCCTATGTGGGACAGGAGTTTATGACTTTATGCAAGTATAAGCAAATGGTGGGACGCGCTGGACGCGCCGGCTTGGGTGAAACTGGTGAGAGTATTTTGATAGCCCAGAGCAAAGACAACCTTCAGGTCGGACAAATGCTATTCTCGCCTATGGATAAGGCTCTGAGTTCAATGGATCAACAGGATGCAGTTGGATTGCAAGTAAGTTTTAATCCTACAATATTTTTTATAAAAAAGAACACTTCACTAGAAGCTTCAACCTCCTAATTAGATTTAGCTTTTTCTATACTTTTTACTTACTTACCAGTTTAGATTGATTTTATGACTGAAAATATCTGCCAAAAACTGAGGCCCTATTATAGTATGACAACCAAAGTGCAGGCATCTTAACAAATAAAATGTGATATTTTCTGATATTGAATTGCAATGCAAAAGCAATCTTAATATATACAAAAATTAGATATGGGGTTTTTGTTTATTTAATAAGAACAAAAATACGACTACAAAAAGATATGCGAGGTCTGCTTAACGAGCTAGGAATCGAAGCTTATTGACACTTCTAAAAAAATTCTTTATTTTTAGTCTCTCATTCTCAGTGTGGTTGGTCTGAATCTGGCAGAATGTCGTCGGGACTTGAATCGTTTGGTAAACAGCACCCTGCTGTCTGTGCAGGCTAACTCCCTCGGCTTGGCTGTGGACGAAATAGTTCTCCGCATTCTTCGAGAAATGTTCAAAAATAAAGTGCTCCAGCTAAGTGAACCACCAGCCAAGTCTACGATTAATTCGTCTGAGATAATAACCACGCAGGAAGTAAATCAGACCAATAGACCCGCTGGCGACCGACGTTTGCTTATTGGCCAGTCCACCTCATTTAAGCTAACCAATATTGGAAGAGCTGCCTTCAAGGCGGGTATTGATTTTAAGCGTGCTAATGCCATCCACAGGGAGCTAAAGCTGGCCCAGCAGCAGCTCATCCTGACTAACTACTTGCACTTGTTGTACCTTGTCGTGTGCTTTAATTCTAATGAGAGAGGCGACGAATTGTTTCCGGCAGATGCCAGCATTCTGTTTGGAGTCTACACCTCCCTGCCACCGGATTCACAGACTTTGTTCAAGCAGCTTGGCTTTACAGAAGCCCATGCTGCTAGGCTATTTAAGACGCAGTCGGTACAGGGTCCCTTGTCTCTACAGTTAAATCGACTCTACAAGGTGCTCATCCTGGCGGATATATTAAATCTTGTGCCGCTACCCTCTGTGGCCTCTAAGTACAATGTGGAGCGCGGAACTTTGCAGCATTTGATTAGCCAATCTGTAGCAGCGTCCAGTGCCATTGTCCGCCTGTGCGAGGAACTGGAGGAGTTCTGGTGCTATAAACCATTGTTTGAGCGTATTTTACATAAAATGGATCGCTGTGGTACATTCGAGCTTGAGCCGCTAATGGAACTTCCACTTGTTAAAATTGTGAGTACATATCAGAAAATAAACAAATAAATTTGTATCTAAATTAAGCACTTGATTATTTCTAATCTAGAATCGCGCAAAGCAGCTGTATGCAGCGGGATTTCAAACCATCGAGGATATTGCCAAAGTAAAGCCTGCGGTTTTAGTGCAATCTCTAGAGCACATGCCCCTTAGAGTGGCCAAAGAAATTGTCTCGGCAGCTAAGGTGCTTTAAGTTTGAGTTTTAAGTTTAAATACTTATCCAAACAATTTGTATTTGTGCTAATATCTTACGCTTTTTCAGATCATATTAATGAAGAAACTTGACCATCTCGAGGAGGAAACGGAGAACCTCAAAAACTGCCTAGAGAAATCCAACAAGGACTAGCCGGAACCCATTCCAAGTAAAAAAGTAGATGATGTAGGTTTTTAATTTATTTCAGTTTTTGTTTTGATTGTTATGCACTCCGACTTAAGTCTTGGATCTGGGCTCTCCACAACGAACACGATCCCCGACAAAGCTTAAATATAATAGACAATTTGTATACAAATTGCAATTTTAAATTAACTCATTAAGTATTCGCTCTTTTTAAATGTACATTAAGGACATCGATGCTGCTGTTCCGTTTCGTTCTGTTCTGCTGGATGTTTTATGTTTTGATTTCTGATTTAGCGGAGATAAACGAGTAGGAGGGAGTTAGTTTTATAAACTACTAGATACGAACTAGCAGACAAATTCGCAAGCTGCTACTATCACGACATTTGAGTATTATACAACGTAAATATAAGTAGAGGGTTCAAGACATAGAGCTCATATAGCAAAAATACCATAAGCGATTGCAGGTCTGTTAAAAAGTCTTTTTGCAGAATCAATCTAAAGAGCTCTGAAGTTACTAATCAAATATTATTGCAACGTTAAAGTATTTAACTAAAATATAAAGTTTTATGTTCATTCTATGAGTTAATATCGCTTATGTTGTTTTTGATCTGATATTTCTAAATATGTCCCGAACCTTTTTGAATTATGAGTAGGTTTTTGCGGCTAAACGACTAAGGTAGAGACAGATTTGTTTAAGAAGTTGGAGCCGTGCACCAAATTGGAACTCTCCTTGTGTTGGGGAAACTTATTTACAGCTGAAGAAACTGCAATCCAAAAATATGATAGTTAAGATCTTACATTTTGAAATTAAACTAAAACTAACCTTATTACAAGCGAACTTTTCAGTAGGCAAAGTCGTCGTAGAAATGCTGGGCAATTCGTCCGCCCGCCGGCTGGTAGCTCCGGCTCACTCCCGACCCGGAGATGGCTCCTCCGCTGGACGGTCCGCCGGTTGCTCCTCCGGCAGCAGCGTATTCGAGTCGATGTGGACGCGCGGCTTGCGCCGGGACAACAGCCCGCCGGCGTATATCTGTCGACGAGAAATAGGAATCACTATGATAGCTCGCTGGTTGCGACTGCGATGCGGATGCTGATGCGGATGCTGATGCTGAAGCAGATGTTGGTGATTGATACGCTGGCTGATAGGCAAATGGATTATATGCGCTGGCATATTGGCGCTGCGATTGCTGCTGCTGCTGCTGATATGGAAGCTGATGCAAATGTGGATGCGAATGCTGGGGCGAGAGCGGTTTGAGCGTGGGATCGAGGGCATCGTTCAGCGTCACATCATAATCGTTCTCGTAGAGCTCGTCGAGATTTAGCTTGGGACGCTGCGGCTCCACTCGCTTTGGTGTGGTGGGCAGGGCACTGCGAGGCGGAAGTGTTGTTCTGGGTGGACTGGGCGATGGAGGTGGCTCCACCTCGTCATCTTCCCCACTATCAGGACTTCCCCTTAGCAATGGAGCCCCATGCTCGAGAAGACGCACTCCTGAAATGGTGGAACCCATGTCGATGGGGGTGCTATCTGTGGTGGGCAGTGGTTTCAATGCCACGCCCACCGGTTGTAGACCTCGGGGCAGATATGGACTGCCACCCCTGGAGGGCAGGAAAGGTCGCTTGACCACACGTACCGATGAAGGACGCTGGGAATTGCCAGCGCCTACGTTTCGCCCGCTCAATGAATTGGCTCGCGTTCTGGGGGCTGGGGCTTCTTCTGCGACCGGCTCCACTGGGTGCTCCAGCTCCTCTTCTTCCTCAATAATTGGCTTGCGAGGACGCGGTGCCAATGTTGTCTTCCGGGTGGTTGTCTTCGATCTCAGTCTCTGGTTTCTCAAAGGAGCTGCTGTGGAAACGGGTGCCGGACTCTCCTCATAATCTTCATCCTCGAAGTCCACGTCGGCTGCCGGAGTACGGGATCTGGGAGCCAAAGGACGCTTACGTTTTCTCAACGGTTCTTGATCCGCCGGCTCGTAGTACTCCTCATCGGCAGGCTTCTTATCCGTCACTGGTTTGCGCAACGTGGTTCTCGTGGGCTTCTGCTCTACTCGAGGTGCTGGCGGACGCCTTCGAGGGGTGTTCCTAGCTGGAGGTTGCTCGTAATCCTCGTCTGCCTGCTCTTCAGGGTAATCTTCCTCCTCTTGGGCACTGTTGGACGGTGCCTGTGTGGTGGCCGTGATCTTCTGCACTGGATAGGAGAACTTTTTCTTCTCATTGATGGGAACAGGTCGAGCGATCCTTGGCGGAGCCCGTGGACGAGCATACACGGAAGAAGATGCCGCCTTGGGGGTTATGAATTCAGTTAGTGGTTTTGGAGTTGTCTTAACCTTTTGAGGCGTTTGCTCTTCAGCGGCCTCTTCCTGATCGGCACCGCCATATGGTTTTTCATATTCGTCCAGGTCATCCAAAGCGGATGATGGCGTTGTCCTTTCCTTTTCAATACGTCTCCTGCCCAGCGGACGATCTTCGTTGAAGCTGCGGCGTTCTTCCACGCGTCCTGGTTTCCTGGGCGATACCTTTCGACCAGACGGTCCCGCAGTGGGTTTACCTCTTGACCTTTTACTCGGCCGTTCGTCATAGTCCTCCTCCTGAGTCTCCTCCTCATCGCGGTAACGATTCCTGTTTCGTCTAATAGGCTTCTTAGCTTCCGCCCGCTTTTCATCATATTCATCATCGTAGTCCAGTTCCACTTGGGGTTTCCTTTGACGGGGTCTTGGCTTGGGTCGTCTGACGGGACGCTCCTCATAGTAATCGTCTTCGTACTGATCCTGATCCTCGTAGTAGTAGTCGTCTATGGGTCTGCGGTTATAGGGCCGCCTTAGCGGACGTTGTGGTCTCTGAGGTCGACGGCGAGGAGGAGGTGCTTGAGTGGGTGGCGCGGGCGTTGTTGTGGTGCTCGTGGATGTGGTAGTGGTGGCCATATAGAGCTCATCGTTCCTGTTAAGAAAGATGAAAGTATATATATATTATAAAGAGCTCACTAAGCATAAAAGATACGCTTTTTATACGATTTTGATCAACGCTTGATTATTTAATTAATGCAGACATGTTCAAATAAATAGTAATTTGTTATATTTTATGCATCCATCCACGCTTGATTGTGTACCAAATTGAGATAATTAAGATATTATCATAACTTAACTTAAAATATTTAAAAAGTGGCCCCAAAACTGCTGATGAATTTGATGCTTTATCAAGGGGATTCCCCTGGAGAGGTCTCACCTGTTCCAATATTTCTGTGATCCCTCGCAGTCAACGTCGGATGCAAAGTGGCAGATGAAGGTGCGCTGGTCGAAGGCCGTGAAGTTGGCGCACAGAAAGTCGTGTCTTATGCCATAGACGCAGTGGTGGTAGATCTGCAACGATTCCAACTCTGTTTAATCACATTTGGCCATAACTAATCCACTCTGTTAGCCATCGTTTAGCGCTTCTTTTTGCCCGCTTTTGAGGTCAAGATCGAGGCGCAAACAAGTTTTTGTTTTTGGCGTCACGTCGCCGGTTGAAAAAGAGAAATTGCTGGACATGCACAGAGGGATTGGGGTTGGGTTGGGTTGGGCTTGGTTGGTCTAGGTCTGACGACCAATTATGTTACGTCGCATTCGGCCAGACAAGGTCACGCCGGCTCACTCACCTGACACTTGTACTCGATGGAGGCATAGAAGCCGTCGTGCAGACCCTCGCACTTGAAGTGAATCTCATCCATGGGCGGTACCGTGGACAGGAAGGGATACGTCGATAGGTTGTAGCTGTGAAGAAAAATATAAAGTAAATTGTAAGTGTTTTAATATTTACTGATAACTAACAAAATTCCTTCTTTTAGCAACTTACCCCCTCAGTTCCCTGGGCAGGTTGGGATCCCAAATATAATCGATCTGCGGGATGCCCGTCAGCTTAGAATTCTTCGACAAAGTGCCATTATCCGACTAGAAAAGGGTTATATACAAATGAGAATCATAAGGAAAACGGTTACAATGTCCACCCACCTTGCTACTATCACCGCCATCTCCGCTGGGAACCGGCTGCTCCTCCTCCACTTCCTCCTCCTCAACAGCTGTCGATTCCGTCGTAGTGCTGGTGGTGCTGCTCGTGGAGATGGGAGTCTTGGCAATGGACACCTTCTTAAAGGGCAGGGCAGCTTCTGTGGAGGCCAACAGGCTCAGCAGCAGTACTAAATCGAACGGAAAACGTAATTTAAATTAATTAAAACTTAACAGCTGCCAAAAATTGCATAACATAAGGTAAGGGTAAGGATTGGTATTATGTCATGGTCCGGTTCGAACAACAAGATAAAGTGCTTTTTTGGGTTAAGTTGAGTGTCCTCCAATTCAAATCGATCCGACTCACCTGTTGCTGTCATTAACAGCCAGCCTTTGGCTTTTTTCATCTTGAAGGCTTCAGTTCTCTGGTTGCTTGCTAACTGAAATGAAAAATGTACAAAATATTATGTAAATTTGTGAGCTTTGGACACACCTCCTCCACTCTTGTGGAAGATTTATGTTCTATCGAAGTCGTTGAACGCTTTCAAAGGGAACGAGAAATAAAAGAAACCTCTTCGGTATTCTTCCTCTTTGATGGTTTTGAATTGAGTTGTAAGCTCAAAAGTTCTGGATTTAATAATATGTTAATAATCAAATCACGTGCCATGATTAACGTTACTTTCCGTGCTTGTCATTCAAGTCGGGAAGGGTCTAAAAGAGGGGAGTTCATTAGCAGGCGACTGCCTCTTGCAGAAATGCATTCTATCCAAAATTGGTTGTAGAAAGTGTTCTTTGCTTAACTTTTGTATTTGGTTAGCTTTTCGATTTTGTTTTCTAAAGTTTTGGTCAAAGCAAAGAAGTGAAATTTCACTGGAAGGGAGACCTTTTTAGACTTCTAGTGTTTGGATTGAAAGTCTATATAAATATAAAATGTTCAAGTGGCATTTACGTCAATTTATCGAAATACTTTAAATAGATTCCTATTTTCGATAATAAATTTATGTCTTCTTGTCAAACTAAACTTAAAACAAACTACAAGCCTTAATGAGTCTGTTAAAAGTATATTTGTTGGGCTTTAAATATGTGCCTTAGCAGAAACCTGCAATCTTATTATACTTAAAAACAACAACATCATTTTTCAAATGAAAACGATTGACAAAATCCACAATGATTCACCATAAAAACATAGCTCCCTTTCTTAACAAATCGATCAGTTAACTAATGCAATCAGTGCAAATTTGGTGGTCACACTTATTGTGTACCCTCTGATCAGCTTCACTTTCCGATTTCCGTCTCGGGTGACTCGTGGGTAATTGCATAATTAGGTTTGGCAGCCTTCAATGTCACTTCGGTTTGGGTTCGACTTACGTAAGGAGAGCGTTTGGTTGGTTGGCTGGGCGAAATTGAAAGGGTGGTGGCCACCGCACTGCTGGCAAATAAATAAGTAAATACTTCGGCCACATAATAAACACAATGCATAACTATAACAAATTGAAAAGCAAGCGAGTAAAAAAAAATATACTTTCATTTCCAATGCGTTTTTACGCCCAGAAATTGAATGCAAAACGCTTGGCTCGGTAAAGATCATTGGAGCATTGTAATTTGGCAGTCGATAGCAAAAAACTTAAATGCAATTTGTTTCTCCCCAAATAAAGTATTTTTATTGTGCATTGTTTTAGGCGGAGGTCTCCTTGGGCTAACACACGGGGCGTATATTTGATGGGCATTGCGGATTGCCTCCTCCATCGCCAGTTTCAGTTTATGCATGGCACAATTTTTCTGCTCAGTTTTAGTGCCCATGAGTTCAAAGATTTGGCCGATCACACCCTGTTTTTGTGTTGCCGTTGTTTAACCAAAAAGTGTGTCGTGCATTTTAAGTGGTGATTTGATTGGATTTGATGTCTCTCGGCCTGTCTCATTGAGTGTTTGCCAGTCTGTTTGTGTGTCCCAGCTGGTTTGCACTTTTTGACATTTCGCCCGACTGCGTGGGCCGAGTGCGCGGATAAATATCTGACTAAATATGATAATGGTTTCTGTTTTGATGGAGATAACAACTTTGATGGAAATGAATGCCTCACTCGAAATGTCAAAGGGTTCTTGGAGCAAAAGCAAAAGCAAAAGCGATTGTAAAATATTTAATTGTTTTCGCAGATTTGTGGGCGTTGGGTTTGTTGATTCTGCCGTTGGAGTCTTAAACTTTAGTCTGAATAACTCCAGTTCTAACTCTATCAACTTACGATATTAATATTAAGTAAAGTGATATTTTAATCATACTTTAGCGTAGGTGGTTCTACTTTAGAACATGTGCCTATGGTAAACTTCTAAACGAATCATAAGCTGCCCAAAATAATACACATATAACCATGTTTACACACAGGCCCACACACACACAGCTCACAGCTCTCATACCGAAACCTTCCATCCATCAACGTCTGTTTAGTTTTTCCCATTCATGAACGTACATCATGGCCCATGCCCATTTCCATGTCTTGGCTAAAAGATAAGGTCAGCTTAGCCGTCAGGTGCCTTCGAAAATCGGTGATAAATTGCCCTATGCTAAGCAAACTTAATTTATGGCTCTGCTTTTTTGGTACATACATAATTTCGAATTTAGTGCAGCACATTGTCCGTAAATTTAAAATATTAACTTATTAATTTCGGACATCTAATCTTTTACAGCCTCTGGATGAGAGCGAGGGACGAGACAGTAAATGATGTCTCGAAAAGTCGATGCCTAGCAGGTCTTATTGTCTTGGCCAAGTTCAAATTCAAGGCTAAGCACGATGACAAATACCGGTGAGTTGTTATTTTTGTAGCTGGCTTTGTTTTGGAACTAATTGATGGATCTTTAGACACGTTCGACTGCAGCCAAATAACCAGATAACAGAGAAAAAACGGAAACAATAAAAAAGATCTGGATCTGGTTTAGGAAATTCATTTATAATTTGCCCAAAGGCAGTGGAATTTATTTGATTTTTTAATAGAACATTTGCATGAAATACTCATTATAATGGCAAAAATCGTCGGCTGCTTTTCCTTGAAACTTTGCTAATTTTTCCATCTGTTCGGAGATTCTCTGACTTTGAATGGGTTTTTAACAATTTTAAACAATAAAAAGGCGCCTAGAATCAAAAGCCCCGAAGGTTTCGGCCCACACCGACACACAATGAGCAATTAAATTAAAGTTTTATAAGTTGTTGTATCTTAATTTTAATTTTATTGCCTTGCTGTTAGATGCATGCATCATGGCCAAAGGCAAGCGCGTCTGGAGACAAACTCTCGTTTTCATTTACAACTTTATTCGTGCATATTTTGCTTACAAATTTCTTCGACGTCAACAACGGGTTTTGTGGATCGAAATTTATCACCCAAAGTGGTCGCAATCCGGTTGCACGATAGAAACAGAAGTCGGTGACAAGTTTCTTATGGTTGTTATTTTTTCTTCTTTTTTTTTTGTCAGTCTGCCATCATCTCTCTCAGCCAGCTAGTTGCCAGCTGGCCCATACAAGTTTCTGGCTGTCATAAGAAATTAGCATCTTTATAAGATGTTATGAGAGCTCGGCTTTGGGCACTTTCAAGGTCGGCTTTTTTTTTTGTTTTTGTCTGGTTTATTGGTGCAGTGCAGACTTTAAAAGTCGACCGTTTTTCATGGCACCCAATGGCACCAAATCATTTTTCGAAATCTTCGGAAATGTGTGAAGTTTTTTACGGCTCAGTTGGTTTTATAGTTGCTATACCTTTAATCGTCGTTTAGTTTATATGAATTATTAATTAATACAGTGACGCAGGTTAGTAGATCACAGGAAGGGGAAGCTTGTTCTTAGATGGTTAATCAGAATCAACGGACTATGACTTAAGGAAACTATAACAGTTGCTAAAGAGCCTTGAAAAATGTTTTATAAACTTCTGGGAAAAACTACTTATTAGATTATTTCCTTTGATTTGTACTTATGCTAGTATCATGTGACAAAAGTGTAAAACATTTTCTTGGCTTAATTGAATTTGTATTCATTAAACATTTCATTATTCTCAGAACTCATTTACTGACTGAATCATTAATGAAAACAGCAGAATTTGAGACGTTTTTTGATTGTTATTTTGCATGTTTCTAAGAAGCCTTGTACTTCCAAGAAAAGTCAAATGTGTTGACATATTGAGAAAAAAATTGAATAACATTTGAGTTCATTTCTTAGCCTTTAATTTTGATTCATGTAAATTTATTTCTTGCTGTTTTGGCACTAATTTCTTTTTTTAAACGACAATCTTAACTGCCATGATTTACCATATCTCTAACCTAAATCTGTGACGAACATGGACCCCATTAGGAGCTTTTCTCGGCTTTTCTTTGGCTCTTTGCATTACACAGCATCTTCATGCCCCTCTGAGTCGTTGGCAGCAAGTGAAAACTGAGTTTCCTTTTTTCGCCACATACAAATCAAAATCAATTTGTGTTTGTTTTAGTTTTTAGCTGCTTTTTAGCTTACTCTTTTTGTTTTTTTTTTTTATTTTTTTTGCAATTACCAAAGCTCTTCTGCAAATAGGTTTAATCGCCCATTCCGGTTGGCCAACTTTCTGACTCTGACCTGAACTCGCAAAGAGTTCAGTTCCCAGACGCACAAAAAAGTATTATTTAACTTCTACTTTGCTTTTGGGACAATTAAGCAAATATTATTGTTTAGTTTTTTGTTTTTAATTGTGGAAAACTGTAAGCGGTAGAAGATGGCAAAGAAATGGAGAGTGAAAAGCGCCAAATAAATGGATGAAAGTAAAATTTCAAAATTTCATCTGTTTCTTGTGGCTGCTGTATAGTGTTGTTGTTGTTGTTGTTGTTGCTGCTGCTACTGCTGTTGATGATGATGAAAGTAAAATCTTGGCTCAGTTATGTTGGCCATATTCGTTGGTGTTGTTCGCCGAAGATGCGCAAACCATTTGAACATCTCTCTTCACACAAACACCAATAAAAACTGTAACTGCAAAAGTCAGGGGGGGAGGTGGGTGGCAATGTTTTGTGGCAGCAGTGGAATATCCAACAATGTACGAGGTGGAGAGAAATAATTAGCAACGCCTGAGATCATTTTTGTACTTTTGTGTTGGCAAAACGCCTTTTTGGCCATGAGAGTTGGCGGATTTTAGGGCACAGAAAGAAAAAATCATTGTACATAGGGTGCATATTATTCAAGCAGTTTATTTTTCTTAATTTCTCAAGTCATTTTGATTTAAAAATTTAAAGGAAACAAAGAAAAGTTGATTGAAAAGACTCCCGCTAAGTCTGAACTTAACTTAAATTTTGCATTTTCATTTCAACTGCAATAATAACATTGCTTATTGCTTGAAAATCGTAAAAGGATATTAAACAATAGGCAATTAATATACCTTTTTTATCGTTTAACTTTATTATTTGTTTTTTTACGCTTAATTTGAGTGCAGAATGACTGTTACAGCTTGCAATTGCGATTTGGCTAGTTTTTAAATATTTCGTAGGATTTTTCGATCATATTTCCATCTAATTTAATCTTTAAAAAAATATTATCCTTCTATCCCATCTTCTTTGAATTCAAAAATCATCTTCTCATAATCAAAAACCTTCATAAATTTCTTTCTGTGTAGCAGGAAGGGCAACCAAATTGGTGTTGAGTCCACTCGAGGTGTTTGACTTGTAGATAAGCTCCGCAGGGCCCTCTAACAAGCAGATGCAAATTTTCAAACTTACCTCTTTTCAGTCGATCCAAATTTTAGTTTGTATAATCCACAAAATGGTTTAAAGTTTTCGCATTTGTTTTTGTTTTTCGTTGCTAATGGTGCTTAACGTTTTCCAAAATGTTTCCAGCTGATTTTGCTTAAATTTTATGCGTTTCTTAAATGAACAATAAAAATTTAGACCCATAAAAGTGGCCACTAACACAAAAGCAAACGCACGCAAAATCACACAAAGGCAAAAATCATTTATGTTTTTCTTTTTTTTTTTTTTGCACTTGTATTAATGCTGCAGTTTTCTTTGTGGGCCTGCGTTTGTGTTAGTGCACTTGTGGAAATTTTTATTGTTGTTTTTGACTGATTTTGTAACTGCCTTTGCGGTTATCTCTGTTTAATTCCAACTAAAAGCGATTAGTTTTCATTGATTTATTTTAAGGATTTTCCAGATCATTTTCCACTATTTTAAAAACACTTTTTAGCTATTTTCTAAGCTATATTTATATGGGAATTTTCCATTTATTTCATTGCACTTTTTTTTATATAATTTTTCCAGCTCTCTCACGCACAGAGACACCCGTTTTATATATATATCTTGTACATATATATATATATATATACAACCGATTGTCACGCCCACTTACTTAGAGACCAGCTGTGCTGGCTGCCGTTCACCTGGCTGACCGCTTGCAGACTGAAATTGCAGATCGTATTGGCCAACTCGGAGTTGGCATAAAAATGGGAATTCGGCTGGCTTTGCGTTTGCTTTTCCGTCGAAAGCTCATCGCTCGCTAATTTTGGTCCGTCTGCGCCTCAGAAAACGGGTTTATTGCCGCTTCGATGCCGACTTTGCGCATGCGCAGCACGTTGTCACCGAAGGCGAGGAGAGCCCAAAGAAATCCGGAGACTTTCAGAGAGCCGTATTAGCTGGCTCTCTAAGCCGCCGAGCTTTTCTCGGCTCTGACTTTGTCCATTTTCCTCTGTCAACATTCTGCAATCGAATTGTCTTTGAAATTGTCTTTGTTTTCTTCGCCTTTGTCTTTGCTGACTTTGCTCTGCTTTTTTGAGCGTGCTGCTGCTGCTCACTTGGCGGCTGCCTGATAATCGTGCCTAACAGGTTTATTGATTAAGATTTTTTCAGACCTTTTTTTTCTCGATTTCTTGCAAAATATTGAAAAATTGTATCAGAAATTAATATGGGTTTATGGGAGCTGATGTGGTGTCCTATATTAAAATGGCAAAAGTTAGGGATGGGGATGTTACATATTTAACCCATAAAAAACCTTACTAAAATCATGGAAAATATTGCTTAAATATGTGTACTTTATGATATCTAAAAATCTTTGAAAAATAGCTTGGTTATCAGCTATATAAATCCTCAAACCTAATGTTACGATTTCATACTGTCTTGCCATAAACATCCATTAAACCAAATCACGACCGCCACCAATACTTACCATATAACATGACTAAATAACATTTCGCTTAATAGCAATCCACTTCCGATTGTAAATTACTTTACTTTTTATATCGGAAAGATAATTTGGCCCCTCTTTACCCTACAGTAGATTACTTAATAAATTGATCGTAATCCATTATCGATTTGCCAACAAATAAGGCCCGTGTGCATTGTTTATTTTTAGTGCCTTAAATGCTTTTCTTTCTTTCTTCTTTCCTTTCCTCAACTACCCGGTGACCGCAATGACATAATGGTAACAATAACACGGCCAAATTACGGTTACAGTTCAATTAATGAACCGCGTTAGCCCAAAAATTCAAAACCGAACTCAAGCCATCTGTCAGGGCATTAGTCACAAACAACAGACCCTCTCTCAGACTGACAATAGTAAATAAACAAAAATTATTTAAACGCCTCATGAATTATTGCGCATACGCCGCGTGGTCAGATTGCTCGAGTGCCTCGCTTCGTTTGGCAATTAAATGCTGGCCGCGGTAGTTGGTCAAGACTGCACTTCGCGGGGCTGGATTTTCATTGACCGAAAGCCACAGATCGAAATTCGTTTGGTTTCGAATGCAAAATAATGCAAAACATTTCGCGGCTCTCATCATAATGGAATCAATCAAGCTCCGTTCACTGCGGCTTATGCTGTACAGCTGGCTTGCTCTAGCTCTGTTACTGTCCCGCTCTATTACGTCACTAAGTACTGCAGCTTTGGCTTAGTATGCAGTGAGAGAAATATTTGAGTAATATAACTTGTACTTAAGCTAAGATGTAAGGTAACTGTATTACAGAAAGAAAAGTGTCTAAGTTGATACTATCCTAAAGAGAGTTTTAATTTTTGTGAAATTATTAACATTTCTAAGTCATCTAGCATTTCTCTTGGTGCAATGTTGGTAGCAGCGGCATTAATAGTAATAATGCTGCACTGCATCTGCGCTCGTTCCGCATGTGAAAGTTGAATTCGAACAGTAGACCCGGCTCAAAGCGAACTAAACTCAAGTTGGGCTTGCTGGGTATTCAAATTGGAATAGAGCCAGGCTCTGGGCAAGTATCTGTATCTGTACCTGTACCTGTACCTGTATCTGTATCTGTAGCATGCGGAATTGTCGAGTGCTTTATCGCCAGCGGCGTGTGCCTTGTGGCTCACATCTCACATCTAGTTACGTTCAAAATACATATAGTATATATATTCCTATATCTGTGTGAGAATGGGAGCACCGTGTCGCCGGGCTCTTGATATGTATTTGGCTGTGTGGGTCGAACGGTTTGTTGAACCGGTATTCCACATTTGTTGCAGGTAGCACTCACCAGCAACAACATATGGTATCAACAGTCGGCGCAACGTGTTGTAACTACTACTTAACTGGTCGACAAACCACTAACAACTATCAATAGATCAATAGATTCATAGTCGGCTATTGCCAGGTATTTTAGATATAGCTGATTAAAATGAATACATTTTGTACGTAAGGGGTGGTCCGTGATAACTATGAAATTGCCAAGGAAATAATACGAATATGAGGAGTTAGCTGGTTTAAGGAGGATTTCTTAAACGGATTTTATAAACTTAACATATTTAACAAGTCTCAAGTCTAAGCACTTAACTTTACTATACAATTTTAAGACCAACCATTAACAACATGCTATTGAACTCTATAAAACTGCCTTGTTTACGAATCGGAATTAAAGCTCATTACCAGAAACTGTGCTCGACGTCTGGCTTGCAAATTGTAATTAAACAAGCAATTAAATACCAGAATGGTAAACTCTGAATAAAAAATCCATTTAAATAAATTTATACACAGCCATTAAGGAAAGAAGACTGGAATATAAACTTTAAAGAAATAATCTTTTTTACTAAACTCTCCTTCATTGTCATTTAGTTTTAAGGAACAACTCCTCAGTGATGAATGTTGCTTACTAATTAGCACTTTAGAGAACTCTTAACATTCTCTTAACCTTCCAGTTTATATGACACTTCCTTAAGTGTAATTTCAGCAATTTGTAAATATTTTCAAACCAAATTTCTTGCGGTTTCTTGTTTACAAAATGACCAGCAATTAGCCCAAATACATGAACACCCCACCCCAGCACAGATATTGAGTCATTCTTATTTACTTGCCCAACAGAACCAAAAGTGCCGAATGATTTTGATACCTTATGATACCTTCTCAAAAACAAAAAGCCGTTCAACTCGTTTCTTTACAGCTCCTTATTGTTATTGTTTATTACATATAAAGATTGTGTTTACTCTGCAGCTTTTGCTTTTGCTTTTTTTGTATTGTATCTTTCTGTTGTTAAATGCAACTGGTTCGATTTTACATTCTCTTGACGGGAGCCTTGAGCTGTGGCTAGCTGAATCGAATTGCAATTCCGCGAAAAAAACAAACTTCGATTCAGCTGTGTGCGATTGACCTTGACAAGTGGGTTCAATCCAGTCGATTATAGGATGAAAAAGTTCACCACGAATCGAAACAGCTTGCTCAGTGTGCTATTCGATTCGGGTCGCTCCGGGGATTCCTCTCTCAATTCAGCACCCTCCACTAGATGAGCATCCAGTTCGGCCTCCAATTCGGCACCATATCGTAGTATATACCATTCGGCCAAGAAGTAGATGACCAACGTGATCAGTGCGAACTTGACGTAGATTTTAAATATGTCGAATATGTGCAGAAACAGCTGATGCAGCAGCTCCATTAGATCCATTATCGCAGACAACGCTGCGTATACGTCATGCAAAAGTTTGAATCTTTCTGTATATCTAGCTGTCTATCTAGTGTCTTCGTCAGCCGTCGTGTATCGAGACAATCAGGGTTTTGCGATTTCCGAATTGAGGTCGTGTTTGGTTAGCTCTATTATGCAATTGCTAGCCCACAGTTTTCGTGTTGATGATGCACATTTCGCTTTCGGCCGCTTGACTGATGTCGCCTCATTTGCATTTGATCGCGTTGATGATCGCGGCACAAAAGTGCGTGTTTTTCTCGATATACACTGGTATCTCTCAATGGTCAGCCATTGGGCAGGCGAATTAATTATGTTAATTTGTTCCGAGCATCGGGTATTATCTATTATGCTCAACCTTTCTTCCTCCTTTCTTTCTCTGTTTGTCTCAGACCTCTAATATGGCTCCCTGTGAAAACAAATTTCGTTTTAATTTGATTGAAAATTAATTTGATATACACATAAACACACACACACAGAGACGGGAGAGCTGAACGAAAAGGGTAAACAAATTGGATTGCGAAAAAGTGGTCAAAAAAATGGAGCACTAGGTGTGACCGGAATGGACCACTCGTCTTGGCCATCGATCTATGGAGATTTCATGCTTGGGGCAGGTCGGATTACTTAATTAGCATGGAAAATGGTTTTTGGCTAGATTGAATATGGATATGCAAAGTGATAAATGGGTTGACTGGGAAACCAGATCGAATTTGTTAGGGCAAACCTTGAATTAGGCTGAGATGTTGCAATGAAATTTAAATTATAAGCAAAGAGAAAGAGAGAAGAGAATGAAGGGAAAATAGGGTTATCACTGCACAACCTGATTGACTTGCAGTATGTTCTTACAAACCTGACTGAAAGGACTACAGCCCTATTAGTTATTTTCCACTCCTCAGTTTCCCTTCATTATTAATTAATAGGTTTTAGCCTGACCAATTATAACCCAATCAAAATAACCCCATTAACAAAATCATCAACATTTTGGTAATTTCCAATTTTAAGAGATTAAAAAAAAATCAATTTGATGTGTCCCAAAATAAACATATCAAACCTCTTTGCCAAAGCATTGACCTTATATAAACAGAAAACATTCGAATTTGGAAATAATCAAAGACCTGTCCGCAGTTCAAGCCACTTCACCTCCCTACTGGCCCTGATAATGAACGCTTTGATCCTACTTACAATATTTGAATTAAAGTTAAAAGTTTACTAATATTGAGAGTTCAATTCGAAATGGTTCAAAGATCAATCAACTATCACTCCCACTTAAGTCATAAATGACCCTGTTTGTATATTTTGGATATTGTTTATAAACTTTAAAATTGAAGTCAATACAAACGGATTAGAGATTAGCTATAAATGGTCACCACTCTATCTGTCAGCTATCAAGGTAAGCACTGTTATTCCCAAAAATGTTTAAGCAAACGATTTACCCTCTTAACTTTTTTGACTACGCCACTGCCAGTTGCCATTCGTCAGCGAGCAGATCGACAATTTGAGACAGACCCAAGTCAAAACTGGCCGGAGATTGCATCTTTCGGATTTGAATACACTTGACAATCGCTTAACGCAAACCGACTTAACCTTACCCAAGACGAGATGTTCGAAAAAGTGGGGAGTGTCGGCGGTGTAGGAGCCTCCTCTTCAGCAAACTCGATAATCGCAGCAATTATACTAAGCACACAAATCAACTTCAACTTGGAGACCTGATCGAGAGACGTCTCTCTGCTGGACCACTGGGAAAACGAGCCGCACCGCCGAAATGTTTTGCATTAATTTCGAAAACGCATGCGAAACAGACGCAACATATTTATAAGACAGAAGCAAAAATCCCAAACTGCACTGGACGCAGAGGCGAAAAATAAAACCAGTTGCAAATGTGGATAGCCTTGGTGAGGAGGATTTCGATGGCGACTCTTCCTGCCGCTTGTGGGTTGCATAAATGGCAAATGCTGAAGTTGAACTGTCGCACAGAATCTAGAGAAGATGACTCCGGTACGACAGGTCGTCTCCTAAATGGGCAAGAAGATTTCGCAGAAGCCTCCTCTCCACATCCGTCGGATGAGATGACATGAGTTTCAGGCGGTGTGTTGGTGCGTGGATCTACCGGTTTTTCGAGACCAGACCCAGACACCTTGAAAGACCTTCTGACATTTGCCAATTTTGCACTCATCTTTTTGCTTCGGAGTCACTGGTCACTTAAAGATGCTCTTCAAAAAGCAGAAAACAGAGTGAGTGTTGAATATTTTTTAATTTTAAATGAATAAACTATAAACTTGGAATGAGCACTAAAATGTACTTATTTTTAAAAATATTTTTATTTATTTTGTATTAGTCCTAGAGCATTAACGCTTCTTCATGACAAAAAATCAGCATCCCTTCTGGTAAATGAATTTAATTTGCGCAATTTATTGAAGACAATTTCGACATCATGAAGTTGGGTTAATGAAATAATTTCTTGTTTTTACCCGCCGGCTACCAGCTGCCCTCTGCCATGCCGTATCACATTTCTGTTCATATTTTTTTGCATGAAATTCGCGTCACATTGTAAATTATTTAGTTGCATATTAATTAGTGGACACTTCCAGCAAACCGTAACAAAGAAACAACAACAACAACAACAATATTAAACCTACGAAGAGGCAGGGAAAAAAATATTGTTTAAGCTTCTTGCATAATGCAAATGGTGTTAACTTGACTCCAGTTACCAGTTGGCCGTTGCCTTTGCCTTTGCCTCGGCTGTCGTCTAACCCATTAAAAAACGTGAACCGAAATGTGGGGAAAAACGAATGTGGGTGAATGGTCAAGAAAAGTAACATTTTGTGATTTATAATTCCCAGCACTTGGTTAACAGTGCCAAACGAAATTGTGTCAAACTTTGTGCCGCTTTCGGTTAATGGCTGAAATTGAAATTGACTTTTAATTAGACTTTTCGTTTTGGATTTTGGTTTTTCAATTTATGTCTTAATTTGCCTAAAGACTTGATATTTCCGCATCGGTTGGAAGAGTCTTATTTCTTATGCACGAACGACTGGGATTGCGTAGGTGTAGTATATATATATATATATATATATATAGCATATATATATAATTGCCTGCGATTATTTCGCCTTGCTGTACGCGGAAACAGAGTATCAGTCTGTCTCCCGTTGTGGCATACAAAACTTGAAAACTTGAACTACTTCTTCTTCGCCTCCACATCTTTTCCTCCTCATTTAAATTCGGTTGGGTGTACTCGGGTGTGGATGTGTGGAAATTGCTTGATGGATAATGATTATGATCGGCACAGATAGATTACAGAAGGTGTTTGCACTCGTTTTGCATTATTCAAGTTTTCAGCACCTCTTAAGGAGCTTGGATAAATAACTTTTTGCTTAAGATGGGTTCAAAAGTAACATATCCTTTTTTAAGTGACAGGATAAACCAGAAGAGATCGAATGAAAGTCAATTGGCATTTAATTTGAGCCAAGATATCCCCTTTTAAGAAATAAATATTAAATCATATTTAATTTCCAGATAATCTTTAGGTCATTTTTACAATGCCACCCACCCACGTTTCCTTTAAAATGTATACTAGAGATGCTAATCCAGTGAAGGGCGATGGCGATTAGCTAACTTATTATGTCGGCCAACCATTGTCTGCTTCCTCTTCCCATTTCGACGTCACAGTGAACATTCACCGACCATTTAGGCCGCGTTTGTGTACATTTCCCAAAGTTGTTAGTGTTTGTAGCTTGTTTGTTATTGGATACCGCACAAAGCTTTTTTCATGAGATCTTTAAGAGATTGCCTTACTCACCGTATTATTTATCGATCGCTCCATTTTATCGCCTTATCAAAACAATAAACAAAATACAAAATAAACGGATTCAGCACATACAAATAATTTTTGACAATTGCCAAGCTTCTTCTTTTAGTCGGATCGAAAGCTATGTAGCATATGGTCCACAGCTGATTGCTGTCAAGTTGAGCTTTAACGAGATCTAAGGTGTGAGTGAGGCAACCAGTGAGTCGCATTAAATCGTTTGTACATATATGAAGATCAGCTAAAGCTCTTTATAAGAACTAAGATGGAATATATTTATAAACAAATTTTACTAAATTTAAATGTTAAGTAGGATATTTTCTTCCAACTTAAGTTTATTTTTCTATCTTCGATCTCGGGTTTTTATCTTAAACTACTTTACTGCTTTACTGACAACAGATAAAAATTTTGTAGCAAGCATCTATTTTCCACTGTAAAGCTCAGTAAAGACACAGCTCATATTTTCTGTTAATGAAGCATTTTCTTTTCCTGTAGTCAGCAATTTTTAAGTCTGTTTAAATTTTCGCAATATTGAAACAACATAGAAAAATATACACACATTCTGTTTAGTTTACGTAATTGAAATATTCCCATTTAATCTGTTTATAGACAATGGTAATAACAGTTTTTTAAATAGCAGCCTTAGGCATTCGATCGAGTCAGGTTCTGTTCATGTTTAACAATCCATTCCTCGCAAAAAGGAAGTAAATACCATTTGGCTGCAGCGTTTATGATTACCAAGGCGAATCTGTCCAGTGGTCGGAATATGAATGCCACTTTGTACAACAAGAAAGCCCATATAGGCAAATCCGGCATAAGAAGCCAATATAGAGCGATATCAATAATCAGAAATAAACACATTTCCTTCATTGTCTTGAGTTAATCCTTAAGCTTGCTTCCTTTTAAGTCTACACTTTCTTTCAGAGCTCTAAAAATACACAGTTAAAAGAGTATTTTACTTGATTTAATAATCGGTACCATTACTTACAGCAGCCCTCTTTTAAAATAAACAATCGGAGATACAATGTGATCCAGAATTGCTTTAAAAATCAACTTTGTTGTGGAATAGAAAGCTTGAAACCATATGATCAAAAGCTTGCTTCAAGTAAACGTAGAATTTGTTATGCAGATTCGCCAATGAATGAAGCATGAAGTTGGAATACGTCAGTATCAATCAATATGCAAAAATGTACTCGTACAGCAATTGCAATTTTACATGTTTGTATCGAAAAATATTTGGTAGTTTAACTGCTTGAACTGCTTTATTAGAGTACTGACAAATGCTAAATGATAGACACTCATTCAAAACGTATAAAAATTTGAAATAAATGGCTTAACATAAGAATAAGTAAGAAAGATAAGTCTTATTACTTTCAATAACATATTGCGTCTTTCAAAATCACTAGTTTTTATTTAAAAAGAACAGTCTTTTCAACTTGTGATTTTATTTTTAAATGTGATAACTGTCATAAGCTAATTGACCTAAGTTTCACTTATATGAACTGCTTTAAGTTAAGAAGTAAATAAAAGTCAGTTACTTTTTAAATTTTATTTTATTGCTTTTGTGCTCATCACAAGCAAATTTCTTTTTACAAATTTATATGAAAATGAAAGGTGGTGTGTATATTTAACAATGAATGGAATGTGTTACGCCTTAATATATATACAACGGATAATTTTGGGTTTTGAAAGGAAAGTAGCGCCAATACAGGGTGTTTTTTGTTTTTTGTTTTGTGACAACAACATCAAGAACAACGAGTATAAAGCTAATTAAACTCATTCGATGGCCTCGATTATTTCATATTCTTCATCCAAAGAATGATCATAATCGATATTGTATTTGTTCTTGATCTTGCTCTTGTAATCCTTGAGCTCCGCATCATTTTCGAATTTATTTGTATTATATCGCTGTTTGCCTCGTGAGCTGTTGCTGTTGTTTTTCTTGCCGGGTTGAGGGGTATTGTGAGTGCGATTCCTAGATCTAGTTTGGTTGATTTCCCTATCTCTATGGTTAACTCTACTAGGCTTTGATTTGATTCTTTCGCTATTTTTACTAGAATTATGTTGCTGCTGCTGCTGCTGTTGCTGTTGCTGTGATGATGAGTATGACGATTGAGGATTGGTACTTGGTGTGGTAAATCTCATGCTACCTCTAAAGCTATTTTTGGTCATTTTACTGTAGTTGCTGCTATCTACGATTCTATTGCTGCTATTAATTCCGCTGATGTTGCTGTTGAGTGCTTGATGTTGCTGTTGCTGCTGTTGTTTTTGAAATTGCCGCTGTCTTCCGCCGCGCTGTCTGGTTCCGTTTGCTGTCCCAATCTTATACTCATCATCGGCCTCATATCATACTTCATTCAGCTGCTGCTGGCGCTCTGGGATGCGATACAGTTCGTCGTTGTTCTGGTAGAGTTGCTCCGATCCCTCGCAGTTCACGTTCGACCACCAATCGCAGACCCTAACGGCCTGGTTGAAGACGGTTCCATTGGGGCAGAGGAAGGAGTACTGGTGGCCAGAGTGGAGGCACCAATGCCAGACCTGGAATAGGAAAATAAATATTACATATTTGTTCATCCATAGAATGCAATAATTATATAGATTGTGATCTTACCTGACAACGTGTCTCTGTATCGGCATAGTAACCTGGCTGGCGGCCCTGGCAGTTGAAGGCCAGACCCTTGGGCACGGCATCATAGGCGGGGTAATCCTCACCAGCAGTATAGCCATCGATTTGCTAAGGAATATAAAAGGATAGGCCTCAATATAAACTCAAATGAAAATAAATAAATTAAAAAATAACTCAGTTAAAAGTAGTTCTCTCGCACATCAGATATGAAACCCAATTATGACTTTTTAGATCTCTCGTGTGAATTATCTCAGCGCAGGCAGCACAGCGACCTTCAATTGTGGGTGGCAGTGTGGATAGAGGGGAAGGCGGCACATGTGGCAGGCAAACATTGCCCAAGCACAGGCAACAAAATGAACTCTAAACAATAACAAATTACAATTTGAAACAATTGCCACACAAACAAGAAATTTAAAATGCAAATGCAACAGCCGAAAAAAAAACTGTCGAAAAAAACCAACAAAAGAACCAGCGAGTGTTGAAAATTGTGCACTTGCAACAGTTGCAAATAATTACGGGGGTGAGGGTGAGAGGGTTATGGTGGCACACAAAAGGGGGGAGTATGTGACAACCAACTGTCAATCTCATGCGTACGAAACCATGAAATGCCGAAAAGAGCAAAATAAAACAATAAAGCTCGTGGCCCGCCAACACGGATCACAACACACTACCCACATCTATCGAAGTTGGAAAAGATGTGATTCTTTTGTGTCGATCTCTCTGGGGAAGATCCATCCATTGACTCCAGCCTCATTTGTTCATGTGTTGCATCCTCGCCCGCTGTCTATCTTGATCTTGCCTCGATTTCTTATCCCATTGTTGCCGCCGTTACGCTCAAATAAATCTCTCTCCCTTTCGGGCCATCTCTGCTTTCAAGGGGTTAAAGTTGCCGCCGTTGGCGCTTGTCTATTTGGGTTAATGTTGAGTTTATGCTAATTGAAGATGTTGGGACAGGGCAAAGTGATTGGCAATGTTCAGTACTTTGATGGGGTGGGAAAAAGGCTTAGTTTCTTCATGAGAAAAATGGGGAATTTATGGGGCATGTTATAGAGTTGTAATCGATGATTTAAAAAGGAATTGGTATTACATTAGCTTAGGATTCACTTTAAAAGCTGTACTATTTAAGATATTATAATATATAAAACCAAAAGTCTGCTAATCTCCTACATTTTCCTTAGTGCACCCAGGATGCACCTTCCATTCCAATTCCATTTCGATTGCATTTGCGAATTCGAGCTGCCTCGTTTTTCAGCTTTACTTTTCTCAATCACTTGCAATTTTCACGCTAATAACTTTCCAGAGGCTTTTAGCATTTTCAACGGCAACAAAGACCCAAACAACAAACTATATAGACCGCCCATTGCCTCAGTAACCCAAAAAGCGGACAAGATGCCACTCGGTGCCGAGGCAAAAGCCCCGCACACCATCAATTATTGCCCTCCACTCTCAACCTTTGGCCAGACGGACCGTTTTCCTTTAAATACCAACTTGCTAAGCCAACGGAGATGGGCCGTTGGGACGCTGGCATGGGAGTTACAGCTGGAAAATGGTTAATTTTCCCTGCATTTTCCTTTTATTTCTGTTTGACGAGCGCGCGGCTGAGGGGCCACCAAGGCTAATTGATAATGTAACCCAGCGGAGAATGCCTCAAATGGTGAAAAGCGAATGTTGTTTCCCCTTTTTGTTGTTAAGTCTAACAATGATACACTAAGAATTTGTTATTATATAATATTGAAGTGATTAATTCATGATTGCTAGAGGAAAATATGATTTATTTTTATTTTAAGCTTCAATAGCAATATTGAAAGAATAAATTAAAAACAGTTAAGCTCAGCAAGCATCTAATACTGTAAGCCCCATTTAGTAAGTGTATCTAAGTCAGAGGAAGAAAGACTCATGACGACACCTTTTTAGAAAGAGGGAGCTTTTAGGTTCACTTTTTACTGTGTGTTTCTGGCTGGGACGTGAGAAGTTGTCTAACACTTTGGCAGACAGGTTGTCTGCATCGTGTGTTGGCTACTCCTCCTCCCCTTCGAAGACCCCGGATCTTCTGCAGCTTCTTCTGCACTTGCAACATTGCATGCTGCATGAAAAGAAGATGGCCAGGAGGGAGAAAGAGGGCCACAGGGGGTCTTTTTTGGGCTGTTTTTTATTTTTGGGCAACAATTGTAATTGTTGCTGGTGTTGCTATGGTTGCTGTTGTTGCTGCTGCTGCTGCTGCTGCTGCTGCTGCTGCTGCTGTTGCAGTTGTTGCTGCGGTGGCTGCAACTTTGCGTGGGATTTTGTTGTTGCTGGCGTGCTGATGTTGTTGCTAGTTGAGATCGCTATCAAACAAGAGACAAATGGTGTGCGCAATCTTTTTACTCGGAATGAATGTTGGAAATTATCTCAGATGACACTTTTTTGTGTGTTGCTCATGTTGATACAACAACGATACAGACAAATGGGAACAGACGCGGCCAATGAAGTTGTCAAATCAATGTTGGCCAAATTATTCAATAAGCCATTTCCCAAGCTCATAACAAAAGATATTATTTGCCGTAATTGCGGGCCATAAAAACGATCAAAAATGGGGGGAAAGGGTTTTTTAAAGTTTGACGGGCTTTTTGGGTACCTTTTTGGGTATGAATCGGGAAGAAGATGACTGCACTTACCCCATTGACACAGTTCCCTGCCAGCATCGAAAACAGTCCGAACACGACTATCAAAATGCAGGCGCTCCACTGAAGATGTTGCTGCCGTCTATGTTGCTGCTGTTCATGTTGCTGCGGTGATTTGTTCGCTGTTGTTGTGGCTGCCATGATGTCTGTTGTTTTTTTTGTGATTTTTTTCTTTTTTGGTAATACGTAATTTAAATGTGATTTTTTTTTCCTATCTAAAAAATACAAAACGAAAATCGAAACGAAAACGAGTCGAGTGGGTTGAAGATATTAATTTTCTGTTTACAGCATTAAATTTTTGTTGGGTTTGATTTTTTTTTAGAAAGGAAACATCTTCTCTTTCATGGTTTATGCGGTATATAATTAGATTTTATATCTAAATGTTTATTATGCTGCTGAGAGAGGAGGCAACCGCAATTGCTAATGGACAATCGAGTGTTGCCTCCGTCGATGTTGCAGCTGCTGCCGGTTGCATTCACTTTTTGTACGGCGGCTCGGATGCTTCTAATGGATCTTAATTGATAATAACTCGAGTTGTTCGGCTTGGGGGTAACGATATTGCGTTGGATTCTTGTTTGACACATTATTCGAGCGTAATTTGGTTACTTGGAAATATGCTTTTGAATAAATTATCTTTTTTATAACTTTACTTGTTTTGCTTTGTTTAAAAATGTAAGAGTGAAGGATGTGTGAAATATTAATGTTTGAATCAAACCATAATTTTGTGAAAATAATATGTTATGTATAATTTCATTGATCTTTACGTATATATTTCATTTACTTTTAATAACTTTCAGGACTCAAAATATCCTTTGCATTTTCCGATTTGAAAAGCTAAAAGTTATATTTAAAATAAACGTTGAATTAAGCTTTTAA